GGGGGGGAGCAAATGTGTGTCTTGAAAAGAGTCAGGAGAGATCTAAGATCCAGACTTCAACCCTGATTCAAGTCAACTAGTCAACTGACTCTCACATAAAAGTGCCAGGGACGTTGAAATTGAGACCAGCCTTCCATGTTCCATGTTGCACGATGACGGGCAAGAATTTCTTGTTGCAATCCCCTGTCCGCCAGGGTCATTAGCCGGCCAGGGCAACCTGGGCAAAGCAGACTTGGACTCGCTGAGCCAGCAAAGGCTTCATGGCCCATGTGTCGGTCTGCATCTCTGTCTGCCCTCTGCAATCTTAACAGACAGCCGTCACGATGCTTCCGCTGGATCCTGCTGCAGGAGGCCGACCGTTTTTTTCCCCACCGTTTTCTCCCCTGTTGTGGAACAGGTCAGAGTTTGTAGACTGAAGGTCATGGCGCGGGAGGGCAACCCGTAGTCCAGTGTCGATGGCCGAGGATGGAGACATGGTGTCATCCTGACACAGGTTCTGGGGAAGATTGGGGCTGGGAGAGGGAACAGAGGCCAGGCGGACTTGAATCAAACCTCCCAGTTTCGCCCCAGGTTGACCCCAGTCTCCGTCATCAAGTCCCGGGGGTGGCTCATGCCTTCGCACCTAGGTCTCCGTCATGACCTTGCCTTCCATAGTGGAATTGACATGCTGCACACTGCTCTTTCGGCTGAGACCAGTGGCTGCGTCGAGCGCCATTCACCGACACCCGGTGAAAGAAGATGGGCAGACAAGCTGCACCGACAGGGGAACTAATCAAGCCTCGTCCTTGATACAGTGCCTCACATACTCCGCCAGTGGGCCAGTGGGCCAATGGGCCAGTAAAACCAATGCGTCAGTGCCCCAGTGGCACGCAAATCCAACGCGGACCCTCGGAAGGATATGCCGTTCGATTGATAAGAAGCGTCGTACAGGCACCGGGTCGATCATCCGCCCCGGCGCTGGTTGATCGAAAACTCTCCTAGCGGTTGCCGTACAACCAAAAACCGCAGGCTCCATTGCTCGAAGTTAAAAAAGAAATTCAATGAGAGAGAGAGGGTGGATCGCAAGAAGGGAAAAAGGAAATACCGAATATGCAAAGTGGCCGCGGAGAGCTCGAAAAAGCTCAAGAGCTGCACGAGGGTCAGTTCCCCGGACAAGCAGGCGGTGATTGGCCCAAGCTCCGTCGATCCTCCGTCGTCGACTTTGGTCTTTCCAGCAACTTCCGCATTTTCGGCATTTCTGTTTGTGCCAAACTTGCTGATCCAGAGAGCCACCCACAACCTCTCCATGAGCGCGCTACTTGAAACCTCCCTAGGCGACATCGTGATCGACCTATTGGTCGACGAGTCGCCCAAGGCCTGTGAAAAGTAAGCATCCTCCCCCCTACCCTCCCCCAATGCCGCATCGTGCTGAACCCGCCTACTAAGCTCTTCCCTGTCTCCCCTCATAGCTTCCTGAAGCTGTGCAAAATCAAGTACTACAATTTTGCGCCCGTGCACAGCGTCCAGAAGGACTTTAGCTTCCAAACCGGCGACCCGCTCGGCCCAGACGCGCCCGATAGCGATGGCGGTTCATCGATCTGGGGTGTCCTGGGTGGCCCCGCGAAGCGGACCTTTCCGATCGACCTGCCGCCGAAAATGAAGCATCTTGAACGGGGGACGGTCAGCATGGCTACGGTGCCTGCGCCCAATGATCCGGACCAGCGGGTCGCCGGCAGCCAGTTTCTGATCACACTGGGAGAGAACTTGGATTATCTGGATGGCAAAGCGGCCATCTTTGGCAAGGTTGTCGAGGGATTCGATGTGCTGGAGAAAATAAATGAGTCATTCATTGATGACCGAGGCCGGCCTCTGAAGGATATTCGCATTCGCCATACCGTTGTCTTGGATGATCCATTCGATGACCCTGCGGGGCTGGTCGAGCCGCCCGAGAGTCCCGTACCGACGAAAGCGCAACTCGCTACCGTACGAATCGCCGATGATGAGGACTTGGATGAAGAGATGGACGAGGCTGCGATGGAGAAGCTGCGCCGGGAGCGCGAAGCGCGTGCCCAGGCGCTGACTTTGGAGATGGTGGGTGATCTGCCCTTTGCCGATGTCAAGCCTCCTGAGAATGTGCTGTTCGTCTGCAAATTGAATCCCGTCACACAAGGTAGGTTGATTTCAATCAATTTGTCTGGTCGATGGTAACTAATTACAACTTGATACAGATGAGGACCTTCAATTGATTTTCAGTCGGTTTGGAACTATATTGTCGTGCGAGGTGATTCGAGACAAGCGCACGGGCGACAGCCTACAGTATGCATTTATCGAGTTCGAAAACCAAAAGGACTGCGAGCAGGCCTACTTCAAAATGCAAGGCGTGTTGATCGACGACCACCGCATCCACGTTGATTTCTCACAAAGTGTACGTGTTGTCCCGCCAGCACCCGTTTCTCCCTACTAGACCATCTATACCAGCATCTCCACTTGCAACCAGTAAACCCAGAACTCTACTGACACGCAGTCTAGGTCTCCAAACTATCCGATACCTGGCGTAACGCAACCGTAACCAAGCGCCAACAGCGCGGCGGTTTCGGCGGTGTTGCCGATCTCGAACAGAAGCGACAATACCGTGTATCCGACGACTCTCGCGCTGGGGATCGCGACAAGGCGTACAACATGGTCTTTGACCGGTCACGCAACGATCGACCCTCTGCTCCAGCTCCATCTGCTCCTCGCCGCGACGGCCGGTCCGATCGCAGCCCTAGACGAGATTCATATCGTGAGCGGCGCAGCAGTCGCAGTCCTCGAGGCCGAGATTCACACCAAGAGCGGCACCGGCGGCGAGAATCTAGCCGGAGTCCTGGACGGCGGGACTATGAGCGGCGAGACCGAGACCGTGGGGATCGGGGACGCTATCGGGATGACCGTGGAGGCCGAGACTGGAATCGGGATCGGGATCGGGATCAGGGCCGTCGAGATGATCGGTATGAGCGGCAACGATGAGGGGGGTTTTGTATATCAATATCGAAAAATTGTGCCAGCATATCCCAAATACTTGAATGATTATACCATGTCTTATATCCCTGGAGTTACAAATTTTAAAGGCGAAGCGTGCCATAGGGCTTGATGGCCATAGGAACTACTTAGCTTTGAAAACAAGTGAGTCGCTATTATTGGTATGGGTTAAGTAGTATTCAGACTATATGAAAAAGTGCGTAAGGATGTCGGCTATCACACAGTCTTGTAGCGTACTCTAGTCTGGAGTCTCCGTTATGGACTTAACTTGTGTTTTTCTCATGGATAAGACAACGCTCCAAATACTTTACGTAGTTCAAAGTGAGCTGGCCCCCATATTAGAGAAATATAGACCTGGCGCTGCGCATGTTAGCAATGTGATTCTCACATCCAAGTGACCATTTGAGCAAAGATCACATCAAATGCTTGTATATAAACAAGCACAGAGTGAGTTTTATACATATATGCCTAACAAGCCTTCATCAAGCTCTGGTGGCAATGTCTCTAGTTGAAAATAATGTTGTGTATCTTTTCTAATTAGTTTTAGCCCTTGACTAAAGTTCAAAGTATTACCATAGTTGACGACAACCCAAAGGCTAGCTTAAGCGATGATACAAAGGTTGTCTACTCCGTAGTCCGATCCGTACTGCACCAGACTGCCCTGGATTGCCACGAAACTCTTGGGATCTCCACTGGCGGGGCACACCGTGCATTCAACGACGTCGACTGGTCAGGTCTCACTGTGCGGGTACTGGACACTAGTGCTCCGTAATAACTTGGTCAAATTTGCCTATTATTTTTAGGTGGATTTCAGTAATAGTACTCCTGTGGTTCCGAATTGATTGTCTAGCTTTGCGCTAAAAATAAGTACTACTCGGTAGTTCTGTCCTGCTGGGAGTGGCGTAGTTACGGTGTGGAAATCACCTGAAAGCTTCAGCTTCACCCCGCGCTGGTTCTTTTATTTACTTTTCCCCTTCCTCCTTGCCACGTTCCCCTTCCATTCTCCTCCCATCTCCACCCCAATTACTCCCCACATCCCCCTATTTCCTTCCCTGTTGATCTACATTTACACATCTCACAATGGCTGCGATCAAGGAAACCGTCTCCAACCTCATTAGCAAGATCGCCGGCTCGGCCGAGGAAGCTCCCCGCGAGCCCTCCACCGAGGAATTCCAGGCTCTGCAGAAGAAATACACCGATGGCGGCCAAGGACAAGTCTTTGCTTTCGTCGACGAACTCCAGATCGCCGACAAGTCCCGACTATTCCACCAGCTCTCCACCTTCGACGTAACCCGCATCAACGAGCTGGCCAGCAAGGCCCTCAACCCCCCCAAGACCGACGAGACCCCCGCCACCCTCGAGCCCCTGCCAGCCTCGGCGACCGCCTCCATCATCGACTCCGACCCCGCCGACCTCAAGACCTGGTACGATGCCGGCCTGAAGCAGGTTGCCGAGAACAATGTGGCTGTGGTGCTGATGGCCGGTGGCCAGGGTACTCGTCTGGGTAGCTCTGCTCCCAAGGGCTGCTTCGATATCGGCCTATTGAGTCAGAAGTCGCTCTTCCAGCTCCAGGCTGAGCGGATCGCCAAGCTGCAGGATTTGGCTAACAAGGCTCACGGTGTGCAGTCTGCTACCATCCCCTGGTATGTGATGACTAGCGGGCCGACTCGTGAACCCACCGAAAAGTTCTTTGCGGAGCACAAGTACTTTGGTCTGAGCAAGGAGAACGTTTTCATCTTTGAGCAGGGTGTTTTGCCTTGTATTTCAAATGATGGCAAGATTATTATGGAGAGTAAGAGCAAGGTAAGGACCGCTCTCGTTGGGATCGGGAAACGCACCGCTTCTTGAGCATTGCTTCATCCGAATTGACATCCGATGGGGTACATCTTACTGACACTGGTGGTTCCTCTCATCTAGGTTGCCGTCGCTCCTGATGGAAACGGTGGTATCTACCAGGCCATCGTCACCTCTGGCGTCCGTGAGGACATGCGCAAGCGCGGCATCAAGCACATCCACGCCTACTGCGTTGACAACTGCCTCGTCAAGGTCGCCGACCCCGTCTTCATCGGTTTCTCCGCCTCCAAGAACGTCGACATCGCAACCAAGGTGGTGCGCAAGCGTGACGCCGCCGAGTCCGTCGGCCTGATCGTCCAAAAGAATGGCAAGCCCGACGTGGTCGAGTACTCCGAGATTGACCAGGCCACCGCCGAGGCCCTGGATCCCCAGGATTCCAAGCTGCTGAAGTTCCGCGCTGCCAACATCGTCAACCACTACTACTCGTTCAACTTCTTCGAGTCGATCGAAACCTGGATGCACAAGCTGCCGCACCACGTTGCGCGCAAGAAGATCCCCTTCATCAACCCCGAGAATGGTGAGGCCGTCAAGCCTACCAGCCCCAACGGCGTCAAGCTGGAGCAGTTCGTCTTTGATGTTTTCCCTATGACCCCTCTGAACAAGTTCGCCTCCATCGAGGTTCGCCGTGAGGACGAGTTCTCACCCCTGAAGAATGCCGCGGGCACCGGCCAGGATGACCCCGACACCAGCCGTGCCGATATCTTGAAGCAGGGTCAGCGATGGATCGAGGCCGCAGGCGGCATCGTGATCACCGAGGAGGATAAGTTTGGTGTCGAGGTTTCCCCTCTGATCAGCTACGTAAGTGATTTTTCTCAACTCCTCAAAAACTGACAGAACATGGGATGTATGGATACTGACCTGTGATATGTTTATAGGGCGGCGAGAACCTGGAGTTCCTCAAGGGCCGTGAAATCAAGGCACCCGCTCTCCTGGAGAAGGAGGAGGATGAGTAGAATTGTCACAATGGAAGTCACCATAATTTAGAGCAAAATTAGTTGTTGGAGGGCAAGCTCGATACACGAAGCTCGGCTTGCAGTTATGGGTATATCTGCCCCCGGATCTTGGCACGAAGAAATGAATTGCATGATTGGTTTCTCTCTACTACGAGTCTTTGCACCTAAATTGACCAGTAGCCTAGTTCGGAGTGTAGTCTTCCGTTGGCCTAATTTCGAGCCAGGGTATGGCTTGTAAGAAAGAGTCTTGATTAGCTACTGATCGACAGGGAATGAGCTGTGGGTTGCATCGGCCATAATTGGGCCTGTGGGAGAGCGGGATGTAGGAATGTAGGGGGTGCAGTAAAAAATCAGCAGAATACTGGACTATCTTGTACATTTACTTAGTGTATTATTATGCATGGTACTGCATTATAACAATAACCTTGCAGTACGTATTCCATTCGCTGTTCAACTAAGTATGTTGAATACTCAAGAATCGAGTGCACATACTTCTGTAACAACGGAAAAGCCCCATCTAACATGGCCACATGCATAATCATTCATACACCTATACTTCCTACATTCTATTAATCAAATCACTTATCATTAAACTATGTACTCCGTACGCTCAGCTTAAATCCTTTCGACCCTCTTTCATAGTAGATCCCAACCCAATGGCAGCGCGGTGAATCAGCAACCTTACGCAATACGGAAAAGCCCGGGAGCTAAACTTTTGACGAGTTTGCAACCCACTTTCGACCTTTCTTTTCGGTCCTTCCCCTCCATCTTGTTTTCTTTTGTGTCGAGTTACGGTGTTGTTACGTGAGGGTAAGTGCTCGATTCTTTTTCCTTTTCGCTGTCTTTGATTTCCGTTGTGCGGCCAAGCCTGCAGCCGTGCCCACTTTTGTAATTCTTTGCTGGGGGGGAATTTGGCTGTGGTGGGCTGTCACGCTGTCAGAACGTGGTGCTTTTTTTAAACCACGGGCCGTTTTTTTTTTTTCTAGGGCTGCCTTACGGGGTCTCTATTTCCAGGTTCGAGAGTTGCTGACAAGCTTTGTGGTTTTTGTTGTTCAGATTCGATTGATTGAGATTTGAAGAGTTTATTGGAAGGGTAAGTCCGAGATTCTTTCAAGTGATCGCTGCGCGTTCCTCGGATCTTGCGGGCGCTGTGTTTCCCCCGCGGATCGACGGTCCCTCCCCCTCCTACTCTCTCTATTCCGCACCGAAGACGCATGGATCGGACGCGACAAAAACGACAATGATCGACTAGCTGTTTTCTCTGGATCGGCCTCGAGCTTCATATGCTGGTTATACGGTTGATTGCGTCTTGGGACTCGATACTCGAGAGTGGAGGGGTGTGACGCACGATCAACATCGCGGGGATGTTGAAGCTTTGGACTTGGGATTTGTTTGACTGACAACCGGGTTAGAATATTGAAGATGATGTTGTCTCGTCGTGCGTGCTACAAGTGTGGCAACATTGGCCACTATGCTGGTTAGTTTGGGGAACCTTGCTTGTCCGTGTCGAGGTCTGGAACTGACGGAATTTTCATATAGAGGTCTGCTCTTCCTCAGAGCGTCTCTGCTACAACTGTACGTGCCCAACCTTTGGTTCTCTCTTTCCATTGCAGCTTTTGCTAGATCTGATGCTGACATTACTCTGAATCATAGGCAAGCAGCCTGGTATGTCCCTCGTGTGACCGTCTCCCACCCACAGCTCGTCTCATTAATTCGAAACAGGCCACGAGTCTAGCGCCTGCCCTCGGCCCCGCACCACCGAGAGTAAGGACCATTTACCTCTAATTCTATGCTTGCGATACTGACGCGCTTCCAGCCAAGCAGTGCTACAACTGCCAGGGCGTCGGGCACGTCCAGGCTGACTGCCCCACCCTCCGCCTGAACGGTGGTGCTAACGGCCGATGCTACAACTGCGGTCAGGCCGGTCACCTTGCCGTAAGACACTCCACGCATAACCTTCGACAAGAATCACCCCCAGCTAACCTCTTTATCCAGCGCAACTGCACCAACCCCGCTGCCCCCGGTGCGGGCCGTCCTACCGGTCCCCGTGGTGGTTTCCAGGGCGGTTTCCGCGGTGGCTTCCAGGGCTACCCTCGTGCCGCTACCTGCTACAAGTGTGGTGGCCCCAACCACTTCGCCCGTGACTGCCAGGCTCAAGCTATGAAGTGCTACGCCTGCGGTAAGCTCGGCCACATCTCTCGCGACTGCACTGCCCCCAACGGCGGCCCTCTCAGCTCCGCCGGCAAGGTCTGCTACAAGTGTGCCCAGGCTGGCCACATCTCCCGCGACTGCCCTACCAACGCCGAGGCTGCCTCTGCCCCTGTCCCCGCCCCCGCCCCCGCCCCCGCCGTTGATGCTGCGGTTGCTGCCGCTCCCACTGCCCCCGCCGCGGCTGTCGCCGCTGTCGAGGCTAGCACCGAGGCTGCCCCCGTTGCGACTGCGGCTCCTACCACCGCTGTCGCATAAGCAAACCAAATTTCTACTTCATGTGTGACCTGATCCGAGACGGATAGTCTCGCTATTTTCTGCTTCTTCCTCAGTTTTGTATTACGGTCATTTTTTTCCCTTTAAACTTTCCAAGGAGTCTCGGCACCATATCTTCCCTTGCATATATTGAAACCAGCCATCCTCTGCTCCAATTCTATTCCAGCTCCGATATTCCCTCCCCAAACTCAACCCAACCCTATTTTCCAACCATTTCATGTGGGTTTCCTTCTTGATTTCAAATTGGTGTCGGGTTCCCGGCTTTCTCTCCCTTTTTTGCGCTTTGGTTTTTATATCCATGTATACGACGATCAAACCGGAAAAGTGCTTTCGTTTTCTTTCCCTTGTCTTTGATCCTGACGAACGAATCCCCCTCCTAACCCTACCTTCCCCTCCTAGCATGTGCTCCTTGCTCTGAGGATTCTGACTTGGCTTATGCTTGGTTCCTTGTTAGACTCGGGGAAGCCCTCATGACTGGCGTCTTGTCTATTTGTTTCTCCCACGGATGAATGTTTCTCGATACGAGTGAATCTTGAACTCTGATTGCGGTTTTCCCTTGTTGTGGGCCGAGGAGGAGGTATAAAGATGAGAGATGCGCAGGTGGTGAGGAGGATAGATTGGTGTGCTGTGATGTGTGGTTGTGGTCGTGGTGGTGATACTGAGCGTGTGCTGCAGGGAAGGCAAAAGAGCAGGAGAAAAGAGATTGACTTTGAAGTGTTGGAATAGGGCCGTTTAGAGGGATGGAGTCCTCGGTGCTGAGACTGTGAAAACGCAATTTTTTTTTCATTTTCTTTCTAAGGCTGTAATAGACTTAGACTGTGTTGTAGGTTGTAGACTGTGAGCTCGTAACTGGTATTTGCTTGGTGATCGTGTCATGTGCTCGACTTGTGACTCTCGACTCACTTGACTTGCTCTCATCGACACCTCACTTTCTCCATCCCATTCCATCCCAGATTCATCTATCAAAAATGCCTGCTTCAGACCCTGGCGACGAGTTCAACGATGATGTATGAATTAATTTCCATAATATCACTCTGCGGATGGCTGATCTAGTTGGATATAGGATTTCATCGTCGACATCGACGGCATCCAAGCCCACGGCATCGGTGCAGCTGATATCACCAAACTGAAAGCCAACGGATTTTACACTGTGGCAGTAAGACAACAACAGCCATTGGAAAAGTGCAATTGACATGAGAGCTGATATAACCGGATTCAGTCCGTTCATGGTGCCACCCGCAGAACTCTCTTGAAGATCAAGGGCTTCAGTGAGATCAAGGTTGAGAAGGTCAAGGAGGCTATCCAGAAGTGCCTGGTTCGTATTATGTCCTTTTTCTCCCCGCGATTGACTCTCCATCGAACTATTCTACCTGTCTCTCTAGCCCTCCGCCTCCGGCTTCGTAACGGCAATGGAACTCCACCACCAGCGCAAAAAAGTCGTCCGTATCTCAACGGGTAGCAAGCAATTCGACTCGATCCTGGGCGGGTAAGTCCATAAATTACAATCCCACCCTCACCAAACCCTCCTCGCTCTACATTCTTCTTCTTCGTGACTAACTCTATACACCAGCGGCTTCCAAAGCATGAGCATTAGCGAAGTCTTCGGCGAATTCCGCTGCGGCAAAACCCAACTCTCCCACACAATGTCCGTCATAGCCCAACTCCCCCGTTCCCACGGTGGCGCCGACGGCAAAGTAGCCTACATCGACACGGAGGGAACGTTCAGACCCGAACGCATTGCGCAAATCGCCGAACGTTTTGGGATGGACCCGGACACTGCGCAGGAGAATATTGCTTATGCGCGTGCGCTTAATTCGGAGCATCAGTTGGAGTTGCTGAATACGTTGAGTCGGGAATTTGCGGAGGGACAATATCGACTCCTTATTATTGATAGTATTATGAACTGTTTTCGGGTGGATTATTGTGGACGCGGGGAGTTGGCGGAGAGACAGCAGAAGCTGGGTCAATTTTTGATGAAGTTGGCGCATATGGCGGAAGGTGAGATTGAAATGCGTCTTTGTTATTTGGGAATTCTCGAGTGCATTTCGTTTTTGTTTGTTGTTGGGAGGTGAAGCTCGCGCTAACTCCTTGATGGTGGGTTATCTGCAGAGTTCAATGTTTGCGTCTTGATGGTAAGTCATTCTTCGATCTTGGACTCGCTTGTGGTGGTATGACTCCTGACTTCTTGCTCAGACCAACCAAGTCCAGAGTGACCCTGGTGCGAGCGCGTTATTTGCAGGTGCTGATGGCCGGAAGCCGGTTGGTGGACATGTCCTTGCTCATGCTTCGACGACTCGGGTGCTCCTGCGCAAGGGCCGCGGTGATGAGCGAGTGGCAAAGATCCAGGATTCCCCTGGTATGTCTTGACCACATTGGACAGATTGGGTATCTTGAATTCTGATTTTCATAGATTGTCCTGAGCGTGAGGCGACTTACGTGATCACCAACGGCGGCATCAGTGATCCGGACAAGGTGTGAGTGGCTGATGTGAGAAGGATATCGACAATGTCCGGGGAATACCAGAGGAGCCGAGCCAACATGACAAATACGACATAACGACAAGACGTATAGATTAGCGTATAATCACCATCAGATTCAACAGGAATATCAATTTATTCATACTCAACCCCCAATGCGGTAATCACCTTTAGGGCTAATTCTATGCGACTACCCACCGCCTGCCCCACCGCTCCAGCATAAACTGGGCAAAATCTCACGCTAAACGTAAAACTTCAAAAAAAGATCCAGCCAGAATCTACAACCCAGCGAATCCCAACGCCACCCTCAGTCATGAAGGCCACTTTCGAAGTGGCGGGCTATACGACCCTCCCACTCCAACTCCCATCAACACCCACATACCCAACACCAGCCGCCCACTACCTCTACATCCGCCCTCACGAGCCACGCATTCCAGACCCAGACTCCGCCCGCTCCCTCTTCATCGTCAACGCCCCAATTGACACAACAGAAGTCCACCTGCGCAACCTCTTCAGCACCCAACTCTCCGCCGGCCGCGTCGAGCGCGTCACCTTCGAAGACGTCCCCGTGAAAAAAGCCGGCCTCGCAACCGCAACAGAACCAAACCTCTCCCACCGCTCCAACAAAAAACGCAAGCGCGTCACCGCCGATGATCTCCAAGGAACCCTAGACTCGATCCAGGTCCCTTCAAGCTGGGACCGTGCACTCCATAAATCCGGCGCCCACGCCATCATCGTTTTCGCCGACAAACCCAGCATGGAATCCAGCCTGAAAGCCGCCGCAAAGGCCGCCAGAAAGGGCACGGCTCTGCTCTGGGGTGACGGTATCCCCGCAGACCGCATCCCTGCACTAGGCGTGCAGCGGTATCTTTCTCATGAGAAGCGCCGGTATCCCGAGCGCGGTGCGCTCCTGCGCACCGTCAACGACTTTATGACCGTCTTTGAGCAGGTGTCCGAGGCGCGGAAGAAGGAGGAGTCGAGGAAGGCTGAGGAGCCTGATGAGGATGGCTTCGTTACTGTTACGAACGGACCGAAGTTGAACTCCGTTGCCAGGGCGGAGGAGATGAGGGAGCTTGTTGAGAAGCAGAAGAAGAAGGAGGCCGGGTTGGAAGACTTTTATCGGTTCCAGAGTCGGGAGAAGAGGAAGGAGAGGCAGCAGATGTTGCTTAGGCGGTTTGACGAGGATAAGCGCAAGTTGGAGGATATTAAGATGCGGAGGGGCAAGATCCGGGTAAGTTTTGCTTTTTGGATGTTCAACATGCTTTTGGGAATGTGCCTGCTAACCCTGCCGTCTATTTTAGCCCGAATGAGGAAGTGTATAGCATAAAAGCATGGCGTTTTGGGAGTTCGAGCTGGGCTGGACCGGGGACATTATTCTCTCTTATCAAGTTCCTGGTACAGTGTAAGTTATCTGTACTTCTCGTTTATCTTCTTATATCTCTCTCTCTCTCTCTCTCTCTATCTATACATACTATCCATTCATATCTCTTCCATGATGACTCCGCTGGGGCCAGTGTAGCAAAACGCGCCTAGTCCGCTGTTTTGCAATGCCATCAAACACCAGCGTTATAAATAACCTTCTCGCCCTCTGAAACGGAGATTGTCGAGTTTCGTGTATATCAGACGTTTGTTGGGCAGTTACTGATTGTTGCATGAATTTATGTCTCGCAGGGTTCCCTTGGTTCTATTGGGTTCTTTACTGTAGCTACGATAATCTAGCCTCATCCATGCTCGGGGGCCTACCAACCCCTGAGTAGCGACAGACTCTGGGAGAGTCAATTAAAAAGTCGCTAAGCAGTGCCTCGGATATGATAGAAGATTTGGAATACATGGATGAAACGCTCAAGTTGTTCGTACAAATGTCCGCAGCATATCATTATACGCATATGTGTTTCATTCCTACTTTCTTCATCCCGGATGATGCTAGGATACATAATTGGCTCAACGTGCATCGACCTCGAAAACAATGCAATATTTCATAGATGTCAATCGTATCAAACTTTCTCTTCCGCTACCAGTGAAGTACCCATATCAAGTTTTCAGTCTCAAGCTACGCAGTCTAATAGTTGGGATAATGAAGCGGGCGAGTGCAGCTATTGAATAAGAATCGTGAGCTATCGGACAGCAAATCAGCTCCCTAAAATTGATTGAAGAGACCCCAGAGCCAGGTTTTTCAATATTCGAATCCTTGGAACAGGATACCAGAACACGATAAGCCCTCGGAACTTTGACGTGAGGATTGAGACATGTACAGCCATCTACTGTCAAACCCCGCACAGACCAAGGCTTGGCATGACATCCCACGTTGTCAGCTCACGTTGGTAGCTCGATCAATTTGTTACACCAGATCCTTTTCTCGATTTGATTGGAGCAAGTTTAGTACAAGGAACCTGCCACATCCTCCACGGTAACTTCCGATTATCAAGCTTGGAGGGAATGTGGAAGCAACCTGGTCATAAGACCTCTCTCAGCGGACGATCGTGCTCGACAACTCATCAAAGCAACGACCCCGGCTATTGAAGTCAACTCTTCATTTGTTTGCTCCAATCAACCCCTGTGTCTCACTTTCTTTGTTTCCCTGCCCCGTACTACAAAACCCCCCGAAGCCCCTCATTTCATACAACCCGCACTCTCCCGCCCAGAATGGCCAACATACCTCCAAACGGCGTTGACTCTGATGAGGACGTCGAGTTCGAGGATGTCCCTTTTCAGCCAGCTCAGCCTCAACAACCGTCTACAAATGGCTCTTCAGACCTGCCATCTGAACATGCCGGCCCCGTCTCCACCAACATACCATGGGTTCCAACACTTCGCATCCCGCCTCAGCGCGAGGCACCCTATGCCTCCGGCTCGAATGCCGAGGTACAGCTCCGGGGCCGTCTGAGTACTGCGATCGACCGAATCAATTTCCGCCAAATGAAAGCCCAAATCGGCATGGACACGTCAATCACGGAGCCCGGTTTTAGTCGATACACCTGCATCCAGCAATTGGCCGATGATATCGAGGCTACGGCCGATATGCTCTGGGAATCAGCAACACGTAAGTTTCTTCCACTCTACATCCACACGGTCCAGCTTCCCATTTTACTGACACTCTTCCACAGCCTCCATCCAAGTCGAAGGCCTGATCACTCTAGCCGGCATCCTGGAACGATCCCTGGGGACATACCCCTTCGACCCAGAGCCCACCTTAGCAATCCTCGACAAACTAGATTACTACTTCATCGCACTCATGCAGGGCGAACATCCACTATCACACGTACGTCTGCCCGGCGCAGACACTCATCGACCATTCGTCACGCAGACGCAAAAGGTCCGTATTCGCAGCATCGCCGAGTCTACCCGCACCAAGCTCTTTTCGATGATGCCCCAGTCCCAGGATGATGAGGATGAGGACGGGGAGGAAGAATCTGATGATTGGGAGGAGCCAGAGATGCCGCCGTGGATGATGCAAGCGACGCGTATTTATGAGCGCGTTTTGATGCTTCTCGGAGACTAGGGAGATCCGGATGAGGCGTGGAGTTGATTAGATAGGGGACGAGCTTTGTTTCTTTTTTGTGTGTACGTTTGGCGCTGGTATGGAGTTTAGGTAGTTGGAATCGTTCGAGTTGATTTGATTTTTGCTGGGGTTGCTTTTATGGAGTTATTTAGCACATCCATTGGAGCCGTATATGAGGAGTTACAATCACAAGGGCTAAGAAAAGCCTTGGGTAAGAATCCTCTTGTAAAAAGGAACCGAACGAGGATCTTAGACTTATATCCATTTGGATGTCCATTCGGATTGAACTTGTTTTTTACAAATGTTCTTCACATTTATTCCTCCACAATGTATGCCCTGCCCTAATCTAGTCTACTTGACGTCCTTCTGGACACACAGACCAGTCCCACTCCACAGAGCCGCTAACGCCCTCTTAAAAAAATCAAACAAGACGCGAACCTTCTCGAAAACACACCAACTAACCCCACCCACACGCAACCGCCCAAAAAAGAAACGAGTGGAGATGTGTGCGACTCCTCAGGTGTACCTGAAAAGGTAATGGAGTACACTACAGTACTGCAGTATACCACCCGTATAATCTATCCACATCATGTTCCCAAGCACCCGGGCCCCAGTTAAAAACCCATCGACCCAAGCAAAGAACCACCCATAATACCCAGCATACCGTGGGTATGTATGTAACGTTCCAAACGAGCTCCCGTCACCCGTTCCGTAATGTCATGATTCATGCTCAGTGTGCGTCTCGTATATTCAATACGGCTCCCATACAGCCCTGTATCAAGAGAAGCGAAGCCCGGGCTTCTCTTTGGCTAGAAGTGTCGCGAACTAAGGTGGATGCGAGCCCTGAAAGTGGAGCCGCTTGGGTCTTGGGGGCTGCTCAGCCTCGGGCCTGAGCCACGGCCTGGGCAAGAGGTGATTACGTGCATGTCATTACATGGTAGTACTTCGTACTGGGATTTGGAATGACAATTCGGAGGATTATGACTGTTTTCATAGATAGGTGATAGAAACTGGTTCCTGCTGGGAGAATGAGACCATGATTGAAATTGGTTGCGATGTGTTTTTCTCGGTAAATAAGCCCTAACTTATCGTCCTCTTCCTTTTGATTCCGATGGTTGGGTGGTTGAAGCTGTGTTCCATGGTTCGCGGGGGCAATTATTAATATGCCCTTGTTGGGAAGTGCGCGTTTTTACGCGAGTCGCGCGTTTCTTTACAAAAACATGACGAGCTACGGAGTACAGTATACTATAATAGAGTACACCCATATAGTAGACTCAATAATCAACATGCGACTCCCCCAGTCTGAATAAAGCATAGTGCCACGCACGGGATCCTGTCGATATTGATGCTTATTTCAATATTGGGAGCATATACCTACTCTACTACGAGTTCCCTTTTGTCTATCAATACCATAATCAAAGTCGGCATTTCCCTAGGCAATACTACATTCTGCAGCAGGGGTCCCACCAACCTGCCATCGCACAGAAATTAAGCGCGGTCGCGTAGTCTATCTCAACGATTGAAACACATGCAAGGACTGGGATTCATTAGCCGGGGTTTCCTCGGGCATCAAATCGCTGCCCTACGTCCTGCGCTGCCCTCCCTCCCGCACCGGTCTCAATGGATCAGCAATCCCTTACTCGTCCCGGGAAATTGAGGGTGTGCTGTTACAAATTCCAAGACCTTTCATGAAGATCTGGTAAGGACGAACAAAACAAAGAAAGATCAACGGCCATAGTGAACGCGTCGCGTCCCGTGGGTAATAAAGCCGGGGAGGAAGAGAATGAGAGCTACATTGGTACCGTAGGATAACTACTACATTAAGAAAAGTATGCACACGCGCTTGCGCCAAACTTACATTGACGGAAACTTACATTGACGGGACTGGATAAAATCTCTGATGTTCTTGATAATACAAAAAGAGTGCTGGAAAACCTCTAGAAGCAACGCCATTACTCCTACAGTACTTCTAACGGTGGTAGGCGTAGGACCGTCGATGAATCATGAATGATAATGCGTGTAACTATGGATGTATTCAATGTAAGTACAAGAAAAGGCTAAAAGAAGCGGGGCCCTTACAGTTATTACCAGGACCCACCGTGTCAACCAATGAGAAGGCTGAATGGCCCAAAGAAGTTGGGCCCGTGGGTTTGGTTCAGCTCGATGCTGTACGCGAGTGACGTATCGTTGCTTGGACTGTCCTTGCTTTTATGGTGGACATGGATCTGAGAACCTTGCTTCGAGAAGGACAGATATGTACTTGTGCGAAGTATGGAGTACTGCTGCGTTATACTATATATTTCGATCCTTTGCCAGTAGAGATCGTACTGAATACTTGTTTCATCTGTCTTGATTGAGCTATTTAGTGTCTATAGCATAGCAGTATTAGTAGCGATGAGATGAATGGAAGAATAATTGCCCTTTGAGATCTACACCCATCACATGTAGAAGCTGGACGGTTGATGATGCCCAATGGCCAGCCTAAAATACAAGGAACCAACACTGCTGGACAACACAGGAAAGCGGTGATGGCGGCAATACGACAGCCACGGGTTTTTCTTACAATACCATGAATACCAGACTGTCAGCCAGTCTACGGTTCTGTGGCGTCCAGTGGAGCTCGTCCCGTTTGTTCGCTGCAAGTTTGGGGACTTTGCTCAGCTCAGATTCTTACCCGAGAAGGCCGAGGGAACTGGCATGAACTGGCAATTCGTAGCTATTACTCAAGTACTGTACCCGCTTGAAGAAAAGGCAGCTGAACGATCCACTTCAGCATAATGCCGTTGCTCTAGCGATTGAAATAGTACATACTATAGGCTAGCTTTATAGCTGTATAGTACCTGCACCCCATCGGCGATAATGCCCACGGGCGACAGGCTTTGTGTCAAATTTTGAATTTGGGATTTGCTTTTGTGTTAGAGGTCGTTTTGCGACAAGTCACATTGCAAGGTCAACGACAGGGCTTTGAGTCCTTGCAGATTTCATGCATGGATCAGATTTGGGGCTGTTCTTGATTCATTCCCCTTGCCCTGCTCACTCGATTTCTCCCCCGCGTATGCGGAAGACACTTCGGTAATCATTGGAATATGTACATTTCAAGCCCTTCGTATAGAGAGTGGCGAGCATAAAGCTCGAACTATTGTAGGCCTACTAGGTACAGTCACTCTGGCCGAGACTCCGGATGAGAGCGGAAGTGTATCTTGTTATCCGTGTGCTCTGTCAGCTGGGGACGATTGGCCCAATTGAATGGATAATTCAAGCTAGAATACGAAGTATCATAGTATGTACAAGAGTAGAACGGGTGGTGATAAAGGGAGGACCGTATACTGTAGCCTGAACCTATAGTATAACTCGAGATCTGTTCATGTATTAAGAGGTAGAGAACCTTTGATTTTCCGGGATCTTAGAACGTAGTGAGATGCTCACAGGTCCCCCGCATATCTGATATCACCACGCTTTGACTTTTAGGACAAGGTCCGGGGGTCTCGTACAGGAACCGCGCATGCGAGTCCAGACGGTCGGGAATATGTATGGCATACAGAGTACAGAGTGGTTGGCCTGGAACCCTTGAACGGGAAAGTGAGGAGGCAATTCTCCCAGACTCTAATTATTTTCTCTTGATCTGTAACTCTCTGAATGATAATACTGTACTATCTACACAATATACAGTATCTCCATAAGCATAGTCACAGTAAATTGGATGCCAATTTACGGTATTCTCCTTTACCATACCACGACCACACCACGGTCCAACCACGACCGAAACCAATACATACCAATACCACGTTTCGTCAGGTATCTTACATTCAGCCTCTCCCATCTCACGCATTTTTCCCTCGTTTCCCCTCTCTTTTCCCGATTTGTTTCGTTTCGCTGGGTTTCGCCCTTTCCCAGGAAAAACCGGGCCTCGTCTTAATCAAATCTGAGATTTCCAATTCTTCATCGCTTTCTTTTCCCCTCCTCCAACTTCCTTCCCCTCCCTCCTCTTTTCCTATTGTTTCCATCCCTGCTTCGTTCTGTCTTGCGCGCCGTTTCGGGAGTTGTGCTTTTTCCAGGTCTCTCTCGCAAGTCTTCTCTTCTCGTCGTTTCGTTTTGAGCTTTCTCGAGGTCTTTTCCAATATTCCCCTTGGTGAGTTCGTTTCAAGTGTTTCGTTGGTTTTTCCCTATGCGAAAAAAAGCCTCTTTCATCATTCATCCCAAAATCCCCTCCCCCGCTACTACCCACGACTGCTCTACACCTTCCCCCATCTCTATCGACTCCCGCTCTCAAGCGCATTGCGATCCTAAATGGGTTGCGCTTGTTCCTCTCTCGGTCGCTCGGCTCTATCATCGCGTGGGGGCCCTGGAAACCCGGTCCAGCTTTTCTCTTACGGGAACCGCATCGCGCCGCCCGATTCCGCCGCTCGCTCACCGCCTACCATCCTCCCATCGCCGTCGCTATGGTCGCAATCTCGATTACAGAGTCAAGCTGGTTGCACGGCCTGAGTGGATGAGAGAGACTATCTGGGTGGGGCCGTTGTGGTGGATGGTCGCAATCGCCTCGACGATGGGAGCGACGGGTCGACGGAAACGGCCGCATGCGGGTCCAAGCTGCACCATCACGACAAACCGCTTTCCTCTCATCTGCCTGGCGCATTGGAATCGGTTACCTGCGCTTCCTGGTCCGCTTTCCTGCGATTGTGCGCTGCCTGGAAGGGAAAAATCACGCTGGTCTGGGCGAATTCCGGTGCCTGCTCTGCGATCGTGGCCTAGCGGAGCTTTGCTATTGCGATCGCTTCGGTTCTTCTGCCCTCGACACTCTCAACCCTTCACACTCCTTCCGACTCTATCTTCTTCTTTTTTGTCTTGTGAATTCAACGCAGTTCAAATACATGCGCACCCATCTTTGTTTCCTCACACCCACTCCTCACACCCACTCCTCACACCCACTCCTCACACCCACTCCTCACACCCACTCCTCACACCCCTGTGATTGCTCTTCATCTCAACACTTGCTCGTTCCACGCACTCTCCTCGTTTCTCCTACTCCCGCGACGCGGAAACCAGGACATCGACATCAGACAAGACCGAATCTCATTCTAACATTCTCTTGCTTCGGCAATTTCAGGAAGCCTAACGCCCATCTCTTAGTTTTTGGGTTTACGAAGTTGTGCTCGCTACATCTTACGGTCTCTCCTTAACGACTCCACGAAGTTTTTCAGGCCGTCTTATATTCCTACTTCGATTTTCGGACAAGTTTGATCTTTGCAAGCAACAATGTCTTTCCAGAACTTCGAATCCTTCCCCAACCAGGACGCCGCTGCCGCTGCTGGTGCCCCGGCCCAGGCCGACACCACCATGACTGGCCAGGCTGACCCCGCCGGCGCTCCCTTCCAGGGTCCTCCCGGTGATGCTGCCGCTGGTCCCGGCCCTCAGCAGGGTGCTGATGGCAAGACCACTCTCTGGTATGTTTCTTCTTCCGTCTGAATTTCAGTGCCAGAAGAAAAAGATCCGAACCACTGACTTTGCTTTTTCTACAGGATGGGTGAGCTTGAGCCCTGGATTGATGAGAACTTCATCCGCAACCTGTGGTTCCAGATGGGTGAGCAGGTCAACGTCAAGATGATCCGCGACAAGTTCTCTGGGTAAGACCATGACCTCTCCCTCTCTCTTAACTTGGCCTTAACAGAAAGAATCTAATGTTGGTAGTAGGAGCAACGCTGGATACTGCTTCGTGGACTTCGCTTCCCCCGCCGCTGCCGCCAAGGCCCTCTCCCTGAACGGCACCCCCATGCCCAACACCAACCGTGTCTTCAAGCTGAACTGGGCTACCGGTGGTGGCCTCGCTGACCGCAGGTGAGCACTCGTCCTCAACAAGTCCTATTTTGAATTCCTATTGGGGCCTTTGCTGACTCTTTTCTTCCCTTCCAGCCGTGATGACCGTGGCCCCGAGTACTCCATCTTCGTTGGTGATCTCGGCCCGGAGGTTAACGAATACGTTCTCGTCTCCCTCTTCCAGAGCCGCTTCCCCTCTTGCAAGTCTGCTAAGATCATGACCGACCCCATCAGCGGCATGTCCCGTGGCTACGGTTTCGTCCGCTTCTCCGATGAGAACGACCAGCAGCGTGCTCTCACCGAGATGCAGGGTGTCTACTGCGGCAACCGCCCCATGCGCATCTCCACCGCTACCCCCAAGAACAAGGGTCCCGGTGTCGGTGCTGCCAACATGGGCGGCATGCCCGGTCCCGCCGGCATGTACCCCCCTATGGGCGGTCCCCCCATCGGCTTCTACGGTGCTCCCCAGCCCATGAACCAGTTCACCGACCCCAACAACACCACCGTCTTCGTCGGTGGCCTCTCCGGCTACGTCACCGAGGATGAGCTCCGCTCTTTTTTCCAGGGATTCGGAGAGATCACCTACGTCAAGATCCCCCCTGGAAAGGGTTGTGGTTTCGTCCAGTTCGTCCAGCGCCACGCCGCTGAGATGGCCATCAACCAGATGCAGGGCTACCCCATTGGTAACTCTCGTGTCCGTCTGAGCTGGGGCCGTTCCCAGAACAACTCCGGCCCTGCCGGCAGCCCCTACCGTCCGGCTCCCCCTCCCCCTCCCATGTACCCCTCCATGGGCATGCCCCCGGCTCACCAGTATGGCGGGTTTGCCCCAATGAAGGTTAGCAGTCACCCCGGCAGCCCGGCCCCCGAACACTCTTGAGTTATCAGGCTCGGTCGGCTGACTACTTCTCTTCTCTTCCAGTAAGCGCGTTCTTCTTTGATTGAAAGCACCAGCAGGAGTTGTTTTTTGCATCATTCCAATGATGGGCCCCCCCTCTTCCTTTTTGTTTCTCCATAACAAAATTTGCTTTTCCCTCTTTCCCCCTCTCTCTGGTTTTTAACACCTGCCCATAACGCTCCTATACCTCTTGATGAGCAAATTTTCTCTCCTGTGCTACGCATATTTCGTTGAGCGCTTTTATCTTAGCAAGATCTGAGCCGTCTTCTTCTTACCTGTTTTCCCTTCCTCCCCCCTGTCGGATCCAACGATCCCGTTTCCTTATGGTCTCTTATTCTTTATTCTGTATCTCCATCCAACCTTTCCACCAAATTCGTACTGCCCCCTTGTTACCCCCCACGCTCGATGCCCCCCTCTCCAAGTTTATTTTATGGTTATCCTGCTATCTTTCTTATTTTCTCAATCCCCGCCCTGGGGGTCCCGTTCGCGTGTAACGAAAGTCCGTATTCTTCATGCGTTTCTTTTTACTTTATACTCCATGGGCAGGCCTTCTGCGAAAAGTTCTAAGATATTCCAATCCTTCGCAAGTCTTTCTTCCACTCTTATCTTTCTTTTCCTATGTCCGTTTCCGTCTCTACCTCTTTCTCTTGATCGAGCAGTCAAATTGAATTTACGTTCTTGCTTCGAACGGCTCGCGCGTTCTGCTTTTTCCTCTTCGTTTCCTTGGATTGGACTTTTGGTTCTTCTCGTTAGACTGATTACCGACTTGTACAACACGTCTTGCTTTGTGTTTTTGCCGCTTGTTGGGGTTTCTTTGGCGGTGATAAATTCTCCATGCACTCCCTTTGGTTCATCGTGAATGCTTTAGCCTCTCGTCATTGATCCTTGCCGCTGCCGTCTTTTTGTTTTGCCTTTGGCTGGCTGTATGAGTTTTGGCAGATATGACCATCGTCGTCCCTTGTAGCTTAGAGGGCTTTCTACTTTTCTGATTCTGTGTGGTTGGCGTATACGCACGAGGACTTTTGCTTGAACGCCTTATGTCAATCATTCTGTCCATTATTCTGTGTGAGTGTCTTCCTCTAGATGCAAGGATGGCCTTTTGTTCTTCGTACTTGGTGTCATCTTCGTCGGCAGGCTGTGCTTGATCTTCATACTGGCGTTTCCGTTGCACTTGGCCTGGATGATTCCCCTTGTTGCTTTTACTCTTTTTCTCAACCTCCCTTTGAATGATTGGAGAGGCATTGCACTGTGAATTTCCTTCTTATTAATTACATCTATTGATGGCGTTGTGTCCTGTAATGGTTTACGGGAACATAGACAATCATAGATGGATGGTGTTGGTTAGAAATTGGAGCATCAGAGTCTGGTCCCATACTGTAAATACTCGACAAGTGCCTGGGCTGTCTGGCTTTATTGTTCCTTCCATATCCTACTTGCGCCTTCCTCCTCCCCAACGTCCTATTTAATTTTTCCTCATTTGCGGTTTCTGTGTTTTCCTTTCACTACGAAACACCTCACAATCTCCGTCTCTTTCCCATTCGAGCATCTTCATGTTAACAACTTGAACGAAGCTGCAGAAACCGCAACCCCCCCGTCTATTCCAAACCCCATCACCTCACATCTCTTCTTTGTCCATCTACACACCTACACATACAAGTCACACAGAGACATAATGCGCTACGAGAACTGGGACATCCTCCTCTTCCCGGAGGGTGCACGAGTCCCCATCCAGGAATTCAAAACACAGTGCTTCGTCACCAGGGATACCGAGTCTCCCTATCTCCAAAATCCATCTCTCCTCGGCCCAAACGCCTACCTTCGCGTCCAGGGCAGTCATGGGCACATTCCCATCCTGACCTCATTCATCCCCACGCTGCCCCGGGATAGTTGCTTTCGCGTCTCGATCCATAGCTGGGAGAATCCCCGGCCCAGTCGATTGACCGAAAGCTTGATGCAGCCGGATGATGTGTTGTTGTATGAGGCACGGGTGTTTGTCGATGGAATTTGTGTCGCGTGAGTTTGTTCGGGGCTGCATCTACTGACGAGCGGGGGCTAACTATGGGTGATAGAGCCGGTGTCTTCGGACCGAGAGCGGCGTGGCCGTATGTTATCAGTGAGTCTTGGATGTTCAACTTTGTTTCTCCCGTGGGTTGCATGTATGGACTGACGCTTCTTCCCTGAAGATCTGAGCTCTGGTATTTATGACTCTCCTCCCGGCGCAACTGATGACGTTGTATTCTAACATGACTAGATGTTGATCGCGAGGGGAACCAGGACTATCTGCGTTTTCCTCCATTTCACGGCCAGATTCTGGAGCAGCGACACTGGAATGCCTCTGATGAACTGGGCCGAATCAGAATTGTCCTTGCGGAGGGCTTTTCTCGTCCGAATCGCTCGCCCCCGTTTGAGAGAGTCAAGGACGTTATCGTGTTCTCTTTCCAACACGCTCCGCAGCGTATGTACACCGTGGGAGAATGGAATTGCGTACGAGGAGAGCTCGGTGATGTGCTAATCTTTTGGACAGACATCTTGGAGTTCTCCCAAATCGCATGGCCGAATCCCCAAATGTGGCCTCAGGCTACATCTCGAACTGTGTACAAGGTCGACCATAGCAGTTTTGTCGACGCGAGGGAGCCGGAGGATACCCATGCCCATTCACCCAGAAAACCTGACATGCGTGTGCCCATGACCTCTGTGGCATCGATGGTATCGAATATTCCGTCGAGCAGCAGTCAAGCACCCATTGCATACCACAACGCTTGGGCATCGAGTCGTGCCTTTCCCCTCTCAACATCTCAGTTGTACCCATTTTCGGCACACACCCCCTCCCGAAATCCCCGCTGGGCTGGATATCCAGATCGCCAGCAAGACTCTTCCTTCATTCAGCCCGTCAGAGACCCCTTCACCGACGATGTGACCTGGCGGCATCGCGGTGCCCGGTCATCCCGCGAGGACGTCCCCATGCCAGACTACAGCTCCTCTGGCAGCCGTGCAATCTCTAGTGTGGCAGGTATGAGTTTCGAACACAGCAAGCACTCCAGCATGTCCGCTCCTATGGATGAGGAGCACTACAATCTGCTGATCGACGCTATGACTCCTACAAAGCCTCCCATGGGCACTCGTGCGCCGTCCAACACACCCTCAGCTATGGCCGTGCTTCCAGTTACAGCGACGACTCCCGCAACCCAGGTTCGCAAGGCAAGCGGCAACAAACAGGGTTCCCTCCGGACCTCGGGTCTCCGTGAGCGTTCCCAACCCAGCAGCCGTGATGTTTCTGGCTCGGTCAGCATTCTGGCAGAGAAAATTACTTCCCCGGCTAAAATTGGTGCTAGCCCCAGTGCAAATGTGAAGAGCCGGAAGGAGGGTGATATGGAGAAGCATGAGAAGGAGAATGAAAGTACTGTCGGTACTGATCTGTAGGCTGATGGATGAGGCAATGAAGGGATTTGCAGGATGGAATATTCTTATGGAGGACTCGGATGTACTCTTTTGTTGATATCTTTACGTAGCACGAGGACAGAGGAAGGGGATACTCAGGCTATTCAATGGCTGGTAATGGACTGAAGTACTTGATATTAGCGTAGTATTCAAGAAAGCCTCTTTGCACAAACAGATATGCCCATGCCAGTGCTGCTAATCATGTTTTTAAATAGATAATCCAGTATCACCATCACAACCATAGTATACTGTATTCAAGCTCTTCTCATTCGTTTGTCCTGTACGGAAACATCCAAATCCAGAAGGCACGCGTCCCCTCCTCCTCCATGCTTGTTCTCACGATTGTGACTTTGTTGTCGTGTTTTTGGCATCATGTCTTTGTTTTTGTTTTCCTCGTTTCTTCTCCATCTCTGAATCCACGTCCACGTTCACAATCCTTCTCCTCCCCAACCATCAACACATCTCCTCTACCGACACACTACCACAAACATTTCCAACCTACTCTCTACATCCATCTCACTACCGCCATCCACTTTGCCCCTCATATTTGTCTTGAAACATCGTCACCATGGCTGAGGAGGGTATCGGTGATACCCCGACCCTTCAAGCTCAAGACACCCCGATGTCTGATCAGGCCGTTACTGGTACGAACACCTTCTACGCTTTTCTTGGGAGACCATACTGACGCAGTGGCTTTGTGGTAGACTCGTCGACTTCGACCGTGGTCTCTCCCCCAGAGACCGCGCTGATAACTGCCCCTCCTCCGATGGAGCTCTCCTCGACTGAGGGCCCGTCTACAGGCACAACTTGCACTGTGGATATGGTCACCCCTGCTTCTCAGGCAGAGTATCAGGCTGATGAGTTCCTGGAAGCTATGAGCGCTGCTCTGAGCCAAGGACTGAACTCTGCTTTAGTCCAGGGTCAGGGACAGGCCTCGAGTGCCCAGGAACTGCAGGAGGCTCCTGCTCACACCCAGCTTCCGAGACCGAGCTCAGATCTGGTCCAGGAACAGAGCCAGACGTCGCCTGCCCAGAACCCGCAGAAGGGCTCTGATAAGCCCAAAATTCCGAGCCAAGGGCGGATTTCATTCCGTGAAACCCCTATAGCTCATTCGTCCGTTCCAACCCCGAATCGAAGGAATGCCCAGACCTGCATGCCTGGAAGCATGAAGCCTAAGAAGGGTCTACTTGGACCGAACTCGTCTGAGACCTCGCGCATGACTGCTTTACTCCCGGAGACCTTCCAGACGCAGTTGGTCTTGCGTGGAGCTCCGAATGCACCTGTGCTGCCGCGACAGAGCTCTGGCATGACGCAAAACGTTCCGGCGTCCGGTGCTTGGAATGGGTTTGGGTCCACTTCATACGGCGCACCATCTCGCCAAACTCCTTTTGGTGAGCCTTTGAAACCTGCGGAGGAAGGTGAGATACGCCGTCCCCAGGCAAATTTGACATCCGTCCCTCAACTTGTACCGGGGATGGACGGGCAGCATGATGATGACCAGGTACGTTGCGCAATCATTGTGTCAAAATGGTTTACTGATCATGGATCTCAAAGATCACTCTGGGATCCCTTGTGCTAGAAAACTTGTCGGATCACGAAACGCTGTTCTACTTTGGTGCGTTGTGTATTATGGCTCGTTTAAATCCACAGTTCTTGTTCAAGTATGGCGGCAGGAATGGAAAACAGGTCGGCGCGCGCCTGGTTATGTACGGGCACACCATTCTGGTCGCACCTGATTTAGATTCAGCGTCTATTGCCAGAGCGGTGGCCTGTCGCCAGGCCTTGATCGAGCTGCGGAAATACCATCCAGATTGGATGGTTCCTCCGCTGCCGGTCAATGGGGCAACTCAACCCCAGTGGAATTGGGTTAACCTACTCGGTGGTAAGGCTTTTTTTCAGAGCCCTTGCTCATTGCGATCATATCTGCGATAGATAGAGGCTAATGATATTGAGTTTGAAGGTTTCTGCGAACAGGCCAACTGGCCGGCGCCCATGTACAACACGGCTATCTTGGGAAACCAGTGGCATAGTGAGGTCGGCGTCAAAGGCTTCTACTTTCGCACCTTCAAGGGGTGTGGAAGTATGAGCGAGGCCCAGAACACCGTGTCCCATCATGCTTTGCACCAGCTTTTGGTCATGGATGACATTGATGTGGCCAATATCTTGCCTGTGAACTCTCCAATGCTGGTCTTCCCGGAGGCCAAGAAGCCCGTGACGCCTCTTAGTGAGGAGGCCATCCGCAACAGGTCTCGCCTGTTGCTGAATGCTATTGGGTCTTTGAGATCCTACCCCGGTGAGACCAGCAAATCTCAGTCCTTGCAGAGCACCGTGGACGCTCTGAATTCCCGTCTTCGGAAGGACGAGATCAAGCAACCAGGCACCATCTCCGGGCTGTCTGGAGGCAAGATCTCCAAGAAGCCGGTGAAGCCGACAAAGCCAGGACAAAAGAAGGGTGAGAAGAAGCCAGCTATTCCTCCTACCAAGCCGAATAGCCGGCCTCCGCCTCCCCCACGCCCTCCTCCCCAGGGAAGGCCACCGGGTTGGCGGCGGGGGGGACGCAGTTCTCGTCGAAGCCATGGACGCCTTTCCCCTCATCCGCAACCCAAGGCCAAAGGGAAGATTAAGGTCGTCGATGGCTCTCGTCCCAAAACTCCTCCAGGAAACGCCAATCTTGTGCCTCTGGAGAACGCCCGACTGGATCCCATGGAAATGGAGGTCGAGGTAGTCGTAGATCCACTGGCAACATTGAAGGCGATCCAGGACGGACTGCAGACCTTGAGCCCCCACGCCTCCTTCCTGCGATTGATGAAGAGTGAGTGCGAATCGATATCAAAATCTCTTAACGCATCCCTTTCCTATATGTTTCATCTATTGCATGGTTGTTCTCTCGAGTACCTAAACTGACTCTCGATATCTTTCTTCACAGAAATGTGCTTCGTCCTGAAGATTAAAGAGCCAGAGATCCGTTGCACGCAAGCCGTGGACAACGGTTCTAGTCCAATGTATGCTCACTTCGATGATCCCAATCCCTACCTCGTTCGCGCCAGCCCCGTGTTCCTCGCCAACGGACGCTGGGCCGATGAAGAGGCTGCGCGCTCGCTGGGCGTGAAGAAAATCATCCTCTTCTTGCTGAATATGTGCAAAGACGAGGTTGATATGGGTGTCCTCGAGGCTGGCTGGGAGATAGAACTGAAGTTCTTGAGTAAATTGGAACGCGAGATTGAAGATCGGGTGCATCTGATCGAAAACTGATGACAGTTCTACCGGTAGTAACCTATCTTGGAGTCCGCTGAGATGTTAGAGTGGTTGTATGATTTTGTGGAGACTACGAGCTCGGGTGTTGATGCCGCTGCTTCCTGTCTTTGGAGATGCTGGTTGCCATTTTTATGACGGAACGGCTGACAAGGATGGTTGAGGCACTTGCGGTCTTTTTTGCATCAGGGCATATGGTTTTGAGAATTATTCATTATTCATTCCAGGATTTGAATAACGCTCTGCTTCTTTTATGTATGATTATGATGTTATGTGTTAATGTGTTTTTCATTGATGTCTTTATGGTTGAATTATAAACTTTGGGACTCTGGACTAAGAGAGTCTGGAAAGCAGCCCGAGAGTCCTTGCGAGATGCCTTAACACTTTACGTAAACACGCATAGACTAGATTCTTTATTTTTGGAACTTTGAGCAGGTAAAGAGAAGGGGAAGGTCACTCCAGCGTGACTTTCGAAGGGCCTAGTGGACTACTAACTCTCACCCTACCCTGAACCAAGCACTTAAGCCTAACCGTCATGGTGAGAGCGATAAAGTATGCGAATGGCTTTTTATCAATTGAGTCCGAATACCTCCCACCAGACGGGTCTTCTTGACTGTTTGGAAAATGGAGGTTTCCCTTGAACTCGCGATGGAAATAACGACCTTATTATAGTTTGATTGCACCCTTGCACGTCTATTTTCTGATGATTTCGTAGGCCCCGTAAAGTCTTGTATTATCTTTAATGAGGTGAGGAGCGCTTTTGTTGAGTCTGGTTTTCCTCATGAGATATATTTGATGTTGAAATTGCCATTTGAAAGGAGATTTAATGCCACTTGAAGAATTGTGCTCAATTTTCCATACCATCTCTCTCAGTAGGATGGTCAGCGTAGCCAGGGGTGAACGCCCGGTACTTAGGCTCGCCCACAAACGGCCCGCCAGGATAGACTCTCCCCAGGTGATATTGGTAGGAAAAATAGCGCTTAAACGTCCAACCGCAATTGTTCTTCGAGCACACCAATCTAGGGTGCTCCTGGTAGGCACGGATAAAGCTCTGCTTTACATGAGAAACCCGAATTTGCGCAAATAGAGGCTTTCGGCGGTCATATCCCCGGAAACACACCCCCACACTCTTATATAAGTCAAGGTGAATTGGTCGTCGGTGTGCACTATAAGCGTAAACCAGTCATGGCCTGTGCGGGGTTTATGCTTGTTAGCCGCCGGCTTGTTAACCCAGTCGGCCGTGCCTACTAGGTCGAAGGCAAGTAAGTAGCTGAGCTCGGTCTCGTCTGCGACCCGGTGTGATCAAAACCTTTCCGCTGTCTAGACCTTGTTCAAGTGCTTTGTGTAGGCTCACAGCTAGAACATCATTAGCTATCATTAATCAAGGGAGATAGGAACCCAGATTATACAGATAAAAAAAGAAGATGGGAACTCCTGTTGACACGGTTTGGGGATATAAGTTCTTTGCTCGGGTAGTACTCTCTGCTCAAGACCAAGCTGTAACGGATATGAAGGAGGGGCAGTGCAAGAGCAGAAAGGGTTGAAGAAGCTGACAAATACTGTCACATCACTAGGGGCGCTTAGGCATAATACGCGCTTTCTGATGAGAGAAGACAGCCGGTCAGATGAGAGATAACTCGTCCACACGGTGAAGTTAAAGCTGAGATACAGAAAGTCAAGATACATGTTTCTTGGTCAACTGAGAGTCTATCATTCTCCCACTGATACCAAATGTAACTGAACATGCTTAGACCCGAGATAAAAGCAGTCCAGGTAACGTCAGGAAAGACAAGTTCCTAACGTTTTTGAAACTTGGTCAGAAACAACCGAGTATTGAAAATGTCCTGACCTAAAGAGAACAGAGGGAAATCAAGCCCGACATGACAAAGTGTCAGAACAAAGAGAAGCCCGTATAGACTAAGAATGTAGCCCATGGAGCATTTTTAGTTCTAGCGGTAGAGCGCCTCAAATTTGTTGCGAAACTAAGATAAACCGAAGTATAGGTGTATCTCAAATCCCAGTTCATCGAACACCAGCAAATCAATGAACCTAAACAGCAGCAAGCGCAACATCTCCTTTTTCATTGTCGTCCCCATCATAATTTCAAAGCCAAGCCAAGCGTAGCCAGGTTTGAAAATGCTAGTCGTAGTCCAATTTATCCATAATCCATACGTAGCCTTTTGGACCAACCCTCGTTGCATATACCAAAACGGCTGATACCATTGTAATAATCACCGATATGGACCAAGGATGTAAAGTAGGAGCTTGTAGAATGGGAAACGTAATTGTGAATTTCCAGTTCATAACGCCCATTTGGTTTGTTTGATAATAGGACCAGATCAAAAGTAAAAAAAAGGGTAAGAAATTGGAAGAAGAAAAAAGAAAGACAATGACAAGAAAAGGAAAAGAAAAAAGGCAAAGTATCAAAGGCATTCTAGTCCTTCGGTTAAAAGAACAAGAATGGATCATAAAGAAAAGGGAAATCCGGGTATAGCAGCTTCAAGATGCTGCTGGAATACTGCGGACCAGGGAATATCGGACATGGGCCAGATTCTCGTCCCATTTCGGGCAAGCGAGGGATTAAGTGACCAGACAAGGAATAAGGTGTAGTAATAAAACGAAGAGAAGCGAAGAAACTCGTAGGTCACAGTGCAACTAATCTCGAATACAGAATGGCGCCTCCGGGGTGTTCAGGGTCAGCCCATTTTCCACCCGTCGCAACAATCATCAGCACCGCTGCCGTGATCATTATCTGCGCGGGAGATGAATGTTCGACAGGGAGAAAAAAGAATCAGTTGGTTAGAAAGGAGAGAATTGGAGGTTTAGACAATGCAAACCACACACGCGAGACTCAAAAAAGGGAGAGGAGCACACCAACGCCAATCTCACAGCACATGCGCACGCAACACATATCCGAGCGAGGCAGAATAGGTTCCGTAAAAAAAGGTCCAAACAACAATCAATCAAGGGTGAAAGTTACCCGCAGGAAACGGTCAAGGAGAACGCACTAAAACGAAGAGGAATATCACAAATGTACAAAAACAAGGGTATATCGGAGGTTTAAACACCTGAAGAGAACCGTCAAGACTTTTCAAATCATTCACAGGCCGTCACCAGCCCCGGTCTCAACACCGTCAGCGGAGTAGCCCATGTTTGGGTCAAAGCCGAAGCCGGTACCGTCTCCATCGGTGTTGAGGAACGTATCAAAGTCAAAGCTCTCCAAAATGTCAGGGTTATCCAGAGTGCTGAAGTCCAAGCTGAAAGCAGAGGCCTATTTAGATTGAGTGTTAGTAATCCGAACACCGAGAATCTAATAGGAAGTGTGGAGTTGGGGCCATGGCTTACATCAGGAATGGAGAGATCATTGAATGTTTGCTGGCTTGGGTCCGGAGTGGGCTGAACCATGGGAGGAGGTGCAGGGGCCGAGGTCTGCTGGGGAGGTGCGGTTGCAGTGGCATTAGGTCCACCCTTGGCGAAGGAGTTGGGAGCATGAGGCGTGACGGGAGTAGATGGAGTCGGAGTAGGTTCGTTGGCCTCGGTAGAGGGGGTGGCGGCGGCGGCAGCAGCAGCGGCGTTCTTCTTGTTGGGACGCTATTTTCAAGAAATGTCAATTTGGGGACCCAATAAAAACAAAAAGACTTTGGATCTCCATGTTATCACCTACCTTGCGAGTGTTCTCCTTTGCACCTTCCTTCTTGCCCTTGGGGGCGGCCTTAGTAGACTGCTGGGGCGTCGGTGGCGCATTGCCAGTAGTTTGGGGAGATGGCGGCTGGGGACGGCCTGCGTTGGCGCCAGCCGGTGGTGCCTGAGGTGGAGGCATGGTGCTGCGATCCTGCGGGGTACCTGCCTGGGGTTGGGTGGCCGGCGAATGCTGAGGCATAGGCTGTCCGGGCTGCCATTGTCCACTGGGCACACGACCGGCGTTGGCGGGGATGGGCTGACCCATTTGAGCTCCAGTAAATGCCGGGTTGGAGCTTGGGGGACGCATGGGCCCACCGGGACCCGGGAAGAATCCGGCAGCCGCCATGTCGGGAGGCATCTGGGCGCCATTCAAACCCATTGACGCGGGGGATCCACGGTTTTGGCCCATGTCGCCGGCGCTTGGAGATCCCGGGAGACCGGTCTGAGGCATCTTGGGCGTGCCTCGTTTCATTTGATCGCTGGGGTTCGGGGACGCACCCGCCCTGCTACCCTGGGGAGAGGTGCCCGGAGGCAATCCCTGACCGGGCATTGGGGGCTGGCCGTCAGTACGGGACATGCTATCCTGCTCTTGACGAGCCATCATCAGGCGACGCTTATTCTGCTGTTCAAGCAGCATAAGTTGCATCTGATAGTCCTGGAGAGCATGGTTGCCATGCTGACCGCCAGGTGTTTGCATGCCGGGCCGAACCTGTTGGAGCTGGCCGTTTGAGTTGTAGTACTCTGGACCCACGGGGTACATGCCTCCTTGTCCATCCGGCATCGGCACCAGGTCCGCCTGATTCGGCATAACACCGGGATTCATCATACCACCATTCGGAAGACCCTGGGAATTCAATGCTGAGCGAGAGTGATGAAGGGCCAAGTTTTGAGCATATACCTGCATGGATTTCTGTTGCACAGCTTGTCCCGGCGGGAACTGCTGATACTGTGCCGGATTCATAGCCCTCTGCATTCCGTTCGGCATCATCAGCTGCTGGGGGTTTTGCTGGCCTTGCATCTGTCCCTGTCCACGTCCATTGGGAGCTAATTGCTGCCCGTTCACGGCACCACCTTCGAGGCGAGGGCGTTTCGACGGCGAGGGAGCGTTGTCAGCAGATGCAGGTGACTGTGGCCGATTCCCGTTCATGTCCATTTCAGACTGTTCCCGTTGCATCTGCTGCATGATCTGCATCTGCTGGTTCTTCTGGAACTGGGCGGCCAATTGCTGTTGGGATCTGTAGAAAATCAACGAAAATCGGGAATGATTAGCATAACTAGAAGTGGTGGCACGGAGATATGCCAAGGGTAGAAGCATACAAGCCGTTATTCAGAGCCGCCTTTTGCAAGTTGGGAGGAACCATGCCGTTGCCACCACGGCGAACGCCAAGTGGCACTTGGCCCGGCATCATCGGCTGTTGTCGCATGAGCTGGTTGTGTTGCTGTTCTCGGATGCGCATCATGTTCTGCAAGACCCATTGAGTCAGGATCGGTGGTGGTCGAGACCAAGTAAGAGCCACACAAATGTGACATCGCATGAGATTTTCCAACGTACCTGGGTGTGCTGGAGGTATTGCCTCACGTCGTTGCTGTTACCCCGCTTCCGCTGGGCCCAGAAGAAGTCCCAAAAGAGACTGAACCAGTCCAACAAGAAAGAGGACTGAAGACTTTCACTGGGAAGGCTGGGTCGAGGAAGATCATCAGGAATCTTGATTTTCTCGCCATCTTTTCCATCAGTCATCATAGGATCGCCATCGACGCCGTTCACGTCCCCGGGCCGGCTGCCCGGACTGGTCTTTGTGCCATTGTCGGTGTTGATCTTAATGGATTCGTCTTGCACGAGTGCACGCGCACAGTCGTGGTAGCCGCGTTTCAAGAAGTAGTCATAGATATAGGTGTTGAGGTTATTGATCATGATCTCGGGGTTATTCATGTTCATGCCGCCATCATTACGAGGAGCCGTGGACCCATTGTTCATCATGGGCACACCACCCACAGGGCCTCCGACTCCGGGGTTCATTCCAACGTTCATCTGGTTCATGGTGGCGAACGGTGGGTCTACAGCCACCCTTGCCTATGTACTGTAGAACGATTCAAGTCGAAGGACGTCGTATAAATACCAACGCGCATCCACCAAGTCAGGCGATGAGGCCTAACGCGAGTGGGGGAGGCGGGAGGTTGCAACGCGTGGAGGGAGGGGGGGGGGGGGGGGGGGGGATGAGTTGTCAGGGAGAAGCGGTCAGCGCTTCAAATGTGACAACGATAGACCAGTTGTGGCTTTCGAGGAATATGATACACGCGTGCGAAGCAACTTTGTGAGTTCACCTAGCCCGATTTCGTTCAAAGTGTGATGTTGCGATGGAGGATCTGCGGCGGCCGGGAACGTCTTCTCCGGGGGGGTCGAGCCACGCGACAGGAGGGACTAGAACCGAGGAATCGTGAGGCGCAAGTAATTAACTTGAAGAAACCGACGGCTAGAGTATCAAGCGAAGGTCAGGATGATGCTTGGCTCATAGACGGGCCAGAGGCAAGGGCAGTTCGCGGTGCGATAGGGTTTGGGCGATGACGGAGGTACAAGGAGGCGGAAAAAGCCCACAAGTGAGGAGGCTGGGGGTACGGGGGCGGCGCTGCCAGACAAGCCCGATCGGGCAGATTCGCGCAACTAGCAGAACTTGACATGCAACGACACGATAGAGAAGGGAATGCAAAAGGAGGAAGAGAATATACCAGGGGGCGAACTGGGTGGATCTCACGGTGGAAGGGGAGAGGAGCGAGCCGGGGGGTACGGCGACAGGCGTTGCGCTCACCTGCGGGAGAATCGCTTGTTCGGAGCGGATTAACTGGATCGGAGCCCGGGGCTGGGGATGGCGCTGTCAGGCGTATTTCTGGGCATGCACGGTCGCAACGAATTTGAGGGAAAAAAAGAAAAGCCAAAATTGTAGAAATGAGGTTGCAAGAAATGGGCAATGTGGACCAGAATAATTTTGAAGATTGCTGAAAGAAACTGCCCAGATGGAAGAGAGGACAAAGAGCTTTCAGGAAGAAAGAAGAGTAAAGTGGGCTGGTTGGGTTGGATCAGGCAAGAGTGATTAGGTATGGTGATATGCTGCGCGATGGGCCCTGCGATGGATCCCAGCGGGAGTCTAAAAAAGTCGGGTCTTCCGCGCAACCAAAAAAGACCCAAGAGATCCAGTAGAAGATCGGCGATCGAGCCAATCGGACTAGAAACGAACCAGATATATGGCCACAGCCAGGGGAAGGGAGTAGATGGAGGTGAAGAGAAAGAGAGGGAAAAAAAAAGAGACAGAGGAAGAGAAATGCGATGTGTAGGAAATCGGAGGGGCGGAGATAGGGTCGGTCGTATTGGGAATACCGTATTGTGACACCACGCCGCACTCTACCTCGCTGTCAATGGCAGGCGATCACCGAATGACCGATACCGACAGTACGACGGAGTATGTGTTATACAGGCAAAGGAGACGTAGAGTCCGGACTTGGTTTGGGTGAACCTCTACCTGGATGATAATGAAACAATTCTACGTGTCGCAAGTTAAAACTGCTATCTTGCTTGTCAGCCGATGCTGAAGACCTCAAATTACGAACTGTATACTCTGTCCACCGTCCACCATCCCGAACAAAATCGAGATCGGCCCCCAGTAATCGGCAGGGCTGGCCCGCCATCGCAAACTCTTTTCCGCGGACAGCAGCCCCTGTACAAGTTTACAGATAGAAAATTCTCGTATGAAACAATTTCAGGTAATGCCAGTGATAAATCGCGTGGCGGGAAGAGAGTTCCTGGTTCCTACAGGACGATAGATCAGAAAGCCTATTCTTGTATCCCACCGAACTAGCCACGCAGCCAGCCAGCCAAGCAGTAGAACAAAAAGATCTTCGTTTTGAATTAACCAGAACACCATGGAAAGAAATTGGGAATCAAGTCCTGGTAATTCAAAAATTTGATCAAGAAAAAAATACACGTCATAGTTCTCGCGAAAATGATAACCAATAGAAGCCTGCCGTAACATGAGAAGAACAAACGCCGGGGATGCTCGTTATCCATCTACTCCTCCTCTGGCGGCATCTCATCCTCGATGTATCGAACCAGTGAGACCCGCATCTCGGTAGTGTCGTCGCCTCGGAGCACATCGCTTACAAAATGTGCTTCGATCTGCATTTGAACCTGGAAATCGGGTTAGTGATCGAACCCGGCGCAAAGGAACCTGTGGCCCGGGGAAAAGGGGATGGCGCCGAAGGGTCGTAATGCAGTCTCGCGAGTCCCTTAGACAAAAGTTTACTTACCATCTCTAGTGCGCCTCGAAGCACACCGCATAGGATATTCGAGAACCAGAGCTCGTCCTGTGCTCGCCCATCGTCCGGCAACTCCACAAAGTCTGCCAAGGGATTGTCGTCGAAGATGAGGGAGAATTGGTTGTTGTCACTGGTCCAATTGGTGACCGTCGGCGCAACATTCAAGAAGATCTTGAAGCCCACCTAAGGTATAAAAGGTCAGCAATCAGGCATTCGGACTGAAAGGCATCGCCCTTTGTCCATCTCCAGCCACCGTCTCCTCCAGGTCTCTCACGCACCTTCGCAATCATATCCGCTGTCTCACGGAAATTGGCGCATCGTCCCACCCCGGACTTGGCCAGGAAGTCTTCAATCAACCGCATGCCAATATTGTAGCCCATCTTATCCAATTGCTTGTTGACCTCCTGGTAGTCACTATCATAGTCCTGACATAGTTGCGCAACAATCGTGCCGTATGTTAACGTGACCAGCTCCGCGTTGACTTTATCGATTCTCGTTCTGGAGAGTATGGAAGCTGGGTTAGCTCGATTGGAACGAAAGATGGACGTGTGTTATATCATAGTGAAGAAAGTGGTGACATCGACCATCAGCAGATATAACCCGAGGCTTACTGACTTCCAAATCCTGTAGAGTGGCCATAGATCAGTATATGCATTCGTGTAAGAGCGCAGCTTCACTTACTCTTCTCCTATTCTGGAGGCTTTTGATGATGACATGGCTGGCTGCTCGGTGCGCTAGGCACTGCAAGGCTGGGACAAGGTATTAGAAGCTGTCGATATCAGTGCCCACGCAAAACCAGGAGAATGCGACAGTCGGGCGTGGATTCCTGAGATGAATGCGGGGAGTTCAAGATGATGGAGCTGTCGCCGTACACAATCGGGGCTCACCGCCCACCATAGGTGGGATTATCGTTCTTCCCGCAGCTCCAGGCGCTCCCCAAGGAATCTTTCGCTCTCCGCTGCGCCTGACCTGCGACGACATTGAGATAACAAAAATCAGCCCCTTTTTCCTCCTGGGCTAGCTGGCGACTCTGAGGTGATCCTCCGTCACAATTATGTCTGGAGAGAAACGCCCTGCTCCAGAGGCCTTCGGGCACTCAAGTCAGCTCGTGGTCAAGCGAAAGAAGTCCGATGCCGACCTTAACCCTGGTACTGCGGTTGTGAAAAGCTCGTCGCAAAATGGGGCCCTCATTCAAGCGGTAGGTGACTTACTGGGGCGATTTCTCTATGCAAAATTGAGCTTGGAAGAACGGTCCACCACTCAATCTTGGAGGTAGGGATCAATGGCTAACTTTGCTGGACCTAGATTCCTCGCACTAGCGGACTTGATGCGCCGATCATGGAGCTTACAGGTAGGATGCTCTTTAGTATTGCTGTGAAGGGCTATGGCTAATTTGGCGAAAACAGGCCACTCTGGTGAAGTCTTTACAGTCCGATTCGATCCCACAGCTCAACACATTGCCTCTGGCTCAATGGACCGATCCATCCGTACGTATTGACCCAATTTTTCCCCCCAGAAACTCCAGTCATAACACTCTCTAACTCTTTCCGAATGTAGTGCTGTGGAACACATACGGACAATGCGAAAATTATGGCCAATTGACCGGCCACAAGGGAGCTATCCTCGATCTCCAATGGGCACGCGATTCACGAGCACTTTTCTCTGCCTCTGCCGATATGACACTGGGGAGCTGGGATGTGGAAACTGGAACACGTGTGCGCCGCCATGTGGGCCACGAGGAGATTATCAATTGCCTCGACATCAGCAAGCGCGGGCAAGAATTGCTCGTCAGTGGCAGTGATGATGGCTGCATAGGCATTTGGGACCCCCGGCAAAAGGACGCGCTGGAATATCTCGAGACGGAGCTGCCAATCACAGCAGTCGCTCTGTCCGAGGCCGGAAACGAGATCTACAGCGGCGGCATCGATAATACGATTCATGTTTGGGACCTGCGCAAGAAGGCTGTGGTTTACTCTATGGCTGGTCACACCGATACCATTACCTCGCTTGAAATCTCGCCAGACTCCCAAAGTCTTTTGTCTAATTCTCATGACTCCACAGTCCGGACGTGGGATATTCGGCCGTTCGCGCCTACTAACCGACTGGTCAGGACATTCGACGGTGCTCCCGTCGGCCTGGAGAAGAATCTCATCCGCGCCAGCTGGGATCCCAAGGGCGGAAAGATTGCTGCGGGTAGTGGTGACCGGAGTGTGGTAGTTTGGGATGCCAACTCGGGCAAGCTGTTGTATAAACTCCCTGGCCACAAGGGTACAGTCAATGATGTCCGCTTCTCGCCCAACGACGAGCCAATCAGTAAGTCCTCTTACTCCATGAGCTTCTTAGGTGATTATACGTGCTAACTTGTTTTCTAGTTGTTTCTTGCTCATCGGATCGGAACTTGATGCTGGGAGAGCTGGGCAAGTGAGCGCGATACTTGAAACACTTGTAATGACGGATAAGCGGGCGTTCCATTGATCTACATAACTACATACTCTTTCTCGAGGCTGCCTCCCTACTGGTCCTAGGATTTGCTAGCCATACAGCAGCAGGAATGCCCAGCTCTTCGCTGTGATTCTCCAGGACGCTGCGGCTTCCGCTTCGGCTCCCGTCCAAGAAAGCGCAGAATCAGTCCTGGGAAGGCCAGTCCTCGAATGAGACATTATCTTGGTGGGCTGTACAATACAATACTAGTCTCAAATAACTGCGAATGCCTTTTTGGCCTTTCGTTACTTCTCTTTTCGCATGAGTTCCTTATCGAGTTGCGGTACCTGCCTCTTTCGGACAGCGGGAGTATAAACTACGTCAGAGAGACAGTAGCCCTTCCCATATCCTTCGGACCTTGCTTCTTTTCTCCATCTCTACTTCTTTACGAATATCCTTGAAACTTCAGCATTCAACAGGTTTCCCGCACGTCGAGTTCACCCAGTGTACTATACCCTCGAGCCTTGAATCACATATAGGAACATGCCATATTTGGGTCAGAGCACCCAGGCCCCAACGCAGATCGAGAGATTGGACCATGCCCTTGAGCAGCAGCTCAGCGGAAAGGCCAAACAATATCTCATACTCTCCAGTGTCTTTGGCGTTTTTACTGTCATTGTCGCTACGATTCGTGAGACACTCCCCTTCCCTGGGCACTGCCAACGCGTCAGCTAATCTACCACACAGAGTCTATTCTGGTCTTTACGCTACCAGGATGGTCGATTTGGCTTAGTGCCTTGATCAACTGTATTTTGATTGTTTCAACTGCAGCCACAGCATGGTGCGCAGGCTACTCTGGCTGTTTGTACAGAATTCTCATTCGTTGTCACTACGGAGAAATCTCCTCCCAACCGATTCAATACCTTGTCGCCAGATCTGGAAACAATATTATGGTAGCCGTCACTTCGGCTCCGGGATCCGCTCCGTTTCATTCTCTCCCAAACTCCAGATGCTGAAAAACAGACAGCCCTTGACGATTCATCGACCAGAACAGTGAGTCAGGATACACTCGATCATGCATGTTCTTGACTGACTTCTTTATGACAGTTTCTCTAGTACTCTCTTGAAACACTCGTGTCCGGCACGGCAATGCTTTCGGTCAGGCCTGCACAAATCATGGTCCAGGAAACTTACAAGCTGGGGGAGGTTTGAGAGGTGTTGACCAGGAAGGCAAACTTGGAAGTTGGTATTCTTGTCTCTCATCCAAGGGTCGATGATGGTTCAATGCGCGTGTTTACAGGGTGTCACATTCGTTGTCTGTCGCTAATTGTGAGACGAGCTCCTCGACCCTGTGAATACTACTCGTCATTGTTGGCAATTCCTTTGATACCCAGTATTTGTATTCGCCTCTCATCGGCACCGTACAATGCCATTCGAATGTGAAGTAGCACCTTATTTGATCTAGGGCAGTCTCACTTCTTTACTCATATTGGCGGTCATTGTGACGAAATTCAAAGTAGGACTGAGGTAAAGGTAACAGATGCTCGTAGAAATGGGCGAAGGAGAGTCTATGCAGACAACGTGATTGTTTCTGTAGGGCTGCTCTTCGCCAGTGGGTGAAATCTCAAGTTCTCACTGCAAACAAGGAGAAGAATAAGACTATAACAACAAGTAAAATTGCGCATTCAAGCAAAGAGTCCCCCGCTGAATGAAGTCTAGGCTTGAAGCCCCATTGTGTCCCTCATATCAAAGCTCTGCACTTGGTCCCACGCTCAGCAAGAAAGATAACACCTAACGCCATGGTCTTTTCCAGACCTGATATTCCTACTTCCCACAGGTTTCCATCCAGGTTTTTGCTCAAAGGCTGCAACATCCGTCTTTGACTTTATTTCCAGAAGTGAAAAGCACCCGATCTGTTGTGAGGAAGAAGAGCAGTGATGGAAGCTGCACAATCCAGATATTGTTGATCTCATCATTAACACGCTCTCCGCTCCTCCGGCGATCCATGTGCTAGTAATTATGTATTTTTACATGTATGACATGTATCATCCTCAGGTAGACAGAGTACAGTAGTGACCAACCACCTGGTCAAAGGGCATCACTCCTAAAGCCATTCAAGTGATTCCGCTCAATAATTTCCTCGATATGTAAATCACGCAGACGAAACCCAACTCCTACAGCCGAACATAATGATTCAAGTTCTGCCTTAAAAACCGCAAACTCCTCTAACAAAGCAGGTATAGGGCGAGGTCTAGCGTTAGACTCCTCAGTTGACTGCTCAACATGCATCCAGTATCCCTTGATCTCGAGGTAAGTCAAGTTTGGGCAGCGGTACTTTCCTCTTGAAAGTAGGTCTTGAAATTCCTTAGCTAGTTCAAATGTATGCTGTGTCTCTTGACCGTCAATAGTAAGGCTTTCCAGCGACAAAGGCAATATATCACTCAATGTATTCCTTGGCTTGTTTTCACTCCAGTCTCGGTACCAGTCAAGTATATGAGATGCCCGCAGCCTAAGTTCCTTCAGCGCACTGAATTCCACAAATGACCCAACGTAATCATAGTCATCACAATGGTAAGGAGCATAATCGTGGGTCAGGGTTAACTTTTGCAAGGTCTCCCGATGTCTGTGCAATGGTGGATAGTATCTCGTCGCGTACATCGACTCACTATCCGCGTGAGTCGGGTTATCGGAATGCACAAGGATAAAAGATTCGAGACTCTTGGGTGCGCCGATCAAATCTGCAAAACCCCGTCGAGAACAGCAGGATTCGAGTCGGTTATGAGTAACATTGGAGTACCTTAGGTTGTCAGGCACGTAGCTAGCCGCATCGAACGCTTCGTCTTCGGCATATTCGTCGTCAGTGCTGCCACCATCGCATATCATATGGCCACAAAAGCTTCGCAGCGAAGGATGTCGAAGGATTGGAAGAAAGTGCGATGAGCTGATACCACCATCTACTTCGGAACACAAGACTGTAAAATTTCTCAATCTAGACAAACTGGAGCCCTCCTCCTGGGCGATCCTGGACATCCACTCGAGAGTGTAGCTTGGAAAATCATGGACCTCCAGGACTAGATCCTCCAGGTTAGGCAAGAGGGCAAGGAGCAGTACAGTCCATGCATCGTTTCTCTCTCGATTCTGTAGTTTCCGGTCCCATGTGAATAGGGTGCCGGCGGGCCCCAAGGCTGATTCCAGAACTGGTAGGATAACCTCCCGTTCATATCGCACGCCGGAAGTCGGTCGCCAGCCATTGGAGATACGCAAAGTGCGCACTTCTTGCGCTAATGCGGGCTTGGATGCTAGTGTGTGTACCAGATGACTCAAGTGGCCATTGGAGTGCTCTATCAGGTCGAGCGACAGATAGACTCCGGGTAGCAAAAGTGGATAGAAGGTACGGCAACAGGAGGCGAGCCGCAGAATGTCGGTGTGACTATCAAGATAGCTTGCTATTGAGAGCAGCAGCTCCGCTGGCAACATAGAGAGCATATCAATTGCTTGAAGGGGTGTTTCTGAGTTGGATAGTGTAGCATGGGTGTTTATGCCGAGCCTTCGCCAAGACTACATCTGTCGTGTGCCAAGATTGGGTCGCACGTGTTCGTTTCTGTTAGGGCTTAGACACCGGCCCCTCTAAACTCAACGATGCGCGCTGCTTATATCGGTCCCGAGCATACTAGAATGTGTTCTAGCATATTTGGTCTATTTAGCCTTTTTGGCTAGTGGGTCCGAGCACGTGTCGGAACAGTTTCCCCACCAACATTGTTGGCAAGTATTAACATTGCTCATAACCACAATTACCACCATTTCTCGCTTTAATTGACGTTTTTCTTATTGACATCTGTTGCCAATCAGGAAGCTCCAGTTATGTTATAGCAGTGGTTTTTGATGCGGCGCTAGAAACGCTAGAAATGTCCCCTCATGGACCAAGGTCTCTCGTGATTTATTTCGGGTTCATTGATCTGTCTCGAAATCAAGAGGCATAAGAAACCTATAAAGGGAGGGTGAGCCGAAGATTCTACTGAAGAATTATTCTGCAATTCTTGTGGGTTAGCATAAACAACTATAGAATCAAGCGTACGACGAATAAAAGACAACTAGTGTAAGATCATCTATGCATAGGGACTCCATTCAATCATGGTTCGGCATGGCTAAAATCCACACCGTATTGTTCCTGTCTTTTCGACCGAGAAAAAAAATTTAGGAGGAATGGGTTTATATGTGGAACACGCCTCGGCAATTGATCTTTAGAGGCTATTTCCAAGATCTTTCTTTTCTTATTAAGTCACGTTCCGTCATTTAGTTCTCCTCTACTTGCCCAGAGAATAGGTGGTCGTGAGGTGTGGAGAGAATACAAGCATGACGAGAACCATAAAGTTAGGGTACTGTTAGATGATTGGATGCCTGAGGCTGGTGGCCATGTACATGTTGTCTGGATTTCCGATTATAGTGCGATCTGACTGCTGGTTCTTCGTTCGAATGCCAGGTCTCTCTCGGCCTCACAAAGCCCTCATTCCGGGTAGCCTTAACTTGAATGGACACTCCCTTCTTAGATTCTATCCCAGCTCTTGGCCATCCATTCGCCTTCCCTTTCAGTGATGAACCGGGGGATTTGAACATTTAAGAGATGTACTGGATCTTGGCCGGCTTTGCAGTCCATCGCAATCATTGTATCCTCCAGGTACAGTTTTTTCCAGTTTTTTCTTGATATCTAGTCCTGTCGTTGCGCAATAGGATGGCTATGACTGTGAATGTGCTCCTTTCTCTCCGCTGGAATTCTCTCCATTGCCCAAGATTTTATCTTGTCAAAGTTCCGGCAGGTATGTTTCTCTTTGAACAAGGGGAATGGAACCTGGTACTCTTCATTCCACTCATAACCAAGTGGAGTCAGGTCGGCAGAGCACTGTATACCTTGACGAAGATAGTCAATGCAATGATCTGATCCCACGGTCAACATTAGAAATCAACTACATGAACTGGGATAATCATGAGCTATCCATACCAATATGCAACCGAAAGAAATAGGGATGCTCCACCCCTGGCTCATAGTAATCCGAGTCTAAGGCCCGCCGAATCGCATTCTGTTTGTTGAATAAGATTGCTGCAAGATTATTGTAAGGAATTGACACATACTAGACAGTGTAGCGAATGATACATGTCAAGGCTATGAGAATGAATATAAGCGCAAGTCCTCTAGTCTCAGTAAGCATTGATCGGTGCCACTGACCTGACTCTGTATTTATCGTTTTCTTCGCCTTTCATTGTCCATCTCACATCTTCCGACTCTTTCAGGGGGAGATCGAGGTCGAGAGCTTCGAATATCATCAGCATATCCACTTAAGAAGATGGCTTAAAAGCAGAATCTTACCGAGCATCAGCTCGTCCCACGCTGCGTCGATTTCGGGCGCTGGAGGCCCGACATACTGTGGCTGTCTTGGGTCGATGATGCGGTGCAGTTTGCCCGTTTCATTGAGCTCAAGTCCACCGGTAAATCGTACCTGATGCAGTTGAATTTGTGATTTCAGCGCATCTGAAATTTTTCGAGTTAGCTTCAGTCCGGTGCGAAGGAGCCGTAGTGTCATTGAAAGTAGTCATACCCAAGTCAGTTGAGAATCCACGCTCGTATGTCGCGATTCTGGTCGATCGGAGGTAGAGGAAAATAGAAAGCGATGCGAATATCGCCGTGGAAAAAACCCAGGCCCAGTCAAGTAGTCGGCGCCTTAGGCTTCGCGTGTCCCGGACAATCTCCGCCGGGGTGTAGTCATTAGGGAGAAAGGGTTTACCCTCCTCAGCATCCTCCATCGTGAGAGAGGCTTTGTGGATGAGAGATTTGAACAGGGTCGTGGTTTTGCTGGGTAGATACCATGCGCCTTGGCTTGTTGAAATGTTAGAAAGTCATCTTAGGTGTAATTATTGAACTGCAGTAAATCAGTTGCGGGGGCTTAATCCCAGGTTTATGTAAGTCCATTTAGTCCAATCGAGCCAGAGTGCAGTAATACCAGAGATACCCTAACCGACTTCTGATGAGTACCAGTGCTACAAGTTGCCTTGGTAAGATACTGTATACACTTCAGGCTACCCGTGTGTACCAATTACGGTACGGGAACTATATATATCCACATCGTGCGCTCGCTGGCATACTGGTACGGGCGGGGTTATCTCCAGTCTGTCAGCAGTTCTTCGAAATTTATGGTTTGAGTATATGAATACGCCATTGTGTAAGGTACGGTGGCATACCGTGACGGTGGCTGTAGCTTATCTCTTTGCTTTTTTCCCCAGCGCTGCGGGATTCCGCCCCCACCGACCACGAATTGCTTACCTTCAAGCCAGAAAGCCCAAAAGGAGTACGTGCATTAGAGGATGTAACATCAAGCTCTTGACCCCGCGTGAGGCCCTTTCGTCAGCAAACGGCTCAAGCAGATTTGCAACAAGGGGTGTTATCGCTCATCGTAACCTGGCAATTTGACACGAGCAGCGATTGGCTCATGCACACAACAGAGCATACGGTATAGCCTCGGCTTCAATATATCACAAATTCTAACGTTATACCGGTGTGATCAAGTGTACCCTTGTTATCATAAGCTTAGGTGGGAGACATTGAAAAGGCTGATCAATACAGTTATTTATGTTTTATTTTCCACTAGGTGTATTCAATCGTATTGTCTTGGCTGCAGCGGCTCATTATCCGCAAGCCATTGAATCCTTCTGAGGTGCAGATCCGGCGCTGAGTGGCGTCGACTTTTGGCTCTGGTGCGCCATTGGAAATTCATATAATAAAGAGAGTTTCAGTAGGTTGCCACCATAAGCACTAAATGGACAAAGGCGCTATAGAACTTCTTAGACGTTATCGCAATATCTACTCAACATGTTTAACCAACAATTGTATTCATTCGATAACCCCGCACTCAAAATGGTGCAGACCGCTATTGCTGAAAATTCCCCCCTCATCGCAAGTGTCAATCAGAGTCAGGCTGAGGAAATATCACTGACCCAGGAACGCGTGGCCATGTATAGTTAGAAGGTGTTTGAACTGCCCCTTGCGTGATCCAGGCTTCAATCGAGTCAGAGTTGCGACACTGATGCCATGTACTGAATTTGGGGTAAGGCGTCGGATAATGCTCCAGCCATTGGAATGTGTAGAGCCCAACATCACCCTGACAAACAACAAATTGTCGTAGTAGCTCAATACAGTGGTCTATGAAGTGAGCAGTGTTAGCAGATGGGATAATACCAAGAGTAAATCCGGCAAGATCAGCGTAAGATAAATTTGTCATACCTAGATGCAGGCGCACCACATGCGGTAGGTCTGTAAATCCGTGTGACTGGTTGTAGTACTCGGGGTACGTAGCCTTCCTGAGGAAGTTGAGGCAGTGGAGCTCATGAGTATACATGTCCGATGCCATGTATCCACCTCCTAGATCGTCGGGCAATCTCACATCATTCACTGAACCACCAATGCGTACCAATTCGTCATGAGATATACCCCGCACTCGAACTAGACGAAGGTCAGATGAATGTTGAGGGTAGAGTAGGTCTGCACATAGCTACCTTGGTCCACAGCTGCCCAGGCGTCGTCGACCTCGGGTCGTGGAGTTCCACCGAATGGCGTGGGATTACCAACGGTACTATTGAACCGAACAAGTTTGTATCCCGCATCAATTTGATACAGTGCAGGGGCTGTATTATCGTTAGTCTTGTTTGCTCTCAGAACGCAGTCCAGGTGTGGGTTAGAGGGAAATGCCACCCACAATAATAAGAATGGCGAACAAGGCATTTTCTGTCGAAGTTGAGGTCGATGAATTGTCCGGCAACAAAGCCTAGAATAACCAAGCCTAGACTGATGATTGCATATGCCCAGCCGGGGAGTCTTCTGAGGGATGTGTTTGCAGGTGCCTGGGATAAGACCTCTTCAGTGTCCCCGGCTTCGAGTGTTGGGGAGTCGATGTCGGAGGCTTCATCGGTGATTTTCCGATACTCGGAAGCAGCCATTGGGGGATATACTCCTCAATGAGTACAACCGGCTGTAATATGGAGGGCTCGTTAGAGTCTTGAGAAGCTTTCACAGTCACAGGATGCTACTGAGGCTGGCACAGGTATTCCTCATATGCGATATCATCGGCGATCACCGGCTTTAATTTGCAAGCTGTGATGTTCAGTAGTCATATCAGTGATAGCCAAAACAAAACAGGAAAATGGAGTTTCTGCTGAAGAGCGCGGGGGGGGAAGGGGGGCCAAATTTACGTCGCAATGGACTTTTAACCACTGCAGTGCTGCCATGCTTACAATCGCCTGGGTGGGTCCGGAAATATGATCCATTACTGAATTATTGAAATAAGACTTGAAGCCTCAGCATGCAGTGCGACTTTTGACGACTTTTTGTCAAATTGCTAGCGATAGTGAATAATAGGCAAGAAGGTAGTCTCACTAGCTACTAAGCTCAAGTGATACTAGTGAGGTGACATTGGCCCATTCCACTTTATTAACCTTGAATGGTGCACTATAGCCATATTGGATTTAGTGCGCATCCTGGACGCCTAACACCTACTTTACAGTTTAGACGCATACACTAGACGAATGGCGAACGGCCAATGGCAAACATTTATGTACCATGTTACACGTTCTGTCCGTAAATGTCGTCAGCATCGTTTCGTACTGCAAAGTAAAGATTACTTGGACAGAATTTGTGGTACGAACAGGGTACCAGTGGTGTACAGTATGTATCTATCATATAAAGATAATCCCTTACCCTCCTGCCCCGACCTGCCGGCAAATATCTTCATCTGAGCATTGCTACACACATTTGACGAGACAATAAAGCTTTCTGTACAGATTCGACATGAAGATCGCCCAGTGTATCGCTATCCTGGCCATGGCCTCTGCCAGCCTAGCGACCCCTACCCCCACCAAGCGTGATGCTAATGTTGATATCGAGAGCTATCCTTGTGAGTTGTGACCTGGAGCCCCTGTATTCAGTCTGAAAAATACTTGATGGTGAGCTGATACTGTGTCTAGATGACTTTGGATTCCTGTAAGTGTATCACTCTTGGTGAATCTACTGATATGTTACTGAAGAGATCGGGATCTTAGGGAGGAGAAACGGGGACCAGCCGAGGAAAAGCGTGCCGTTGATATCGAGTCTTACCCCTGTATGATTCCAAACGTACTCCCCGTTTTCGCCAAATTCCCCTATACTGACTTCTTCCGGGAACATAGATGACTTTGGCTTTTTGTGCGCGCGACAACCCTAGAATTGAGTTTTTCCGAGTGGCAAGATCCTAACAAATGTCTAGGACCGAGGAGAAGCGTGATGCTCCAGAGAAGAGAAACGTTGATATCGAGTCTTATCCCTGTGAGACATATGATCTATAACTCAAGCTCATCAAATATCTCCATACTGACTTCTTTGGGAAATTCAGATGACTTTGGCTTCCTGTATGCTCGAGACTTCCCGGTTCCTAGGATTCCCGAGCGATAAGAATCTGACGAATAACCCTAGGAGCGAAGAAAAACGTGATGCGCCGGAGAAGAGAAACGTTGATATCGAGTCCTACCCCTGTAAGATCTACTATCCACCGCTCAAGCTCATGAAGCCTTTCAGCAATACTAAACTATTTGGGAAATACAGATGATTTCGGCTTCTTGTGAGCAAGATGTTCCGAACGCAAGAATCCCCCAACGACAGAGGTCTAATAAATGATTCTAGGAGCGAAGAGAAGCGTGACGCCTCGGAGAAGAGAAATGTTGACATTGAGTCTTATCCCTGTATGTATACTTGGGCTCTCATTTGAATCCGTTCGATGGATGCTTGTGCTAACACATATTTCAGATGACTTTGGGTTCTTGTAAGTACAGTGCTAAGTCGCCCTGTTCTATGTCGAGGGTCTGACAGAGGGTAGGGCCGAAGAAGAGTAGATGAGTCCCTGCAAGGCCAAGGAAATGAGAATATCGGGTGGCCTAGTCATGGGGGACTAGTTCCCGGAAGGTTGCAGCAATAGTTAGGATGGCAATCAGAGCAGCTTCCTTATTTGGTCCTGAGTATCTGTAGCAATCCCAAATGGGTTGAGGGGTTCAAAAGTATTTTCTGTCTAAACAACCTAATTAATCCACTTCGCCCTCGATGTTTGCACTCAGCCCGGCTCTAAACTATTTTGGCAGTAGTCCGTCTGTGTGGCTAACACTGCGGAAAATCGAGGACTTGAGACCTCATTTGCTAGACCAAGCCGAAAATGGGCGTGTTTGAACATATCACAATGCAGAGACTTCGTCCGCATTACCTTTACGAAAGTTACCGAGGTTCTTGTCTTGTCAGCTTACCTGATTCTTCAAGTGCAGTGGAGAAACCAATACATGTATGTATTGTTTCCCTCGCTGCTGTAATAAACGGTAAGCGTTTTACATACAGCCCAGATGTACATATACCAGCTCCCCCGCATAGCTGAGCTTCAAAATCCCAAATTTGAGAGCTCGCCCACCAAAATCCCCATTGAGGAGCACGAACTCTAGTCGAATAATGTTCATTGGCAACATTGTCAGCATATTCATTGCAATATGCTGCAGTTACGGATTTTACCTTTACTCCAGCAACACAGGTTATGTGGCGCACTGGTGGCCCAAAGAAGCAGCATGCAAAATCCCGAGCTATAAGACTCAGATCGTGTCGGAAGACCCTTTGCTAGTCTATATCGATAATTTCGTCAGTGAGGCAGAGGCATCTCAATTACTTCATATTGGGTGAGCCCTGGTTCTCGTTTTGTCTTCTACTCAAAGAAGTGGTTGTGCGCCGTCGCCGAAGGTTATTGATAGCTGACGACAACTACAATTCCCAGGAAGACCCAATTTGCTCCTTCAAAATTGTCAACCGGTGCGAGTGGCGAAGCGTATCGGTCGTCTCAGTCGGCAGGCCTGCCGCCATCGGATCCCTCGGTCTCGTGTGTGGGAAGCCGTGCACTCTCTCTGATGGCATCTTTGACAGAGCCGTCGGACGACTTTGGCATTCCTCAGCTAGTAACATATCAACCTGGCCAGCAATACAAACTCCATTATGACTGGTTTCAAGAGTCGATGCGGTATAAAGACGGTCGATTATGCAATCGCGTTGCCAGTGTCTTTGTCTTCTTGGAAGCCGACTGCACTGGGGGAGAAACATATTTCCCGCGCATTGCATCCACGGCTTCGAGCTTGGTTGATGACGGGAAAGCCATTTGGAATGCCACGTTTGAGGGAATTATGTTTAAACCAATCCCAGGGAATGCGCTGTTCTGGATCAATCTTCCAGACAATGGCAAGGGGGACAAGCGCGTTATACATGGAGGTCTACCGGTGCATACTGGAACTAAAACTGGGATGAATATTTGGCCTTTGAAGTGTGAGCCATAGATCTAGAGCAGATGCTGGATCTTCTAGTTGTCAAGAAGCCGGTTTATATTTGCAAAGGTCAACAAAGCATGCGTAAGTACCCTAAATTTTGAACTATAGCTGGTCTCTAGAATATTGAAGACCTCGTCTATATAATCTATTAAAAAAAATGAAAGAATTGGGATCATGTCCGCAGTAAGCAACGATAAGGTCACTTTTTCTATGTCTTGTAAGGAATACCGAGGCTGTACGCTGTACTAGTCAGTGTACGTATTGGAATCGACGCGGGTGGGGCATGCACGTTACAGTGCATTTGGGCTCCTAGCGAGTTCCAGATTCCTGCCCTTAAGCAGCCTTGGGTATCTTCACACTTCCGAAATAACACACCTCTGGTAGCCCACTCCAAGTGCCTCTCTTGCCGGCATGATTATGTCAAGAGCAAAAGGACTTTTCGGGATTGTACTGGCCACCGTGTTCTGCACCATAGCAAACGCTCTGCCCTCTACACATGCTGTTCATGAGAAACGAGATCGGGTTCCGTCAGAATGGAGATCAGTTGGCCAACCGAGACCGGACTCGCTATTGCGCGTTCGAATTGGACTGAAACAAAACAACCTACATCGGGCGGATGAGTATCTATTGGACGTGTAAGCTAAGACGACCATGACTGTCTGTCCGCACAGACCAATCTCACAGTGTCTAACAGGTGATAAAGGTCCCATCCTCGATCTTCAAATTATGGAAGGTACTGGTCTGCGAACCAGATCATTGATACCTTTGCACCCTCAAACCGTACCATGGCGCTGGCGAGGTCATGGTTAATCGAGTCCGGCATCAGCGATGCACGCATATTCTTGAACCGTAACAAAGGCTGGCTAGAGCTTGTGGCCACGGCCAAAGAGGCGGAAGAATTGTTACACAATCAATATTTTCAGTATCAGAATGTACATACCGGCCAGTCTGTCCTTGCCTGTGACCAGTATGTCTTGAGTCCCTTTGAGCTTCGTCTCGAACTCCCGATGGCTAAGTAGACCAGATACCATGTACCGCACAGCATCCAGGAACATATTGATTATGTAGAACCGGGGATCAGACTCCCAGTATTCCAACAACCGCAGAAGTTTCTTCACAAACGGGACAAAATCCTGATCCACGGTGCTTCAGGTCGAATGCATCTTCCTGACTCAGATGACCGTGACGTGCTCACATCACTAGATTGTGACAAGGCAATCACCCCGGACTGCGTCAGAGCTTTGTACAAGATTCCACTTGCCACCAAGTCTCATCCTCAAAACTCTTTGGGCATATTTCAGGAAGACAACTACTTCCATGCTGAAGATCTGGACTTATTTTTCGAAAACCAGACAACCCACATTCCACTTGGTACTCGGCCTCTAGAAGTCATGATTGCGAACACCGATGGAGGCGGATCATCATCGAAATTCGGTCTCGAATCAGCGTTGGACCTCCAAGTGGCGTATCCCATTGTATATCCGCAAACAATCACAGTCTACCAAACAAATGATCACCTTGACGCTCAGTATTCATCCCAAGGTTTTCTCGATGGGTTTCTAAATGCAATTGATGGGGTAAGTCCCGTGTAGCTTTTATCTTCGTCTGGCTCTAATGATATTGCAGTCATATTGCACCGACTGTGCTTTGGGGAAATGTGATGGCGAAAGAGCCAATCCTAACCCTCCCGCATCTGACAACCGGATACTCTGCGGCATCTACAAACCACCCAACGTCATTTCAATATCGTATGGAGGTCCTGAGCAAAATTTCCCAATTGCATATCAAAGACGACAGTGCAATGAGTACGTGACGTCATGGAAATCATACCGTCTTACTATTTGACTACCTTTGGCGACACTTCTAATACGAATACAAAACAGGTATATGAAGCTCGGTCTTCAAGGGGTGTCAGTTCTGTTTGCTTCGGGTGACAATGGTGTCGCAGGCCACGACGGCTGTCTAGGCCCAAAGAAGGACATATTCAGCCCAACATTCCCAGCCAAGTCAGTTCCCACACCCAATAACATGGAATTGGTCAAAATTGACATAGTAGCATACAGCTGTCCGTACGTAACTTCCGTGGGGGGCACGAAGGTGCTGCCGGAACATGCGCCCTCTGTACCCGAGAGTGCGTTATACAACAGTGATGGAAATAATATCCTATCATCCGGTGGTGGGTTTAGCAACGTGTTCCAAGCTTCATCCTATCAGACAGCAGCCATATCCAAGTAAGTCACTGTTTGACGTGTCACCCATAGTTCCCTGCGTAGAATATTGACCAGGGTCCACTATCAAGGTACTTTGCCACTTCTAATCCAGAATATCCCTATTACGAGGGAAATTGGACATCCGGAGGTGACTCTGGTCTATATAATCGTCTTGGTCGAGGCTACCCTGACGTGGCTGCAGTTGCCGATAATATCGCGCTTTGGTATAAAGCTAAATTCGGCCATACAGGCGGAACCAGTGCGAGTGAGATGTTCCCCATCACAAGAAACTCAGCCGAATCGTCATAGAATAGCTGACATAGGTTCTAGGTACACCGATATTCGCAGCCATAATTAACCGCATTATTGATGAGCGACTAGCTATTGGGAAGGGTCCTCTTGGCTTCTTGAATTCGGTACTCTATGACAATGAATGGGTCCTTAATGACATCGTCAATGGATCGAATCCAGGATGCGGGACCGAGGGGTTTAGAGCTGCTGTAGGGTACGTGATGTCAATTTTTACTGGTTCGGATCCAACTAATACATAATATTTAGGTGGGATCCTGTGACAGGATTGGGAACACCGGACTACGAGAAGATGTTACATTTATTTCTTGGCCTTCCATGATGTGTCTGTCGCTGGGCTTTATGATCAATACAAGGCTGAGTCCACTCTCAGGTGCGATGATAAACACTGATCGCCGCAGAATGTATCCCTCATAAGTCAACTTTTTCTTGACAGCTTCCTAGATAGTTTCCTAGATAGTTCCCTAAATAGTTTCGTAGACGGTTTTTGGACGATTTCCTAGTTCATCTATACGTTGTTCTCCTAGTGATGTAGTAAGCATGAAATGTACTTGGGATAGACGAGAAGCGGTGAATGGTCTTTTAAGAAATTCAGGGTTATGGCCTTCTCCCCCCTATAGTCCACCGTACACCTTTGGATTATGCCCGTCATCCAAACCAGTCCGAACGGGATACAGGCCGATTATCACATACGGTATAACTATTGATAGAGTTCTTTGAGGAAGCACAGGGGACAATGGTGTCCAAGACCTGATCTTCCAAGCAACATAACATCGAGTTGCGGAGCAGTCTCTTCCAAGACCTGTCTGGATCATGCTCAGTATCAGCAGAGTGCCTCTGCCCTGTATTGGGACATTTATCATAGACAAAAAGGAGTATTTGACCCTGACTAATCGCCCGCTTTCGATGGAGCTTCAGAAATTGGAAAACGAGAACATACCGACCAACTTACCCCGTGACTTTACGTATTCAACTGTAGAGTCCTACGTGACAGATATTTTAAGGTTCCATGATAGCCGCCTGCGAGATCAATCCAATGCAGTGAACAATTTGCAAGACTGTGGCTCTTAGATGTCAATGCTGGCGTCAATGCGGACAATACTTCTATTGTTTTTCAGTCGAAATCTGAGTCGTGGTTTATTTTCTAATTCCCACACAGATTACTGAATACGATGAATGACGCAAAATCAATCTGAAATACACTCGTACTTGAACAATCCTTACCAGTGACAAACTAGCCCCCAATCAAGTCAAAAGCTTACCAAACTCCCACCATCTCTCAACTTTTCCTACATTCCTTGGAAACATCCTCGATGACATGCTACCGCTTCTCGGAGAAAACTCTCGCGGCTTCAGTGAGCTGAGTTTCCTCAGCCAAGTTATTTGAGGGGTCGATTTAATTTTCAGGAATTTACCTTCTCTACTAGAAACTAGGTGGCGTCGGCAGCGTCTATCGGTATATTCCCATTGGTGGCTGCTTACAAGAAGTGGAACCGCCTGTACACATCGCGAAAAGCAAGAAGTCGGTGTGTTGAAATATTGTTCACCCCCTTTCAAGAGTGCTGCGTCGTCCTCTTCAATCATCAAACTTCCGACGTATTTGCGTTCTTGTTTATCCAATCCACAATTTCAGAGATGCGGACTCGCATGTGCTTCGACGATGTCGCGTGGGAGCGGAGTGAGGCCATCCAAGATGCTTGGGTACATGAGATGTTTAAGGAAGAGACTTTGATGGCTATAGGTGAATTTATTTTAAAATATCGAAGAGGAGTGCCCGTCGAGCTATGTGATCCAAAAGCTGGGTCGTTTAATATGTCTTTCAGAATGAAATTTGAAGACGGCGGTTCGGCAATTATTCGATTTCCCAAACTAGGTGCTACGATGTTTCCCGAGGAGAAAGTGCGCAATGAAGTCGATATAATTAGGTATATTTACCAGCATACGATAATTCCCGTGCTATTTATCTTGCACTGGGGCACTAAAGAGGAAAATCCTCTCGGCCTTGGTCCATTTATTATTATGGAATACATTGACTACGCGATAGATCTAAGCGATGTCCTTAACACCCCTAGAATTGCGATTAAAGATCGTCCGATTCTCGACTTAAATGTTGATGACGCTAAGCTTGAACTTCTATATAGATAGTTTATAGATATTTTGCTTTAGCTATCTACGCTATAGCTGCCTCGGATAGGATCGTTGGTCTAGATTAACGATTTTACCTAGGAAGTGGCTTAACGACCACTATCCATAACGTAAATGAATTCGTCCGTCTAGGGACTCTCCCGCGCTCGGAGTTACCTAGGGTAAACGAGACCTTTTAATTAGTATTATCCTACTTTAATACACTAGCAGATCTCTATCTCTAGCATCTTATATACTAGTAGAACGATGCCGTCAATTCCGCGGATGACTGTCGACGAAGGTATATCGTAAGATTGTTATTCCTTAAGCTAGCTAGGGAAGGCCGATTCACGACTTATTCCACGAATCTTAGACTATTTAGGATCTGGTGTGACGATCTTCGGCCCTCTAACGTCTTGATTAACGAAGATCTTTAAATTGTCGGGGTGGTGGACTGGGAATTCACTTATGATGCGCTAGTAGAGTTTTCTTACTCCCTACCGTGGTGGCTGCTTCTTGAGTAACTAGTATATTAGCCGGATAGGATAGAAGAGTGGTCGAAAGTATATAAGTCACGTCTCTAGACGTTCTTGAAGACTCTATGCGAACAGGAGGACATAGCTATAGCCCGCGGTAGACTGAAAGATGAATAGCGGCTTTCTACGCTAATGCAACAAAGCTGGGAGAACGGTGATTTTTGGGTCACCTATGCGGCACGGAAAAGCTTCGCGTTCGATGCTGTATTCTGGAAAATGCTTGATAGCCGATTCTTTGGACCGGCAACAAGCACTGAAGACGACCGTTGGAAAGACCGAATAGATCTTCTTACTGATGACGAAAGAGCAAACATGGAAAGGATCGTCGAGAAGGAATTGGAAGAGATGGGAACGAGAATTTTAGCTTGGGAAGGAGGTGGACCTGAAGATCTTGAGCTAGTACTTGAGATAGAAATGCACGAATTGACCTACTTTTGAGGAGGCCATCTTTCATCTTTTTGTAATTACATTTGCTACGAGAAGTCTATTGCAGCTATCGCGCTTCTGCAGAGCCTAAAAGCTGTCCAGAAGGGCTTCGGGCTAACGACTTAGGACCTGCGGAATATGTGAGTTAAATATAATCCTCGTAATGGCAAATTCTTCCTGGCCGCAAACAACTGAATAGGGAGCGCCCTCGGCGATCTGATGCGACCTACCTGCTAACCACATACCAGTGGCCCCACGGGCTTACCATCGCTGAGCCATCTCTTCGAAGGATATATACCCGGCCAGCTTGACGAATACGGCCTAGCCTTTGCTGGTACCCATATCTGGCTTGAATGGTGGCTGATCCCCTTTCCAGCCTTAAATGGTTATTCGTGGAAATTTTGTGCACTAGCAGCATATACATCTGTGCCTTGGAACGAAGCCCGAAATGAACCCCCCTAAGCCCGCCATCTGGGCAATCTCCTCAGATGGCGACTTCAAACCCACTGAGTTTTGTTTCTCGACGGGCAATGGTATGACAATGGGAAAACAAGAGTTATGGGTAAGGAAGCGCTTTAAATAGGTGCTTCACGAGTAGAAAGCGACTAGATCATTCCAAAAAAAGTATGTACTTATCTCACTTTCATGCAAGAAGAGCACAATAGAGCAGTTTGCTTCGACCCTTGGCCGTATCATCAGAATACGTTCACGATGACTCTATCTATCATTGCGGAAAAGTGTTTTTATCGAAATCATGCTTGGAATAGATATGGATGATATCTCTCGCACAAAATGCCCAGGAGTGAAGGAGAACAATTTCAGGTACCGCCGATTACAGAACGACGTTGTGTTCCAGACCTGAGATAATAATCAACGAGCAGTTGGCCTGAGTTTTTTAATAGGTTGAGTATACCATGTCGTAAATACTTGTCTGAATATTGTGGTATCAGTCGCGTCAACGGTTGTTACAGCCCGCCTGCTACAGAGCAAATGATGATATGCATCATCGCACGACGTGGTCCTGGCAAAATATAGTAAATTTTCTGATATTTGAAAAATAGCGTAAACTTCGCAACCTCCGAACTCGACATTCGTAAAAAACGCTAGTTGAGAAGCTGGGAATCATTCAAGAAATCGGTACCACCTCAGGCAACGGGCCATCCGGTACAATGGCCCAGGGGTTAAGAATAGTCAAACTGAAATAGTGCTGCTTGATATGGCCAACATTTGTTGTCAAACGAAACTCCGAAATATTCCAATACAGATTCTGCATCCAGCGATGAATGTTCGGATAATCGAGTCGAATCATTTTCCGGTTTGTCTTGAAGAGGTTGTAGTAAACAATGTCAAACCGGATGACTGTCACAAAAAGTCGTATATCCGTTTCCGTGAGCAATCTCCCGAAGTAGAATGGCCCTTCATCATGCTTGACCTGCAGATGGGATTCCACGGCATCAAGCTGGGTGAAAAGGTCTTCGATGGCCCTATCGTAGGCTTGTTGACCTTTTGCAAGGCCACATTTGCTTGAGCGATGTTAGCATTATAGTCACCATGTTCATGATGCCGAACTTACTAGACCCCATTGTTGATATTCTCGTATATCTGAAGATTAACGGAGTCAATCTGTAATTGCAGTCTCGGTGGGTAGAGGTCTATTTTCTGCTTTTCTGGTGGCAGCAAATAATTGAATGCGGAATTCAACATGCGAATTATCTCGCTGCTTTCATTGCTGACGATAGTCCCGTTGGTTTTATCCCACAAAACTGGTACAGAAAAGCGGCCCGAATATTCCGGGTCAGCTTTCAGATACAGTTCTTTCAATCGTTTGACTCCCGGATGGAGGGGGTCGGGAACACAACCCTCTTCAGCTGCACCATCTTCACTGTTGTAAAAGCGCCAACTTTCCACGAGAGACATATGAGGGTGCACAACGGTTACTCCCACAATATTTTCAAGGCCTTTTAGTTTGCGAACGATCAGTGTACGGTGTGCTACAGTAGATGTTAGATATTATTCAGAGCGTTCTGTAAGCTATTGAGGACTCTGGAAGTATTGAACTTACCCCAGGGGCAGGCATATGAGACGTAGAGATGGTAGCGTCCACTTTCAGCAGGAAATCTACCATCAGGGTCGGGGGAAATGACATCTCTGAACTGGGCTCCTGGCCGCTGAAAGTCGCCGTTCTCGCTCCGTGGTATCAGTGCCTGTATCCATGTCAGAGTTTTTTTTTTCCTGGAGCGGAATTCCACTAACGTCGCTCTTCATTGTTCGACCTATCAACCTTAAAATGTTAGATTTGGAGAAAGCAAAGAAGAATTTCTGGTGAAGACAGCAGACCAATACCCGAATTTAAAGGATGGCTGATGTATTCTGAACAGTTCCGTATGTTGTCAGTTTAGAGAAACAAAAAGAAGGATCAGTTACGTGATCTTGGGCCCGGGCTGACGAATCCACTAACCACCTCATGTAACTATCAAGGGTAGCTAACTGCCTAGTCAGGCAAACGCTCCGCCTACCCGTGTAGTGGGTGTAGGGGACTTGGGGTCCAATACATGTACAAACCGCTATATTGAGTTGAACTAATACGTTTTGGTTGAGATATTTGATTTTCAAATTTCCTAACGGCTGTAGATGTTTCACTCGGACGAATTAACTTGCGTCAGCTAGGTAGGTTGACTATTTTAACTTTGTGTAGTTAACTAGGCAACTCCACGTACCGGGCTGCTTTGTAATACGAACTTCAAGTCCCGTGGGACGTCTCGACCAATAAGATCTCTCATATTGCCGTCCTCTCCGATGATACTCGCAATACAGCCCGAGTACGCGGCTGTTACTGTAGGTTTCCATGCACACATTACCCTCACTAGTCTTTATTCCGTAATTACCGATTGTCTTAACAGAGTCCGGACCTTGGAGTTTGGAAATCTCCACACAGGCTTGTACAATAGCATCTCACCTCTAGCCGACCATGCCGCAATTGAATCAGTCACCTTCAAATCCGGACATTTCATGATCTCCTTTTGATGTCTTGTCATTCTAGGACCCCCGAGCCTCGCCACTGAGTTGGTAATGCAAATCCGTCTTGTCGTTTTCCTCTTTAAGCGAAAATAAGTTGGCACCGTGTAGCTGTCGATATAAACCTACACATTAGCCTTATTTGACGATACACTTGACCTCTATCACTCTTATCATTGCGAGTATCTAAGCAGAGTTCTCCGTCTGCGTCGCTGAAACCTATCCTCTTGTCGACCATGCAACTTTCGATGACAGATCGCGCAGATCAACACGAGTCATCAGCAATTAAGATCCCGACGCCGAAATGGCGTGGCTTCATTCGCAGATTCGCTCCGTCGTATGTGTCATCGATACGCCAAATCACTCTTTAACCAATAATAACAAGGACGCATTGAACAGGTGGTTTGCTATCGTTATGGGAACAGGAATAATCTCGATCCTCCTCTACAAGCTCCCTTACAATGGCGCCTGGCTTTACTGGATATCAGTAGCGATTTTTGTCATTACCATCACCCTTTTCGCTATCTTCTCCATAATTTCGGCTCTACGGTACCTCTGCTACCCGATCCTTTGGCGCGCCATGATCACTCATCCCGTTGAGTCTTTGTTCCTGGCGACGTTTCCCATGAGCCTGGGCATTATAGCCCAAGGGATCGTGAACATTTGCGTACCCGCTTGGGGTTTCTGGGCTGCAACCCTGGCCTGGGTATTGTGGTGGGTTGAGGTTGTGGCTTCGGTTGCGATCTGCTTGTATATTCCGTTCAATATGTAAGCGACTTTTTTCCAAGCAAACAGATGGCACAACGGCCAATGAATAGCTAATTTACTCAACTCAGTATGTCCATACACAAGACCGACATCGCATCCGTGACACCTTTTTGGCTTCTACCTATCGTCTCTACCATAATATGTGCAGCCACTGGCGGCTTGGTTGCAGGCGCACTACCGAGTCCTACCCATGCTCTCTGGACCCTAATAGTCAGCTACGTCCTTTGGGGAATCGGCATCCCTCTCGCCCTCTTTACTCTTGTTCTCTACTATCACCGCTTGACACTCCACAGCATACCGCCACCTGCGGTTCTTTCTTCAATATTCCTGCCTTTGGGTCCCTTGGGAGAGGGCGGATTCGGCATCATGCAGCTGGGTGCTGTATCTCGAACCGTATTCCCACTAACAAAGACTCTACCTCTTGCATCAGATGCAGGAGACATCGTTTTTGTCTTCGCAATCTTCACGGCGCTATTAATGTGGGGATTCGGGCTTGCATGGCTATTCTGGGGAGCTATGGCTTGTGCACGAACAAGACCACCGTTCAACATGGGCTGGTGGAGTATCGTCTTTGCGGTGGGTGTTTTCACGGGATCTACAATTACCTTAGGCGAAGAGATGGGATCAAGGTTCTTTGAAATCCTTGGAACAGTGAGTTTCTTTCCCGTGACGGCTTTTGCTCTCGTCAGTAAAAGTACAGATTTGCTAATGTCTCATTACACGTAGGTCTGCACAGTCTTTCTCGTTCTGCTTTGGATGGTAGTATTTGCGTTCACCATCCATGGCACCATTACTGGCGATTTGCTTGTTTCTCCTAGCTTGAAGCAGCTCGAAGATGAAAGCAGTGGATTATAACTATGTATCCTGGTGGATTGACCCGAATGACTCGTCTTGTCAAGATATAGACCACTCACAGATAGATATACCTTCTTTCAAGAAATTATGATTGATTAGCTCTCAGGTACACCTCACCGCCAGCGACACATAACCATTGGGAAGAAAAAAGCAATCGTTGGGTTTTCAATAAAAGTCTGGGGTTTTCCATTGAATGTCAATATTGTAGATAGAATGATAATTGCGGTTCAGTCAAGGAAACGCTGCTTCTGTATTCATAATCATCCCTCTGGCCATACCCAGTGATAGTCCACGAAATCATCAGCAGATGATAGAGCTCATGGCAATAGACTTACAACCAACGCCGTATTGGGCAGATACAATCTCCTGGATCACCTATAGAGAGCTAGAATCCGTCTGGGGGAGGTAGAACTGCTCAACAGTGTGATGATCGGCTTACAAGCAGCGGCTCCACGAAAATTACGACGGGTCAGTCACACCATTGTTTCTCACGCATAATTTACCCTCTAATATACAAGTAAGACGCCCGAAGAAAATGATATTTAGTGGGAGACATCCATCACCTTGCTAGTCTGTGAGCCCGTAGCCTGGAGCTTTTACCGCCTTCAAAAATGGCATAGCCGGCGACCGAAAATCGGGCGGGCCACACTCTACTGATGATTGACTCCCTTGCGAGATTTGTTCCGCGACTCCCGATTCCCGAATCTCGCTCTACGCTCTTCTTTTCTCCATCCAGACAATATGATCAAACGATAAAACAATTTTCCGTTCAAGATGTCGACTTCGTCAGAGCTATATTTGCAAAATAACTCAGGCGTAACACAAGAGCGAAATACCCACCAGGGTGCGCAAGGAGTGTTCGCGCCATCTCCTGCTTTAGATCCCTCGCAAGCAGATAGTAATTCAGACAAGCTGGTCTCCCCGGAGACTACAACGGCACGGAAAGCGCATCGCGCGAGAAGGGCCTGTGACGATTGCCGTGGACGGAAAATTCGATGCGATGGGCGACACCCTTGCCTGTCCTGTAGTGCACTGAATCTTGGTGAGCCATGGCATATGCCAGAAGTTACCAGTGTATTGGCCACTTGATGATTGGACCTAGATTGCAGCTATGATCAACCGGACAAACGATCTACGCGACTTTCACGGCGAGAGGTAGAAGACCTTGCGTCTAAACTACAGCGAGCTCGGAACCTCCTGCGGGCTCTCGCTCCGAATCTTGATTTGGATGATCCTCATCTAGATGCAACTGTCCTGAGCAAGTTACAACTTCCGATCTCTAACATGAGGTCTCTGGAATCTACTGGTGCCAAGCTATCAGAGTCTCCTCATCAAATCCCGCACCGTCCTGCGAGCCCTGAGCAAGATGCAAACCTGGCAACTGTACTTGAGGAAACGGGGAGACTGAATCTTGATAATACCGGCAACTGGAGTTATCACAGTCACGGATCATCATCTGCATTCGTGCGAAGACTGGGCGAGCGTTTTGGTAACATGTCTGATTTGAGTATCGAAGACAAAACGACAAATCTTCGATTGCGAGGCATATCCGACGCCTTTGAGTCAGCAAATCATTCGATGAATCCTGCATTCGAAGATTCATCACGTGAATTCATCTCACTGCCACCACGAGAGGTTGCTATTGAACTGGCCACTAGTGCCTTGAATGAGGCCTGTGCTCTATTCAACTTCGTGCATAAGCCAAGCTTTTTTTCTATGTTAGAAGAGGTTTACCTCCTAAATTCTGCACAATACACCGACAAGGAGCATAGGTTTCTGCCACTTTTGTATGCAGTTCTGGCTTTGGGCTACCTTTTCTCGTGCAACGAGCGGGCTCGCTCTGGCTATACGCATGCCATATCTGAAGGGTATGTGTGAAACCCAAGGTTGTTTGCGCGCGAGTCTTACTGATTGATTAAGGATGAGATACTTCTCTGCATCCCGCCAAATGATTGATATCGCGCAGTGTCGAAATATTCTCGCTCTGCAAACGGTTGTATGCATGACTTTATTTCTTCACTCGTCGGCGTCTATGCCTACTTGCCATTCATACATCAGTGCAGCAATGGCCGCCTCTCTCCAAATGGGTCTACACCGTTCCCAACCAGCAGAAATGAATCCTGTTGAGAGGGAGACTCGAAAAAGACTATTCTGGGCGATCCGCACCTTGGAGACGTACATTATTGCAATTCTTGGCCTTCCAAGAACCATCTCGGACGATGATATTGACCAAGAGATGCCACTTGAGATTGACGACGAGTATATCACGGAAGCAGGAATCCTTCCGATGCCAGAAAGGCGAGTATCGCTAATAACGGCATCCAATGCGCACATTCGACTGGCCTATATTCTCGGCAGAGTCTCTACGGACGTTTATCCGGCGAAACGGATGCAGAGGGAGGTGTCCCAGAAGACTAGGGCATATGTCGTCAATAATGCAAAAGTTCGTGAAGTCGAGAACGATTTGCAAAGCTGGCTGACGAGTCTTCCAACCCACCTTCGGCCAGGTCCGGCTTCATCGAATGATCTAACAAGGTATTCAAATCTCAAATGCATTGAATATTCGGTCACCGCTGATACTTCAAAGAGCCCAGCATCTTCTACGGCTAGCTTTTACCCATGTTCAAATAACTCTTTACAAACCGTTCCTCCACTACATCTCCCAATCTCGCAAGGACAACCTCACTAGCAATCAGTGCTACGCATACGCAGCCGCATGTGTTGATGTCGGGCGAAATGCGATATACAACGCCAGACAGATGGAAAAGCAAGATATACTTTCTGGTCCATATTGGTTTTCGATTTATACAACGTTCTGCGCAACGCTCTCTCTAACATTTCATGTTTGGGAGAACGCGGAAGTTGAAAACGCTTTGGAGACAATCAAAGATGCCGAGTTTGGTCGGCATGTGCTTAAGAACCTGGCTTATCAGAGTACAGCTGCCGAAAGCCTTTCGGAAACGCTGGGTGTGAGTTTGGATCCAGATACTTATCATAGCTTTGTCGGAGAGCTAATGTTAATATTAAGATCATTTTTACACTGCTACCTGGGAGACTCGGGAATGACAAGCAGCACCCAAGGTCGAAATTGACCCCGCAAAGGAAACGACCGCAATCTCCATCTCGGCCGAATCTCGTGGAGGCTCAGCAGCAGAACATCCCTGTACATCAGAGTCATCCAGCCATGGATGCCAACCATCTTAGACAGCAAAGCATCGTCGGGTATGATCCTATCGACATCACCCCTGGGGATCTGAACTTCAATCTCGACTCAAATCATTGGATCTCAAACCAAACTTTAACTGCGCCGAACACATTAAGCACGCGTTTCCTCGGTCCGGACTCGATAGAAGATATTTTTTGTCACGCTCATTCTGCGCCAGGAATGAATTCGCCAGATTCTTCATACCCGAGAACAGATTTACATTTGAACTCAGGGGTCGGCAATCCTACTCCTGGTATGGATCTGGGTAATCCTACTCCATTCCATACCTTCTCTTCTCTGGACCAGTATGTCAGCATGTTGGACACAGATTATGACGTTGGAACTGGCACGGTGCTAGACCAATATCCTCAATTTTAAGGTCACACTGCCAACAGTGGGGCTCCATGTGCAAATACACAGTTGTTAAACGAAGTTAGTACTGTGCGATGAGCGTAATTGCTGGCGTTCAGCCCTTCAATCCCCAATTTTGTTTCAGTTGCGGATAAGTACTGGGGTATGACATTCCAGTGGATTTTCTTTGAACTTATGCTCTCCTTTCATTGAAAGTCTATTACAACTGTGGACTAGCTGTCTGTGGCTCCCTAGAACGGGGGAGTATCATTCTTCGTTGTTATTGTGTTGAGAGTTATATGCTCTCCGCAATTCTAATGTGCTTCTTGTACATACTTCAACCGCAAGGGTGACTTAGTGCGCCTATGCCCACGTTCATCATCTCTAATTCCCTCTTTCTCCCTGTAAACTGCCTTTGTGTTGAACGGTGTGGTCAGATCGATATGAGGACTACGGTGAGTTGAAGAGTATATCGCGTCTTGTTGGACTTTGAGACATGACTTCAAGTCATGTATAACAATTGCTATGATCGAGACAGTTTGCGACTTCTCCCAAGTCAAGGAGGTCCGTGTATTCGGGGGAGGGGGCTCTGGAGCACTCTGTCGGCCAAGCGCGGCGATCGCACGGTACCTTGTACGGCATAGCCTGTTTGCAAGATTTGGTCGATGATATGTGTCGATAAACCCAGAGGCATCTGTCACCAAGATGGTTTTTCCTGCGATACCATTGTAACTTGATGATTGGAGTTGAGAAGAGGTGTTGCACTCTTAATTGTATTGAGGGAAGATGTTTACAATATGATATTACCTAGCTGTGAGAAGAAAAAAACCCATCGGTTGAGACATATCGTCATTGAATCATTTTGGGGAACAAGCTGACCAAGCTACGCAACCGCTTTATCCCTTGCTTACATTCACTAAATGGTTGCTAGAATGGTGTAAGATAGATTTCTGTACTTTCAGCGGGTATTGCGGGTATTGCGGCCCTTTGCGCTTACAAACTGACTGACTGACAAACCGGTGGACTGGCCATGGAACAATTTCATCCCGCAAATTGGAACCAATTGAAACTGGCCACTTTAGAGGCAAACCACAAAATTCAAAAAGGATAGTTCAGATTTCGTGAGGGAGTTGGTTGTGTGTGGTGTAATACCTATTGGTGGCCTCTATTTCCCCCATGACAGACAGTGTACCCACTTTTCTTCTATATGGATATCATGATATTTAGGCTTATCATACTGTTCATACAAAGATCCGGAGATGATGGCTCTTTCGCGGGGGTTATCGGTGTTGTTCATTGTGCTCATTGCAAGTAGCGTCAAAGTAAATTACATCTGAATTACAAGTAGGCCGCCAAATATACTGAATTTCTTAATGGTTGGTGATCAAACGCGAGTCAACTGGACCTAGACTCGACTTGGAAGGCATGGATAGCGTTAACCGAAAGTAGCACCCATCCAGTAATAGGAGCAGATATTTTGATAATGCTTACGCCGTTAAAATTTCAGACCATTGCCCAACCGTGTAGCCCAATTCATTGTTCCTCTCTCTAGAAGTGCGAAATCTACAGGCTTGCTCCATAGGGCCGCGGGCCGCCGTATCCGCCACCAACCACGAGGGGGTTGCCGCAGAGCCCGGGCCAGCCACTAAGTCGATGATGTCGATGACTGAGAAATGAACAATGAACAGTCGCGTCAAAAAAACCCCGAGACCCGAATTACTTATTTTTCACCGTGGAAACAAAACTTGTTGGCTGATTAATGAAGCAATTGCATTTACGCAGACTTGCTTTGAGTGGACGACGCAGTGTGTCCTTTGCACGGAGAAGAAATTAACGCCATAGTCTCCCTCGAACAAGATAGTCCTCGAAAAATCCCTCTCGAGTATTAATAGGACCATTCCCTTCTGTAACCGCAACCTAATCATCTGTGACAAGAGTGAACCCACAACTGCCTCGTGGAACTCGCCTACGAGTCAATCCAGCCGACTCTCTATCTGCAACCTTCCTCATCTTCAGTTGTTCCTCAGAAATGGCCCACCTGGTTGTCGTTGTCGGCGCTACTGGAACCCAAGGAGGCTCCGTAGTCAACACCCTGCTGAAGGACTCTAGCTATAGCGTCCGTGCCATCACCCGCAACCCCGATGGTGATGCCGCCAAAGCCCTCAAGGCCAAAGGCGCCCAAGTAGTGGGTGCCGATCTCAACGATGAAAATAGTCTGGTCGATGCCTTTGCAGGCGCCTACGCCATCTTCGCCGTGACCAATTTCTTTGAACCAGCAGAGAGTGTTGGTGTCGAGCAAGCACGAAAAATCGAATATCAGCAGGCCATCAATATGGTCCATGCAGCGAAGAGAACAACCACCCTGCAGCATTACCTTTGGAGCACACTGCCTAATAGTAATGCCCTGTCGAAGGGCAAGTTCAACGTTCATTTCTTTGATGTCAAGTCCTCCGTCGATGACTACATTCGCCAGGACAAAGAGTTCTTGGCCAAGACAACCTTCATATACTTGTCGTTTTTCTCGAAGAATATGTCGTATCCAGTATACGTGCCGATGTACCTGGTGAGTGTCAACCCTACCTGCGTTGAGAAAAATTCACTAGATATGGGTACATATTGCGAAGAAGAAACCAGCTAACTTCGGCAACCTTAGAAACCCGCCAACAAGCATGTCCAGCTGCTTCCTTTGGACGGCTCCACGCCTCTTCAGTCCATTGGCGATGCGAGCGTCAACACAGGTGTCTTCGTCCGCTCTGTTCTGAACAACAAGCCCGCGGGCGGTACCTACGTACTCTGCGTGGTTGAGGACTTCACCTTCCAGTCATACCTAGAGCTGTGGGGCGAAGCCACTGGTCTTGCGAAGGGAGAAGGCTCGACCGCCGTGGTGACCATTTCTTATGACGATTACCGCTGGCTGTGGCCAGGTTTTGGTGACTTGATGGGGGAAATGAATGCTTTCTGGCACTTTGCCCGCGATCGCAGCTGGGAGACTCCGCTTGGAGCTAAGCCCGTCGACGCGCGAGATCTTATGTCTGCTGAGGATAAGAAAGCCCTTCAGTCGACTGCGACTGCCTTTCAACTGGCGGCGGCCGAGTTCAAGGAAGCTATTCATCAGTGAGCGACCTAACCTGAAGTGAGATCCCTCCATGGTCAGAAAAATAGCAATGAGTGCAGTTAGGGTTTTTTCTGTCACTGTTACTTACTCTTTGTAATTTTGATATCTACAATGCAATTGGCTCAATTTGGCTAAGTGCAAACCAGAAATAACCCCGGAATGTATCTCGTATGAAATTTGTTGCAGAATGTACAAACAATGAACCTTTTACCGGTTCCGTGAATATGCTACATACGGCATTTATGAACGTGGATATGGTCGATGGGGGTTAGCTGCTTTTGCGCCATGGTACGATATACTGAGAAAAGGGTTCTTGGATGGCTTTTTTGGTACTGATACGTATTTGCAGGGAAGTAATACTCTGAAAAAGACAGGGGGGCTCTGGATCCCCTATTGGGAAGACAAACAATCCAACCCGGACCAGATCAACGTGCCAACTTATGTCGTTGCTTCTTGGACCAACCCGGTCCATGCACCTGGAACTTTTCGGGCTTTCAGGATGACTCCGGATAGCATTCCGAAGTGGCTTCGGATACATAACTCACAGGAATGACCAGATTACTACGCAGACTCAAATTGTCGTGACCTGAAGAGGTTTTTCGATTATTATTTGAAAGGATGTACGGAGAACGCTGAGTCTCGAAGTTTCGAAGTGAATGAGTGCTTTCAAATGGTCGTATTCGATCTGCCCACTCTTATTACCGTTGACGGCCTGCATCTGAGCATGCCTTGTCAGGATGAACTTTGGCATTCCGCAAGCTCCCATGACTGGTAGATTGCTAAAGCCCCACAGAGAAGTATGTCATGCTATATTTCAGGGTTGATGAGGATCCTACCTAACCTTGTCTAATAAGGCCCAACTAAATGTATTAGCGTTCTTTTGCTACTCAAAATGAAAGCTTTTGATCAGGACCTCATCCGCTCATTGAGTGACTCAGCGCTCTGGATATCGGTATTTGCGGTGTATATTGCTGACAGGCACTCTACTAAACAGCAAACAATTTACCCTTATCCCAGCATGCATAGTTTCTCAGGCACCTGGAATTTCTCTCTGTGGGCGTCGATCCTGATTACCGTGATAAACATACCGTGGATAAAATGCTTGAAACTTTTCAGCAAGCTGTGTCGTGTCACCGCCAAGGGTCGCCTCTCCTTCTCGTCGTGACTAAATTCTCCCTCATTCTTAGGCTACTTCGCTTTATCCGATATCGTCTTTTGTATGTCTCTTCAAGTTGGATGGCACAGCGCCAGGAGGTTAAAGCTGCGGCGGAACACATCGCATAGCTACTTTAGGCAGAACCAAAACGGGCACGTCAAGTCTGCTGCATGCTGCTCAACTGTTTCGAATAATTCGTTCGCAACAACAGTTTGACCCCTACGACTCCTTTATCTTTCTTGTGGCTGTTCTGTGCATCTGAAACTATGATAGATTCGTGGTCTCGGCCAAAGCACAATACCCTTCTGACGCAGCCACCGAGGACATTCTTCAAATTGATCAAGGTTTGAACGAGGATTTACGGAAGAAATGGATCACGGGCGGATTTGAGAAGCCCCAGCAGCTTCATATCAGTGGGTTTGGAGTGCTCAACGGCCGTGATAGCGTGCCACTCATTCTTCGGGAGTCAATGAGAATCTTGAGCCATGAGGAGGCTTGGTCGAGCAATGCGAATGCAATCAGAAACGTGCTGCGTCAAATGTCGTTAGGTGGTGTTCCATCATTTCACGCCGAGGCCGAGAGTTATGGATGAATAAATCTTTTGAAGATGTCACTGAGTCTGCTAACATGGGTTGTGTTAGCTTCCAGCTCAAGGGTATCAAGAGCGCCACGAAGAAGTATTCTCAAAGTAATTATTTTCATAAAGTGATCTAGGGAGGTGTCAGTATCACAGACCTTCTGTAGTTACGCAGCGCTCTTACCTAATCAACTCATTTCGGCTTTGGGATATACTTTTGGCATAGCATTTCTACATCACTAAACCGAAATTCGGTAAATGCCCAGCATGTCACCGATTTGTGAGATGAGCGAGATGAAAGAAGAGATAGACCACGTACCAGGAATCAGTCATAGCTCCGCCTGCTCCGCCGAAGCCGACTTTCCGGTTCTCGGATTGCTTAGTTATCTACTATCCACCGGTGGCCCAAAATGCTCAGGATGAAACAACACGCATTAAATTAGATCAAATTCAGACTGTGATTAGTGATTAGCAAACAATATTGCGCTCATTATCTTTGGAAGAACCGAAGATCGGCCCCCTGGATGAGCAACCTCGGCTGCCTCATCTTCTCATGACAATATCAAAGGATGAACTCCGAAACTTAATCCGAGAGCCTCTGGGTCTTGGTCGAGTAGGATCCCCCACGGGGCATATGCGGGGCCTGGGGAGTCGCCCACAATATGAAATTTGGCCCCAGAATACCGAAAAGCAGTCTAACCTCGGGCACCTTCGCATGAGTCTTGGAAACTTTCTGATCCACACTAGCCGTAAGAGGTGCCAGCAAGCCGATTTGTCAACTAGTATAAAACTTTCTGGGCACTATTAAGTAGCACCAATACCTTCTGGTACTAGAACTTTTGGGATTTCTGCTACACAAATCTCCCATTGATTCAGAGGTAGACTTTATTAAAAGCCCCCCTTCTGCAGGAATAACCCGCCTCTTCATAAACCGTACACGCAACGATACGCCTATTCAGTTATCAGAGCTGCAATTCAAATCTACGATGAGAGCATTTCAATTTGCCGATGTCTCGAAGGGACTTCAACTCAGGGATATCCCAATTCCCAAGCCTGGGAAGGGCCAAGTGCTCGTTCAAGTTCTAGCCACTGGTCTCTGCCACACCGACTGCAATGTGATTTCTGGTAAAGACGATATGCTCTTATCGAAACGGCCTGTTACGCTGGGTCATGAGATTGCGGGAGTCATTGTTGATCTCGGACCAGATGTCACCGATTTCTGTATCCACGAACGAATTGTCTCTGCCATAGCGATCAGCCATCCTGTGACGCTGCAAGAGGTTTTGACAACGGCCGGAATTGGCTACGACGGTGGCTATGCCGAGTATGTTATCATCAACATCGAAAAGGCAGTACGAATTCCAGATTGTGTCACTTTTGCTCAAGCTGCTGTGGCTACCGATGCTGTCGCCACTGCTTACCATGCTGTTGTTGTCGAAGCCCAGGCGTCGCCATCCTCAACCATTGCTATCATAGGCCTGGGTGGCCTGGGTCTTTCAGGAGTCCAACTTGCGTCCCACATGGGTGCGAAAGTGTATGGGATCGATATCAGCCCCAATAAATACCTCCCCGCTCTAGAGTCCGGGGCATTGGTATGCGTCAAAAGCCTCGACAAGCTATCTGGAATTACATTCGATGCGATTGTGGATTTTGCAGGCACAGGCACCACTACTGCAGCTGCCGTGACTGCTGTGAAGCCGGGAGGGCGAATTGTTCTTGTTGGGCTCGCAGCTAAAGAGACAACATTGAACACTTACGAGCTGGTAGCTCGAGGGGTTTCGCTCAAAGGCTCTGCAGGTTCGTCGGTTGACGAGGTAGCCAAGGTGCTTGACTTGATTGCCGATGGGAAGATTCAGCCACTTTTGGAAGAGATTCCCTTTGCTGATATTGCTAAGGGACTGGATAGGCTCACTAAGGGTGATACCCTTGGCCGATTGTATGCAAACCCAAGAAAAACCTGAAGTTTTTGATTAGACTCATGATTCTTCATGACCTTGAGGCATACTAAGAATTTACTTCTCATCCTTTTAGTACTGAAACGTCACTTCCAAGTTGACTTTAGCGAACTTAGATTTTTTTTTTTTTTTTTGGAAAAGCCTAGCCAACTGTGAACACACTAGAACTAAAATGAGCAGCATTTCCCACCTCTTGGTCCAAGTTCCACTGGATTAAGGGTGGGAATCCGCTTAGCTTTTAGTATAAGCTTCAGTAGTGGCCAAGGGAATTGGTCGAAAGATCGGACTATGAGATTGTAGTCCATGCAAGCGCGTCGTGGCGAAATTGGTCACACAAACAAGCCTTCTCGCTCACAGAGCAACCTAGTCGATTTATGATGCACGTCTAGATGCGACCGGGTACCTTCAGAATTCCAATACTCAAAAATTACCAACCACTATCGGCGCTCTGTCGGCTTGGACGCATGCTGTGACAAATGATACTGCAAAATTCACAATTGCTTATTATTGTAGGCTCACAGGCAAATACTTCGTGCTCCTCGGAAGTCTACTCCCAATTCCACAAGTTGGACATGCTGCGGCCACGTACCTTACAGCACCGTGCTGTCTTGGTTGTTGTCTTTGGTTGCTGTAGCTATTCACGTCAACTAATGGACCCTGCCCGGGTAGTATAGACCCGATAAACAGTTGTTGCAAGGCAAATGTGGGCTCGTATCTGTGGAGACTATGGTACGGTACGCACGGGGATCGGCGGCACGATGCAAGGCAAGGCATACCTCCAGCCACATCTATCATAACGTAATGAGCGGTCTCTGGTTAAAGAATTAGCGAGACCCCTTATTGTTTTTTCATTTCTTGTTCTTTGAATTGCCACTTCTTAGAAATTAGCCGGGACGGAGTTTCTTGAGCTTCCTGGAGCGTGCTGCTTACCTTCCATTCTCCTCTCAAAATTCATTAGTAAGCATGTAAGTTTCGTACGGCCCGAACTTGAACGGATTCGTCGGATAGACGGGTCATCGAACGGAATGATGAGTGATCATCCCGAGCCAAGTTTAGCTTTCAAAGGTTGCCTCCACGCGCTTCCAGTCGGGGAGGGAGGAAGGAAATCACTCCATAGGTCACTAATCTCGAAACGGCTTATCTACTGAATTAATTGTCTAGACACGATCAGTCAGCGCTGGTCGGGTTCTAATACAGGCTGCCTTATCTCCTAGCCGACAGACTCTCGATTGACTGACCGTGACTATATTCGTCACATTATGGACCAACAATTACCAGTGCAGCTGTCAAGCGACCTGCCTCTCTTGCCTCCCTTCGATTGGCAGGAGCTCTATGAAAGCACAACCTCATCCGAACCTACTCATCCTTTGTTACCCGAGTTCGCAACCTCTGATATCAACTCATTGCTCTCGGCTCGCTCCTATCCCCTACCAAATTCACATAACACTCGGAATGCTCAAAATAAAACACCATCACCCAGTCATGGCGACTTAGCTCTTGAGCTTGCACCTTACTCTCACCCGACAAACACAAACCAAGCACCCATTCCTAAAGCGACAGCACCGGGGCCACAAAAACGCCAGCGACTTGGATCCAAGAAGGCCGCACCGTCAGGGAAGGTCCGCGGAGCTCCCGGAGACAAGGGAGGTAGAAATGAAAGTCCTGAAGAGGTTCGTGGGCCATTTATCGACCTCCACGAATGATGTGAGGGTACTGACCGGATCAACTGCTTATGACAGCGGAGGCGCACGCAAACTCGCCTAGCACAACGTGCATATCGTTCACGACAGCAAGCATCAGTGGATAGCTTCAGGAATCGAATCTCCTTTTTAGAGACCTCGATAGAGAAAATGAGCTCTGCTATGCTGTCCTTCAGTGAGCAGCTGGTCCAGAGTGGTGTCCTTAGGTCACAGTCTGCTTTGACCACCAATTTACGTGATACGATGAAGACATTCCTATCTCTGGCATCCGGGGCAAGCATCGACGAGGGGACGAGGACCCCAGTTGACTTCAATAGAGCAACTGACTTGCCGCCATCCCCACCACAACCTACCACCAAGCGCTTATCTTCGGACGGCCCCCTTCACTTGTACCTGGTGGACAGCCGAGTATATCATCCTCAAAGGGCCGTCCAACCGGTGGCCGTCAAGTCAACTGGAACGACGATTATAGACGTGACCGAATTCATTGAAAGGCTCCTCCTAGCAGCTCTTTATCAGGGACATTTGGCTCTAAGCGATCCGTCCTTCAGCATGGATCAACTCCAAAGGCCCTTTGGGCTCATTTTCACTATGATGAACCGCGACCGCCTGACAGCTTACTTCAAGGCAGAAATATATGCTCAAGTCAATCGGAAGCCTTTGGACGGATGGGAAGAAGTCCCCTTTTTCAGATTGGGCCGTGCGGGAACACATTATCCTGACGGGAGCACGGGTGTCTTTGTCCCTCGTTATCAGAGATGGGGCACCGTGGAGGACCCTTTGTCATTGGTTACGGAAGATTTACGAAAGCAGCTAGAAGGGGATTGGTTAGATTTGCAAGATCTAGAGGGGTATCTTCGTGAAAAGAATGTTCTCCTGGTCGTGTCACCAGGTGAGCCAACAAGATGCTCAGAAGGTCAGGTCAATATCAATGTCTTGCGATTTATATCAGGTAAGTCTGCGCGTCTGTGCTTGTTCGTAATGATCATTCTGACCTTGATAGCATTGATCCCCAGAGGAGTTTGCCTGGGCCGAACGCCTGGCTTTCAATGTGGTGATGTGGAGGATGCCCTACATTTTTCAACAATTGTGTAAACCTGTGGAACTCATTTAGTTTGGGCACCAAATTTTGGCGAAATATGCATAATGTGTCAATACACACTACTGTAAAATATCTGTGGTGGTCTTGCCCTCCCGATTTGATATCTGGTTTGAAATAATTCTTTCGAGGCCTCACATTTAGGCCTGTATTCATACTTTATGCTTTCAGCGTGTCTTACTCTATGTATAAAATTGCCCCACAGCGAGATGCGGAGTCGAAGAAGTACGCAGCAGATAGAGGATCTCGGATCCTAGATTATACATGCGATACACTCCACCGACTATAGAGTTTAGGTGTCTTCATTGCACGCCAAATGACATAGGTGCAAGGGTGGCTAGTAGTCTGGCTTGCTTTAGTTGACACCCTCGAATAGTCGCAAATCTGGGAATATCAGAGGTTAGTAGACCTAGTTCTCCAAACCTTTTTCGGCATCATCTGAGTCTAGGCCATAAAGGAATATGCCTCTTGAGAAAAACTGGGTCCCGCTGGGATCGCGCTTAACTTGAGGAGGTGGGCCGCAGGCAAACTTCAAATGGTTAGCTGGCGGCCGGGGCAAAGATGGAACCCGGTGCGGGAATGCCTTCTAAGCAACCCGACGGTGGCAATTCACTGACCCGACCATTAAGCTTTGCCTGAATCAGTATACCCCATGGAATCGATGAACAATTTCATGATTGCTAATCCGCGCCCGGGAATGAGGTTGCACCGAATACGTTCAATTCGTCTTACTTTACTGATAGGCGTCTATCAGAACGCGTGCATTGAATATTTAGCTCCCATGCTTCCATTTTCAACATCACTTGTATTCTTGCTATAGCTACCAGACAAGTTCCAAGTGCTACACAGGCACTCATCACCATTAAAATACCTTCATCGTGAAAATGGGTCAGAAGACAGTCCTCATCACAGGTTGTAGTGAAGGTGGAATAGGTGACGCTCTCGCCAAAACCTTCCACAAGAAGGGCCTTCGGGTTTTCGCCAGCGCTCGCAATACCGCCAAAGTCCAACATCTCAAGGACATGGGTCTCGAAATTGTACAGCTCGATGTCACCGACGAAGAGTCAATCAAAAGAGCAGTGTCAACCGTGAAAGCTGCGACCGGTGGATATTTGGATATCCTGGTCAACAACTCGGGCGCAGGTAAGCTTCACCAGTTCAAAGCAATTCCCTCACAAATTCTCTTCGAGTATTTACGGTTCAACAGGTTATAGCATGCCTCTACTGGACTCAGATGTCTCAGTCGCCAAAAAAATGTTTGATGTCAACGTTTTTGCTGTCGTCACCGTGACTCAAGCATTTGCACCGCTTCTGATTGCCTCGAAAGGAACTATCATCAACATCGGGTCGGTGCTCGGCAAAATGCCATTCCCATGGCAAGGATATTACAATGCAAGCAAAGCTGCAGTTGCTATTATGACCGACCAGATGCGCCTCGAATTCTCTCCCTGGGGAGTCCGCGCAATCCTCGTCACTACTGGCGCAATTAAGACCAAGTTCTTCGACAACCTCCCGAGTGCGCCACGTCTACCGGAGGACTCCCTCTATTACCCCGCAAAGGACGTCATCGAGCCTGCATTGGCTGGAGTTGAGATAGAGAAAAATGCTATGGATGTCAATTCCTTTGCCGAGGTCGTGGTCAACAACGCACTCCGATCAAGCCCCAAGAAGCATCTTTGGTCTGGAGGCGGGGCTTTACTTACTTGGCTGGCTTCAACATTTGGCTGGTCGACTGTATGGGTAGGCATTTTCCCGTTGATATATGAGCTACTGGCCCCATTCAGATGCGCTAACTCATAGTCAGGATACGTTGCTCCCATCTGCTGCTCATTTGCCGGAAATCACCAACAAGATCCGCGCCGTGGAGAAGGCTGAACAGGATCGGCAGAAGGCAAAATAATTACCGTCGCCCCAGCTCAATTTGTTGAAAGTAGCACTCATTTAGTGGTATCTTTTGTCGTTCTTGCTCGTCGTTGGCGTTCATTTTGGACGTTTGACTCGATCTATACATTTCCACACACAGTCGGCCGACACAGGTCTTTTTCTTGCTTGAAACTTTGGCGCTTTTTGTTTCTCTGAATTTCCCCGCATTTATTTTGTCTCGGCCATTCTGGAGGGCCTTGGAGCCAAACAGAGCGCAAATAGGGGTGTGCCCAGTCTTAATCTACTTCATCCATCCTTTGATTACGTACCAGGCCACGGCCGTCAACATTCAAGCAGATCTGTCTATTTGTTGAAACTGAAATACCGCTCGAAGTAGCTTCCATATATGCATTCATCGACGCAGGTTTTTCGAGCTCCATTGGATCTCACACAGTGCTGGCGTAAACCCATATGCAACCATCAGAATAAGACCATTTTTATCGGCCACGTAAAGTTGCGCGGTCATGGTTTTGGTAGTCAGCCGACCCGAGGGCTCATCGTCTCTTCGCCCAAGAACGATGGAATCGGTAAATGGACTAGTTGTAGTAGCGGCATTGGATCATCTCAAATTGTGAAGGTGGTGTTCTCACTTATTGAGATTTCACGAGGCTGAAGGGCCTGTCCTTTCATACCGAAATCTAATTTTGAGACTGGGTTGGACAGCTCTCAAGGTTGCTGCTCAATCTTGATCAGCGGACTCGCAACCTGAGATGTCGTAGGCCGCGGGGCTTTCCAGAGAAATGAAAATACAGTGATATACAGAAGAGCTGAGTTAGTTCAATTCTATTTAGACAAAAAAATTGATTTATAGTGAAAACTGAAGTAATCTAGCGGCAAAAACTTGCAGCAAACACTTGCAGCAAACACTTGCATCAAACCCTTCCTCCGAATGATTGTGTTGACTAGCATCATCGCACGCGACCTGTGCCCTCGGTGCTCGATATGTATGCAACCGCTACCAAGTTACCAACAGATGCAATCCAACAATATAAGTGATGCAATAATCAACCGCTCAGTTGTTCAAGAACAGCTCAAGCTCCTTTGCGTAAAGCTCCGGCACCTGGAAGAGATGTCCGTGCCCAGCATCAGGATAAAGATGCAGGTGGGCATTGGCGATGTTTTGCTGCAGCACGAAACTGTTTGAAGTAGGCGACATAATGTCCGTGTGGCCGTTCGTCACAAGAACCGGGGCCTTGATGTCTGCCAAGCGTTCGAAATTGCTAGTATCGGTGGTGAATTTGAAAATCGCAGCGAGCTGCGCCTGTGCCCCGGTCCCGGTAAGATACGCCTTCCGGGGCTCACCTTCAACGTTGCGCTCGTGAATCCGCTTCCACCAGGCATGGCCGAGGGCTAGGCTGGTCTCAGAGGGATAGAAGAAAAGGTTCATCATGTCATCCTCCGTTGGCGGCTGGTCGTTGTTTGCTCCAGCGCTTTCCAAGACCTCCCGTGGAGGCAAAGCCACACCTTCACCGATTCCCGGTTGAGTGCCCGCCAGGACCAATTTGTTGACAATTTGAGGGTATTCATATCCAATATGCTGCACGATGCCACCGCCCATGGAGAAGCCAATGAAATCAGCCTTTGGAATTTCAAGCGCAGTAAGAAGGTTGACAACGATCGCAGCCATCTCGGGAATGGAGTCCGGCACGGTTCCTTCGCTATGTCCAATACCAGCACTGTCGTAGACAATCACTTCGCGGCTCTTGGCAATGGTGTTAAACAGAAGCGGATCGAGCGTATCCATGCTACCACGAAGATGGTTGACGTAGACCAAAGGCAATGGACTGCTTGCCCCGAAGCGCCGATAAGCGATTTTCAGTCCATTGACGGAGACAAACGAAGTCGGAACGGTTTGAAGGGTAGTCATTGTGGTGGTATGTTTGAATGAAGCGCGATCGAGCTTGAAGAGGTTTCTTTGAGGATAGATACTGGCGGAAGGGTCTTTGTGACAGGGACGGGATGTTTATTTTATAGCGTATGTTGTCAATATCCGAGCAGCCCGAGACTTCTATGCTGGTGTTTCCGTAACTTGTTCAATCTCCCAAGTTGCTCCAGGACAGTTGTCGGGTCGGTGGAGTGAGAGTTCAGTATACTCAATACTCACTAATGAAGCCCGCACACGGGGGAATGGAATCCCCACTCATCGTCGGCACTTGATTGGCGATCTCATTCCTAGTTTCGGAATCGGGTGGATGAGTGAGCAATTAACAGCTAGACCCACACTCGGCGAGTCGACTCATCGTTCCCGACCCACCGAGGCTCCACTCCCATCAGCGGTTCCGTAGAGAATCAATCGACTTGGCCGTGAACTGTAATCACCTCGAAATCCTGGCGAACCAAGCTCTTTTTCCTCTCCTTCGATAATCATGCTGAAAATGCAACTACCGTGAACTGCACACCTGTTGATCACCCCTTACTCCCGTCGGCCTGAGTTTCATCCGGCCTGTAACCCGTTAGAAAAGGCAGCATATTCCAGAGAGTCATTGTTAAACGCTCTGTTCGCTCGCTATATCAACGTAAGGTTATTTTTCGCAACATTCTTCACACGCAAGGTGTAGGACTCCTCCGTCTGTTCAGTACTTGCTTATCTTCCACATCCCACCGACTAAATCGAACCCGAGCTTACAACATTGCCGTTCCACCGACCAGATGAAAGCGGTCATCACACATCGATTCTTGCCCAAGCGGGTGCTGAGTTTGGCTCTCGGTAGTCCGCTTGGACAGGGCGCCCAAGTCAAGGACGTCCCCATTCCAAACATCACCGACAATGAGGTCTTGGTGAAGGTGCGTGCCGTCGCGCTGAACCCAATCGACTTCAAAGACATCGATTTCATTTCCCCGCGTAACTCCGCCATCGGCTGCGATTATGCGGGCGAGGTAACTCGGGTCGGCAAGAATTCGGGACAGCGCTGGAAGGTGGGAGACCGAATCGCTGGCTTTGTTCACGGTGGATTATATCCCGACGTTGGCTCATTCGCAGAGTACCTGAAAGTCGACGGAGATTTGGCTTGGAAGGTGCCTGACGAAATGACTCTAGGCGAAGCCACCACTTATGGTGTTCCCGCAGCCACCGCGATGCTGAGTCTTGCGTATCTCGACATTCCCTGGGCGGATATTGAGAACGGGCGCAGCACCCAGGGCGACCAGCCGACGATTCTCATCTACTCGGGAGGTTCGAATGTTGGTCTCTTCGCTACTCAGCTCGCCAAGAGAGCCGGATACAAGGTTGTGGCCACGGCTTCGCCACGTTCCTTTGACCTCGCAAAGCGCTATGGTGCGGATGCAGTATATGATTACCGGACTTCTGCTTCGATTGGTGAAATCAAGAAAGCCTATCCAAATATCACGAGAGCTCTTGACTGCTTTTCTGAAGGCAATTCGGCCTCCTTCTGTGCTGATGTGTTGCGAGAGGGCAAAGTGGTCACGCTTCTCGACCAAGGAAAACCGAAGAAACCAAACGTGACCTACACTTTCCTCATGATCTACACTGTCTTTGGTCGCGGGTTCCAGTTGATGGCACCCCTTGGCCCCGTGTTCCCGGTGATACCAAAAGATCGCGAGGTCATCAGCAACTTTTATGGCAACTTGTCAACTTTGTGCCTTGACGTTGTGAGACCTCCACCCATCACCACTATTAAGGGCGGTTTCCAAGAAGTTTTTGAAGGATTGGAGACACTTCGTAAAGGCGAAGGTCGGGGCACAAAACTGGTCGTTGAATTTCAGTGATTGAGTTGCCTCCCTTCAGAATTGCCACCTCTTTAGTAGCCGACAACCTGTACTTCTTACCCATGTCTTTCCACGTCTTGATACTTCTGGGCCTCGACTCCTGGTATATCATTAATTCATCCATTCGGTGCAATGGATCATTTTCAATTTTAGCTGTGTGGTAGAGTCTTGTAATTATAGAGCCGTAGATCCCTTGTTCTGTATTATACACAGGTCTTTAAAGTGACTGGCCGTAACTCGAGGTCAGGTTACTTTTCAGACTAGGTATTAGATAACGTTACCCCCTGTGCTTCCTGAATAAACTGCATCAATAGATATCCCGTATGTAATAATCGACCGATATCCTGATCGGAAAGGTTTGGATGACGGGCATAATTTGAAGGTGTCGGGAAGCGAAAACAATAGCGTAGGAAACGGCGCACGTACTCAGAGCAACGACTGAGAAGAGGCAGATAGTTAATTTGCGTAAACTATGTTCCGGGAATTAGATACCGGTTTTCTGCGAAGAAAAAATGCGGTTGGGTTCTTACCGTTTCACGGCAAATCCGCACGGTCGAGGTATTGGAATCTCTAGCGCCATACCCTATCAAAGGGCTTAACTAACAATAATATATATGCATTGCCCGGCTCAACAATTTCCACTTGATTACCATTTCCATCCAGTCTCGTCATTGTACCAGTCCGTCCGGTCAGATCGCTTAGCCAATCCGTACATGACATAGTCTGCTTTCCGAAACTGTTTTTTTGTATCACAAGGGGCTGCCAGCCGAAACCCGGAAATGTGCCTGTTGTTAATAAGAATGAGAGTCAATGCCTGGTTAAAAATCTTGGACCATAGATAGAAAATATTACATACATCTTTCCAGTAGACTCATCGTATATGAGCTTCGAGGAGGTGGCGATACATGGCTGGAAACCGCACCGCAAAAGCTGTCTATTCGAATAGTTAGCCTCTTAACAAAATATCTGTAGGTAGGGGTTGAGGGTTTGAACTTACGGGTAGACCCGTTGAAATTCTGCGCGGATACTATCCCGCTGCTGTTCGTTGAGACTCCAAAAATAGTCCTGAGACGGAGGCTCTCCCGGAACTTTCTCCCAGACAATCGTGATTTCATACCCACCAGGGACGATTTCGTGATCCCCCTGCGTTCCTTCTTGGTAGCCTAGGAGTTGGGGAACGACGGGACATGCCAGGTGCTTCAGTGTCTTGAATGCCATCAACTCCCTATTTGGCCTTTGCGGCATTGCCTGGCTAGCTCGGATACTAGAGGGGGCGAATTCGGTGCCACAGATAGGGATTTGACGATAGATTCGCATGAATGCGAGCTTTTTCGGGTTGTCCTTCGGGTGGCAGAGAAACTTTGCGGCAGCGAATCCGGGCTTAAAACCATGGTCGATATCCTGCTGCGTCATAAGATCGGACAGCTCTTCAAGCTTTTTGGTGATGATCCAGGTCAGAGATGGCAACTGAAAGTTGGGCTTAGCCTCCGTAGTGATCTCAGTGCCCTCAGTGACCCAGAAAAAGGAACTTTCGGCGCTATGCATATTGTTGTCTGTAAAAGTTCAGGGAAGAATCGTGATTGACAATGAAGTGGAACACGACTGTCGGGACGATTGAGGTAGATTGCAATAATGAAAAGCCAAGTCAGAGGAGGGTTCAAGAAGCTGCCCGACGCGAGCGTGACGCCGACACTTTATATGGTGTTGATGGCCATGTAGTGCCTGATGCCGCAGGCATCAATCGATACTTGGTGGCTGGTACCTAATGTTGACGTCGATGCCTACAGTAGGCATCAATGTGATTTCTGCGTACTCCCCTCCTAAAGTTCTGTGGAATCCTTTGATACAGGCCTTTTACAACCAAGTAATACCACTATTTGCCATGAGTCTCTTGCCCCATGAGTGCCTAATATCTCTCCGTAGTAGGTAGAATAATAACCTGGTAGCCTAAGCGTCCCCGAGACTTGCCCACGCCCTTCGTAGTATGAAATGGTCTACTATCTACGGACCTGTGTTGACTCGAGCTGCGAATAGGTCACAATTCCATACCTAGCTCTAACGAGGAAAAATACAAAGTTTCAGTTGCAACTATTGGTAATCACCTGCCCAGAAACTGCTCCTAATCAAGGAACCACTGGGATTGTGGTGTATTGTTAAAGACTGGCCCCTGTTGAACTGCAAGACTAGCAAGGTAGAGAAAACACTGCTTGACTGAAACAACCGGCGAGCCTAGCACATTCGTAGCATTGGATGGGACATAACTGGTAGATCCTTTGATCACGGGGGAATATGATACTTGCCACACCCCGTTGATCAGCTCCTGTCTCAGAAATATAGTCTCATCATACGTGCTCAGAAACCCATACATGCAGTTCAGACTTTGCATGTAGTTGATCGGCTGGGCGAGTAATTGCCTTAGCTCGTCTTCATTGTAGAAACCACCTAACTTGTGTTGCTCGATCCAGGGTGCCTTCAGCTCCCCTATAACCTTTAGCTCGTTGTTGCTGTTCTTCAATATCACATCAGGTACATCAGTGTATGAGCTTCCTAGGCATTTGAAGTCGGCGAAATGTAGGTCGATTGATTGAGCTTTGAAGACATGCCCCATTAAAGAGCCTAGTGATTGCTGGAAACGGCCCTGAACTCCGTGCTCGTCACCGACCTGTACTGCCTCTTCATCTAGACGTTGGGTGTACTTGATCACTCTTGGGCTCCATGTCTGAGTATTGCTCGTTGCTTCCACAGCCCGTAGAAAATTAGACCAGCGAGAGAGAGGGCCTAGGAAATACAGGCTGTGGAGAGCACTGGATTCCGTGTGATGCTGTCCAACCAGAAGAGGGGGAAGGTTGGCCGCCGTGGCCTCTTTGGCGTGGGTCTTTCGACCAAGAAGAGGTGCCATGTTGAGAGTATCTGTGACTTTCATCTGAATTTAGTACGACGCGCTTTATCCTCAAAAAAATGTGGGAGTGAAATACGGTACTGTATGAAACTTGATTGACTTGAAATGATTCCAGCAATAAGGCGTTGTTTGGATGACCATAAGTTAAGCAATGAGTTGTTGAGAGGGAGAGGGATTATTCGATGGTGAGTGAATGCGAGTTGGAAGATTAAAACGGTGGGTGTTGCTGTGTTGTCGTGCTGCGCGAGGAGTGGAAGAGCTCTCAACGCGAAATGCAATGCGAAAGTACTGGATATTCACTTGGTCAAAGAGCCCATGAATCACTCACTGTTAATGGGCAGACTATTGGTTATTCTTACTTATAATACGACAAGTGAGCCATGAACTATCTGCAGTTCTTCATGAGGAGAAATTCTACATGGAGATGTGATTGAGACATTCAGTCGGTTGCCGATGAAGTAGATAAACATCCGCTTCTTGCGTTGGGGGTTTCCGTTCAGCCGCAATCCTCACAGAAACATGATGCGCGTACATATCAAAGCCCATCAACAAGATTTCATCGAGTATCGAGTGCCGCGTGCCACTGTGGCTCAGTCTGGACCTGCCATCCCCCGTTTCTGACGAGCCGTTTGACCAGTGACTAATTGGGGTTCATCTCACGAGGGCGTATCACCCCTCCAAAGTTGCTCGCACAGGAGCATCAGGGAGAAGAGGGAAATCGGGGATGGCGTGCAGAAATTGATCCCTATGGTGAGAAAATGCTACGTAGACTACGCTGTGTATGCATTGGGTTCCAGAAGTTTCCTTACAACACGCTAGATTTAGCGCGTTTCTATAACCCGCCTAACTACTCCCTTTTGTTTTTGACCCTCTATATAATTATGGAACGCAGTTTCGGTACAGAAATTAGTGGTAATCGCAGACCAAAAGCAGAGCTATCAGTTGATTAACGCGCAGCTATATTAGCTAAGCTAGATCTTAGCCAATCGCCTACTAAAATAGCCGCTGAATTTAACTGCCCGCGCTCCATAATATATAATACAAAGAAGCGCTTGTAAAACCACCACTAACTTAAATTCCTAACTCGTAGCCGCCGGCTAACGTTAACTAGCGATCGAACTAGACGTCTCGTCTATTAGCTGACCTATAAGAATCCTACCTATATAGAGCTACCTTGCGTTTCGGTCGTAACTACCTAATTCGATCTTACAGTCGTTGATTATATCATTTCCAAAGTAATACGGCCTCTATAAATAACGTATAGAATTAAAGAGCCCTGTTATGATATCTTGATGAGGGTATTCACATATTGATATTGGTGCCTTAGGCACCAAGGGGTTGATTCTGCCAAGGCGGTAGCCATCCGGCGGTCAGCCGGAAGCCTCTCGTCCGCGATACGCGACGGCTACGCTGCATGCAGGCCGCGCCCACAGTATGTGCCATGCGTTAGCCATACAGTGGCCTTTCGTCATGATTTACCCCTCACTTCGTGTTTGACTCCTGTTTGCCAAAAGATGCTGTATTTAAATCGATACTTGAGGAAGTGGGATTTATCTTCCTCAAGAAACAGTCTCTGTTACAATTGGACTTGGTGCTTTGCTCTCCTACCTAGTTGACAGGCCTTCTACCCTGCAAGTAGATACTTTCTTAACAAGCCCTCTATCGCCTCTTATCATAGTATACGTTATCGATTTGTATTAGTATATCGACGATCTTGCGCGTAGGATTAGTAAATATTTTTGGATAAGTGTTCTATCTAAAGATACTATAAATCTATTAGTTCTAGTAGCGCCAAGGTCCAGCGATTTTAGTCGGAAGCGTATAGAAATAATCTAGTAAGCCTAGAACCTTATATACGCGATATTTTGTAGATAGTGTAGGTAGCTATCTAGTTAGGTAGCCTGTCTAATTGATTGATTATAGAGCGTGATTCAGAAGGCGGCTAAGGTAGTTTTATAGCGAATTCTTATGTAGGGTTAAGGTAGTTAATTAGCCTTAGTACTTGCCTAATATAAACCTAATTAATCCGGCCCAGCGCATACTAAAGGTTAATGTATTTAGTATATCTCTAGGGGTAATTAGTATAAGAAGGTCTGAGGTAGACTAGTAGTATTCTATAGAATGCCTAGAAGCTGTATAGAACGCGTTGAATTAGGCTAAAATTGATAGCCTTTTTTTGTAGTATGCCTAGGCATTTAGAGGCCTTACGTAAGGCTAAGGGTTAGTATACTAATAATTAGAGCCTTCTAGTTGAATCTATTGAGTTTGCTGTGTTTTGATTGTAAATTTATAGAGGTATTCTCCATATCCTAAAGAGAAATATATATTTGGAGATGCAAGATAGGAGGTAGTGAAATCACGTTATCGGATAGGTGTAGAGAAACTTTTGACTAGGGTGTGTATCTTCCCAGCAAAAATCACAGCCAACAATGATCCATGAAGGTGATCCTCCATCTACAAGTCTCCGCCATTAGCGTAATTATTTCCCTTCCAGCTCGGTTCGGAGCTAGGTCCTTACCAACCACTAGACCTAACAGGATGTGCTCCGTTTTCCTGTCTCAATGATGGGAATTTTTATCAAAAGCACACAGGCGCTGGCGACAGTTGTGATAGGATAAGCTTCGACTTCATATGATCTATTGCTCACTCTGCCCTCGCCATGAGTGGTCACGTTTGTCTGTCAGAGTGATGTGGCTTGTTAGCCTGTCGTTGGGCCCGTAGTGGCGGGTCAAGCAGCTCTTTACGGCCAGTGAGTTGCTACCAGAGCTGTCGGGATCTGCCGACTGGGTCAAACTACGGAGGTCCATCCAAAAAGTAATGTATAGCGCACGTACCACCATTATTTTACCACTAGCGCTTTACCAAGCGAATATATACAATCCTCCTGACTAGATTAATCTTCTTTAATTATCTCTCTCCTACCACTGCCTACTACTGCCTACATCTACCACCATGCTAAAACAATCAACCCTTGCTGATCGTGTGACTGTCGTTGCATTGAGAGCGTATACAACGAAAACGTCTGCTGAGATTGCGAAGATAGTAAATCTATCAATTAATACTATTAATCGTATATATACGCGTGCAATTGAACGTGGTTTCGATCCGACTTATATAAAGATCTCTGATGAATACGTGTAAGATGCACCTCGCTCTAGTCGGCCAACTAAGTAAGATCCTAAGACTGTGGAGACTATCCTATCGAAGGTGCGCCTTAATCGCTTTAGTCGAGAGAAAACATACGCTGATCTTACTAGGGAACTTAGCTAGGAAGGAATAGAAATATCATCCTCTACTGTGTGGACTATCCTCAGGAAGGCTGGTTTACGCAAAATAAAGCCGACGAGGAAGCCTAGACTAACGAAGAAGATACGAGCTAAGCGCTTAGCTTAGTGCCTAGCCCACGAGCACTAGACTCTTAAGGATTAGAAGGATGTGATTTTCTCTGATAAGACCTCGGTGATTCTTTTATATCGTCGTGGCGGTTATCGTATTTAGCGCTCTAAGGATAAAGCATTTCTACGCTCGTGTATTCGTGAGCGTTAGAAAGGTTCTTCTAAATTTATGTTTTGGGGCTGTATTACCTACGATAAAAAAGGCCCTTACCACTGTTGGTGCCCAGAGACTACTCAACAAAAACGTGAAGCTAAGCAAGAGATTGAAGCTCTTAATCAAGAGATTAAACCTATACTACGTGAGTAGTGGGAGCTAGAGACTAGCGTGCGGCGAATTAATCTTCGTCGACAGCCTGCTAGCAAAAAGCCTATATAGAGATTTAATAAGTAAAATGGAAAGCTTTCACGAGGATCTAAGGGTAGAATTAATTAGTATCGCTACCAAAAGATGATTCTTCTACCAAAGCTTATTCCTTTCGCTAAGGAATACGCTATAACGCGGCCAAAAACGATCGTACAGGAACCCAAAGCTCCAGCGCATAATCATTATATTCAACAGCGAGTATTCGATGCAGCTTAGGTGCAGCGATTACTTTGGTGCCCTAATTCGCCTGATCTTAATGCGATTGAGCCTACGTGGCCTTAGATGAAACGAAGGACTACTAGAAAGGGAGCGCCTAAGTCTAGACAGGAAGCTATTGCTATATGGAATAGGACCTGGCAAGAACTACCGCAGGAAAAGATTCAGGCTTGGATAGAGCGTATCCCTACGCATATCAAGAAGATTATTGAATTAGAAGGGGGGAACGAATATAAGGAGGGCCGGTAAATTATACTATGTAGTACGTGAATGTAATTAAATGGTGGTACGTGCGCTGTGCATTACTTTTTGGATGGACCTCCGTAGACTCTCCTCATTTTGACAATAATTCTCGGCAATCTTTCAAGGTCACTTTCTAGGACAAGTTCCTATCTCCCTTTCTTTTGTTCCAAAGGAAAACTCTCAGAGTTCAGCTTGATCGAAACAATTCTTTCCACCAATCATGAACGGCTTGGTATGCTGTGTGGCTGTCTCGAATCGCTACCAAGGGGTTACCGCCGGTTGGCCACCGCCTTGGCAGAATCCCCGGCCCGCGGGTGCCTGGGGCTCCAATATCAACGTGTGAATAGCCTCACCAAATATCATAACAGTCTCACTAGAGACCCGAAAAAGCGGACGTTATAGACACGCGTAAGGTAACAACAATAGTTACAATGCACTAGGAGACGCTAAACTAGAGAAGGTACGCTGACTAATTTCTGTTACGCAGAAAGTTAGGGTAACGGCGAAGATATCACGCTTATATATGACTTAACCCGGCGTGTGGCTTAAGTACGGCTGAGCGGATGGGAAGCCCTGTTCTCCACACCATATGGTCGTATGTACTAAGGGATGTGCTAACGATGAAATATATCCTCTTAAACATTCTAGTTACAATGCATAGAGTGCGCAATAGACGGGATCAGAGAGAGCCCTTGGAGCCACAAGCTTATCGGGCATTGTCAAACTTGATCCTCAGGCCGCTAAACCTCATATCGATTTCGCTAAGAGGTAGTTATCTTCTGGAGTGGCTTTTCTAATTTCCTGAGTTTCTCTTGAGGCTTTACGTGAGGAAGCTAGATCAAGCTAATGAGTTTTGATTGATTGGTTAATAGCAAATTCCATCGTTTGACCACACTTCCTTCCGAGGTGTGAGAGTACCTATTTTGAAGGCATTGGAATAGAAATGTGATCTGGCACGAGAGTCATCCCGAGGTCACGCAGCCATAAATATAGACGAATAACGCAAATCCTATCATCAAAGAGTGGACAATGCCGTTTCCCTCGAGCTAGATCGCAATGATGAGTGAAAATCACAATATCACAATCCCTTCGATATGTAGAGGCAGCGTAAGCCACCTGGCTTCTGTGGATTCTCGAATGCGATAGCACTCCATCTCGGAGCTCCAGCTCCTCAAAATCGAGATCAACATCAACCCGGTGGGTAAAAAGGTTTCCCCACCAGATTAACCCTTCTTCTGGTAAAGGGTGAATAAAGACAGAATGCCTAAAATCGAAAGTGACTAGATCCCCAATTCGTAAACAATCCCCGTTCCTGACTTTCACTTCTGTGTATGCGGATCCATGTATTACCCCTCCATCTTTCTCCACTAGCCCGATACAAGATCGAGGAGGTTGCTGAAATAACATTCGAGTCCAACTAGCTTCTTTTCGGAGAAAGCGGTCGTTATCCTGAGGATCAGCCGGTGGTATCTTGATCTCTCTGATGTTAGGTGCTCCCCAACTTTGTGCCTGTTTTGAGCAGAACCATGGCCATAAAAACTTGTTTAGTAATGGGTTGCGAATACCGAGTATCCCGCGTGGTAGTTTGTATCTCACGGGCTTGAAGAATAGGGCAGCTTGGAGATCGGCCGAATCTTGAATTACTTCATGCCATCGATGGCACACTCGTTGGGCCGATATAAGTAATGTTTGCATATCGGTCTGGACTAAAATCGATTCCAGGATCTCGGTTATCAGAAAAACCTTATGCGGTATGCTTAAAGCCATAATCTCAAAAGCCGGTAAAATTCGAGTACGCGATGGCTGGAAGAGTCGTGTACACGAAAACGATAGCCTGCCTTGAGGGCTGGTAATAGGTGTGTTAGTTATCATGTCATACAGGCGCCAACTTAGTGTGGGTACTTCTTACAAAGGGAAAGCTCTTTTGCCTAGTTTCCATGTATAGTAACTAGTAACCCGGACTAGACCGCGGCCTGTTCCAAATTCGGTCATGTTTCTTCTAAGCACCATACGGAGGCCGATGACGGCCACCGAGGATAAGTGGCGTTTTGCATTGAATTCAGCGGCAGAAATCCTGATTAGGCTAGACGAGTACCTGACAACCTGAAAGATTAGGCCATACGCGGCCACTAGCCACTTCCACCAACCACTTGGTAGTTCTCATTTGGCCAATGAGAGGCTACGATTTTGATGGCCCATCTCCCATGCGTTTTAGAGCGATTTAAATCGGTTTGAATAGTATGCGAATTAAATTGAATTGAATCACATACGATTAAAACCACCCACTAAACCCCTTTCCCTTCTGCACTCCCACTCGCCTATATTCTTTTGCGCACCCTTCGCTGGCCACGGCGAACTAGAGAAGAGGCTAACCTTCTGTACCGACTGGGGCCGCCGTCAACTTCTAAGGTCTCCGGATTAAGACGTGGATACGGCGTCGTCTAGTGGACTTATCCACTATAATGTGCTGACAGAAGTCATCAAATATGGTTAAAGCCGGATATGAAGACTTCAGAGGTAGAGAGGAGATTATAGAGAGAATGATGTAGGGGGAAAGACGAGGGAGGATTCGAATAGGGGTAGGGGGGCCGTAAAGATCACTTAATGTATTAATGCTCGATTCATGAGGTGTATATATAGGGCGGTCTCTGAAGCGGTATGTAAAAGGCCGCCTACCCTCGGTGGCCCGTTTTCGGCCGCTATAGCACCGTTAGGCCGAGACTCCCGAGTCCGACGATGTTTTTATGTTCATATTCGTTAGGCTGATAAATTTAAACTCGTATCTACCTTGGTTACCACTAATTGTGCTGAGGAATACAGATTTTTAGATGTGTCTGTACTATAGCCTTGAGTCGTATTCTGCAGCTTCAATGGAGCTCTATATTCGATTCTCAATTAGGAACTACGATTTATAACTGCTGAAATAAACGAAAAGGTAGTCGAAAGGCCCGATATGATGTCCGGGAGCTAAGTTAAATTACAAAGAGCAACCTTACAACGTACTGTACATTTCCCTACGATCATATTGCGGACTAGTTAACAAAGTAGGTTTTAGGTTTTCACTAGAGTAAAAATGTCTCCAAGCCTAAGGAAAAAAGCATACAATACGATAGTTATACCAACGGCCCCTAAACCCTCATTAAGACCTAGAGATGCTGTCGAGCCTAGGTTCTGGGCTAATGCTGCATATAAGAACCTTCAGAGTTGCGGACATGCGAACTGCAGACAGTTGTATATAGTGAATATGATTCTAGATGGAAATTGTAACGGAATTGGAAATAGAAATTGAGCGAAAAACATAACACTACCGATAGTAACAGCCTTGTTGTTGAATCCCGTCCTCTCAACCTCTATCTGTTATCTATGTCCATCGCCTCGTCATCACCGGCCGAGCTACTGAATTGGCGCCGGGACCTTCCCGGGTCTACCGGGGATTGCGTGGATGTCTCGTGGAAGATAGTCAGGAGGTAACCAATGATCTCTCTGGTCTCAGCCTTGCTTTGACCCCAGATCATAGGCTTCTTGCACCACTTGCTTGTTTCGCTGATCCGGTAGAAGTTGAAGGTGTAACTGTCGCTCGAGATCCCGTAGACAGTCGTATCTTCCTTTTCTCGCTCGAGTCGGCCGGAATGGACGAGGCCTATAACTAAGTCCGCGATGCTTTCGGTATACAAGATAAGCGACTTACCCATGTAAGCAAGTAACTGGGACTCAGCCGTGCTCAGACGATCCTGCCTCTTCGCCTCCACAATGACCAGATTAGTCTCAAGGTCGGCTTGTGCTCCATACCAGAGTGCGTAATCTGGCCGGCCGGTTAGGTGGACCTGCTTAGAGTCAAGTTCCACATTATGGCGGAAATGTGTCTCGCGTCCCCAAGATACCTCATTGTGCGTGATGAGCTGGCCTTCCATCTTCGCGAACCCAAGCACCAAGCCGAGGATCTGGTCCAAGCGCGAGCGAATTTGCGCCTCACTGTTCTGGGAGCCGTTGTTGGCGGCGTCAATGTAGGTGAGGGCTTTCACTAGTTTCATAAATAAGCAAAAGAGACACAGAAATTAGAAGAATAGGGAACTTACTGAGGAAGTCGTAGAATTCATCGAACTCTGGCCATGGTTCGTAGATCGCCTGTAGGGATACCAAGCGCCATCGATCGCCTGGTTGCTCATTCCGATCGGTGAGCTTAGTGAGCTTAAAAATGGTGTGAACCTCCTCAAGATTGAGCTCGCCTAGAGCGCGTGGGACTGTCTGCGTATTTTCCTTCCCCGCAAGATCAAGGGCTTGGATCATATTATCGACCCCGCTCTGGTCAAGGTTGCTTGTACGTCGGAGCAAGTTCAGGGATCGCTTGGCAAGCCTGCGGACGAGCGAGCGCTTTTCAGCGGACGCATCGGTAGTCTTTCGAGGTGTCTGGACAGTGGTATCAGCCATAGTGAGCCTGGTGAGAGTGGAAATTTTTAGAGGAGGGTGGAGAAAAAATGACAATTCGTGGAGGTGGAGGAGACTTTTATACCTAAGGGGAGTCCTTATTTATATTCTTGAAACTTAAAGTTCGAGCTAGCGAATAGGCTATTTATCCCAATTGGGATGTGAATAGCTTCATGCGAGCGCGGAGCATACGCGTCACGTGTCTTTAATGCTGACGTACCTACTGCTAGGCAATTGGAAGAAAAACAACTCAGACTGTGAACGCGCCCTCTTCGTGACGGATCCGTATGATGACAAGCAAGCTTTAAAGCGTAAGAAAGGCGACCATGCTACCGGGACCTGCGAGTGGATACTTCGAACGAAAGAACTTGCTGCCTAGCTTGGTTCTGGAATAACGGGCGGTCTGTAGGGATAAGCGAACTAAGTCCTTTGGCTCTACGGGAACCCTAGAACGGGTAAATCGATTATAGCGATATACCTCGCGGAAGAACTTCGGATAGCTTTATTTAATATAGAGGGGGACGAGGTGACGCTAGCCTACTTTTTCTATGACTCTAGCTTTTATACACGGAGGATTGTAACCTCGATCGTCCGAGGGCTTCTTTACTAGCTTATTAGAAAGTATAAGAAGCTTCTCGATTATATCTTACTAGAGTATCTTTTACGTGAGGCCGAGCTTTTTACGCCGTTCGACGCTCTCTAGAGTATATTTATAGATATAGTAACAGACTAGAGTATCGGTCGAATATACTATATTATTAACGCGCTAGATAAATATAATTAAGAATTATAACGGATCCTATTATAACAGCTTAAAGAAACATTTAAGAGCTAAGAAACCTCGCCTAATATTCGAATATTAGTGACTAGTAGGCTATATCCGGAGATACGCGAAAGCCTAGAAATGTTCCCGAACAAAGATTTGGCTTCTTTTCCCGAGGGATAGGGGGATATTAATCTTTGTATTAAAGAGAGACTGAATTTCTTAGCTAAAAAAGAAAAAAGTATACTAATAAGGTTAAGGATTAAGTCCGCAAAATTCTCCGAGATAAGGCTAAGGGCACTTTCCTCTGGGTTGGCTTGGCCTATGAGGAACTAAAGCGAACCGTCATGAGGCTACTAAAGTTAGTGTATGCCGTAGTGAGAGCTACTACAGCGCCCTAGAATAGTGTATTGGTAGTTAAATACTTAGTAGTGGGTAGGCGAGCTATTAGTAGTGTGGTCGGATATACCTATCCTAAGTATCTAAAGTAGAAGATTAAATAGACCTAGCTATACTACTGCCCTACTAGGCCGTAGTACACTAATATAGTTAGCGACCGAGCTATATTGCTTAACGGATATCTTACCGTATCGTCGGCTAGACTAAAGACTAAGGTACTCGAAAGAATTGTCTTATCTATAAAGTTTAGTATGTATGTGATAAATAGTAAGGGCACGATTCGTATGTCGATCTTACGTAACACTTGTTTCGCTATAGCTATGTCGTTCCCCTACTCCACCGTGGATGCATCGATAGTAGCGCTAGACTCTGCTATAATTTCAATATACTAGAGATTTTCTATAGGTAAGTTTGCGGAAAGGAACTTTCAGAGACACAAGAAAGGTGGTCAAACGCTGTGTGTTAATCCTAATATATCTATCCCTGTCTTATCTTTCCCCACACTTCCATTGGCTCGGCCGAGCTACGCGAGCCCTTTGCATGTTATCGCTGATATAGCACACTTGGATGTGTATTGGAGAAGGTCAGTATTTGAATCCTACCCCACAAGGCCAAGTTGGTTAAACTACTCGAAAAGGAAACTGTTCCCGTGGCTGGTGTACGTGATATAACGCTCAACCTCCAGGCCCCGCCGGATGAACGATACTAACAATTGAATCCATGAAAGCGGCGGAAAGGGACGGACTAGAGCTACTACCTGTGTGTTGGGCGCTTGCTGCACCTACTCCAATGCATGGGATTCTCAGTGTCTGCCATGCAGTACAAACTTGACCACTACGAAGTCGTCGACAACTTCGAGCTCGACCACCTCGACGTTCCACTCAACTTCGACGGTGACATCAACATCTACATGCAGTCTTCTCTTGGTCTACTGATTAGGTCTAATCTATCGTGCATTGGGGGTACGGGCTCGCAAATGATGCGACACGCTAGAAAGTCCCCGGACGGCTTATATGGCCGTATCTACTTCTCGTACGACAGATGAAAATCAATATCGTCACTAAGAGAGATTTCCACGACCAGATAATTGCATTAGCATAAATTAAAAACAGGAAAGATTTATCATGGTGGACAATTGGGGGCAATCTCTTGTCAATACTTCTCGGACAATTGCCAGATTCCACAGCACTCGATCTTTTCTTTTTTCATGTAGTCAGTGCAGATTAGAATTTTATCTTTAGCCTGGCAGAATACACAAAGATTCTTTACATATGATACTAAATGGATGGCTTAAGAAGTTCTCATCGCAAGCGAATGTGACACAAAAAATACTCAGACCGTAGGAGCGCATATCCCTTGTTTCGGGCTATTGATCGTAAGGCTCGGGAATTAGTTCTATCCTCGTTGCCTCGACCCAATCACACCGGTTTTCGTAAAGCCCGAAGGGCCTCCCGCATGTCCCTTGTTTCGGGCTATTGATCGTAAGGCTCGGGAATTAGTTTTATCCTTGTTGCCTCGACCCAATCAGACCTATTTCCGTAAAGCCCGCATAGCCCCCAATGAAGCGCTTCGTCAAGTACCGCGTGCGCAAACAACGTACAACAGGACGAAGCCCACTCATGTTCATCGCTCCTTTGTTGGTCCTCTCATCAGGGATATGTGGTATTTAACACGGAGACTCCAAGTTCCTTCGCTCCCGCGTTCAAGTTTCTTATCCATATATTCCCCTGCGGGAAAAGTGTGCTATCGCCTCGCATCTAAAGGCAACATGGCGCCCCCCAGAATCCTCATTGTTGGTTGTGGCATTGCTGGCCCAACGCTGGCATCGTTCCTGCTTCTGGCCGACATCCCCGCCGCCCAGAAGCCTCGCATTACCATTCTGGAGCGCGAGTCTACGCGCAACGCTCATCTGCGCGGCCAGAATATTGACATTCGCGGCGCGGGTGTAGCCATCATTCGCAAGCTTGGACTCGAGACACAAATTCGTGCTTCTACTACTGGAGAAGAAGGCGTTCAGCTCGTCGATGAGAACAATCATGTCTGGTCACAGAACCGCGCGGATAAGAGCGGAGAGATACAGACACCAACGAGCGACATTGAGATCCTCAGAGGTAGACTGGCTGAACTGTGTTGGAAGAACAGCCAGCGTATCAGCACTGAAGCCGAGCGTGAAGGCGCCAATGGTATCGTGTACATATTTGGAGATTATCTCGACGAGATCAAACAGGATGACAACCAGGTGCATGTACACTTCGCCAAAAGTGGAGAGACGAGAAGCTTCGACCTTCTAGTTGGAGCCGATGGTATGCAGAGTCGGACACGGAGGACAGTCTGGGGCGAGGAAGGTGAGAAGGACCGATTGAAGCGGATAGGAATGTTTGCTGGCTTCTTCAGTATCCCACGAGAGGAACATGATGGCAAGTGGAGACGGTGGTTCCACGCCCCTGGTCGACGTGGCATCATGTTGCGACCAGATAGCCTCGGCGTGAGGTCCACTATCTTCATGTATGTGGTGAATGAAAAGGACCCGAGGTTTGTTGAAGTTGAGACGAAAGGAAACAACGGTGCCGAAGCCCAGAAGGCACTCTTGGAGGAATACTTCAAAGACGCCGGTTGGGAGTGTGACAGAATCATCCGGGAGATGAAAGCGACCGATGATTTTTACTACAACGCCCTCTCTCAGGTGAAAATGGACAGCTGGACAAGAGGAAGGGTGGTGCTCCTGGGTGATGCAGGGTAAGTCAAAATGCCCTCTGTTGTCGCTTTTGGCCTTTGGCAGGCTTTTTACCAGAAATGCGTACCAACAACTCGGAACAGGTATTGCCCCTCTCCCATCTCCGGCCTAGGCACAACCGTGGCTTTCAGCGCTGCCTACAAGCTAGCAGGGTACATCCAGGGGTATATCAAGGGAGAAGAGCCGGACCCTTTCGCTGCTCTTGCGAAGTACAACGAGCAAATGAGACCTATCGTCAAAGAGTGCCAGGAGCTCGCACCTGGCCAGCCGTATATTATCAATCCCGAGACCGCTTGGGGCGTCTGGGTGATGCGAGTGCTCATCCGGTCATTATCATACACCAGAATCATCTTCATTCTGGTCAAATTCTTGGGGAGAATTCTCCATCTCGGACCTCAAGCAGCGGATTACGTCAAAGTTGAAGACTTTGGCTTTAAAGAGATGTCCGAATGGGGGAAGGAGAATACTGAAAAGCGGAGTTAAGGAGTGGAGTTTATACTTTGATTCTACCGGTCGGTTTAAGAAATATCCCTAATTCAGTCTATTATTCAAGACGGAGATCTTGGCTATAGCTACTACATCAATGCGAATAATTCAGTGAAAACAATAGCCGTGTTAGAGGACTTTCAAAAAGACCAGCTTCTAGAATTTAAGGAGCAGACTGCAGGGCTACAGGCTCTGATATCTTTGTCGAGAAACGACCAGAATCTGGTGCAATTTGACCATCAATGTCTAGTTCTTCAGTCATCGTCTTCAAGATGTAGACTAATTTACAGTCTAGACCGTCGATGTCGATACAGATAAGAAACTGTTCCAATTCGACTGGTCATGTCTATATCCCTCGACTAAAAATTCGGAAACTATAGTTTAACTGAAAACGCCTCGTGAATTGTAATAAAGTATACTCGACGCGGGCCTGCAAATGATGCAATACGCGATACGCCAAAAAGTTCCCCGAATGGCTTATCTGGCAGTATCCACTCGGATCACTTTTCACCTCTCCGACAAGCCCACCTTCAACCCCCCAAGGTCTCCTCGATCGTCCCTGGCTCTTGTCAAATATCGAACTCCTCGATCAGACAGGCCTATCTTGTCTGCCGCCCCTTCTTCCCCCCGGGCGGCCCTGGGCTCTGGTGATGCGCACGCGATGTTGGAGCTTGCAAATGTTCCACCCTCGTCGCGCGTGGATCATGCTGGTCTACGCCATCCTATTGTCGCTATGGCTGACGCTAGCGCATGGGATGCGAGACTACCAGATCAAAGAGCTTAGGTGAGTCTCTGCCGTGTCGTGTCGTATGGTGTCGCTGCTGCACAACGCCAGCCTGTGTTCCCCCGGAACTGGTTACTGGACCCAGTGCTAATTCCTACCTTTTTCCCTACGGTGCATAGACAAGAAACCGAGCGCATGTTCTACCACGGCTATGAAAATTACCTCGAACATGCCTTTCCCGACGACGAACTACGTCCGTTGACGTGTGGCCCCTTGACGCGTGATAATAAGAATTCGGAGCATAACGATGTCCTCGGCAATTACTCCTTGACATTGATCGATAGCCTGTCGACTCTGGCTATTTTGTCGTCCAGTCCGGAGAGTGGAGACCGAGCGTTTAGAACTTTCCAGGATGGTGTGAAGGAGTTTGTTAGACTATATGGAGATGGCTCGAATGGCCCTGCTGGTCGGGGCGAGCGGGCAAGGGGGTTTGATATTGATAGTAAGGTGCAGGTGTTTGAGACTGTGATTCGAGGGTTGGGTATGTTTTTTGGCGTCATTGAAGCGCGCGGTCATTTAATTTCCACTGAGAAATTATCGTTGCTAATCGTAATCCAGGTGGACTGCTCAGCTCGCACCTTTTCGCCGTGGGCGAGTTGCCCATAACCGGATATAACCCACCCGAAGCAGAGGTTGCCTATGCAAGCGCATGGGACAAGAGCAAATTTGCGGAAGATGACCATGGCATTGTATGGAATAATAGCTTTGTCTATGATGGCCAATTCCTTCGATTAGCGGTCGACCTTACCCAGCGTCTCCTTCCGGCATTCTACACGGGTACGGGCCTCCCTTACCCGCGGGTCAACTTACGGCATGGGATTCCGTTCTATGAGAATTCGCCATTGAACCGCAAATCCAGCAAAGGCAATGATCAAAAGTCAAAGTACGCCTATCTGAAGGCTGAGGAGGAGATTACGGAGACTTGCAGTGCAGGTGCCGGTAGTTTGGTTCTTGAGTTTACCGTCCTGAGCAGACTCACTGGCGATGGTCGGTATGAGGAATTGGCCAAGCGGGCTTTCTGGGCGGTTTGGTCTTACCGCAGCGAGATTGGGCTGATTGGATTTGGAATCGACGCGGAGTCGGGCAAGTGGGTGGGACCGTACTCGGGGGTGAGTAAAGAGTATCGACACCACCCGAATCAGAGGGAACTAACAACACCTTCTTCTCTAGATTGGTGCTGGAATTGACAGCTTCTACGAGTATGCTTTCAAGTCACACGTTCTTCTGTCGGAAGGAGAGCGGCCACCTTTCGACCCAAACAATCCTTGGAGCATCTTGGATGACTACTACCTGCCTTTGACCCCGGATCAGCACTCTCCTGATGCTTTTCTTCAGGTCTGGGAAGATTCGCACGCATCGATCAATCGCCACCTATACCGCGGTGAGGGATATCAACATCCCCATCTGATCGTTGGCGATGTGATCACCGGTGCTACGCGAGCCTTCTGGATAGATAGCCTGAGTGCCTACTATCCAGGTCTGTTAGCTTTGGACGGCAAGATTGACGAAGCCATCCAAATTCACCTGTTGACCACTGCAGTTTGGACACGCTTCTCGGGTCTTCCGGAACGGTGGAACGTGGCTACGGGTGATATCGACGGCGGCCTGTCCTGGTACGGAGGCCGGCCCGAATTCATCGAGTCCACTTACTACATCTACCGAGCTACCCAGGATCCATGGTATCTCCATGTTGGCGAGATGGTGCTTCGCGATCTAAAGCGGCGATGCTGGACCAAGTGCGGCTGGGCCGGTCTGCGGGATGTCAAGACCGGCGAGATGATTGACCGAATGGAGAGCTTTTTCCTTGGAGAGACCGCCAAGTACATGTTCTTGCTCTTTTCCCCGGATCATCCACTGAACAAAATTGATGCACCATGGGTTTTCAATACCGAAGGCCATCCTTTGGTTATCCCGAAGAAGACGTCGTCGTCCAACTCGAATCGCCGTCCCAGTCATCGGCCCAGCCACGAGGAGCAATTGGTATCTCAAACATCTCTTACCAATACCTGCCAGGCGCTACCGATCTCATCGACACTCGGAGTGTCGTTCACAGCCTCGCGATCTGATATCTTCCATGCCGCCAGCTTGGCCCGACTACATCTTCGACCTCATCGTGGTGCCGAAGGTGCCATCCTGGCAGACTCGTCAGATCACCCCAGCATATCAGTCTCTGACTTATCCTCGCCAACCAACTACACGTTCTACCCATGGACTTTGCCACCACAACTCGTCCCCTTCAACGGCACCAGCGCACCCATGGCCATCCGCCCAACCCTGGATATCTCCTTCCCTTCTCTTCCGGGCGGCGTCAACCTCGGTTCCGGCGCACTCGAGCGCGTGCGCGACGGCATCCTCATCAAGACCATCGGTGGCCTCCGGCTAAGCATGATTAAGGACGTCCCGCTCATTGGGCAAACCTCCGGCACGGGTACCGCGGAAGACGAAGACGGGTATCGCGTGCAGGTGATCAACAACGTGCCGCTGGGCAAGGATGAGAAGGTATATCTCTCGCGCCAGATCACCTTTGACGTTGTTGATCCGTACGATCCGAATTTCACCCGGGTCCGCGACTCCGCAGTGCTAGACCTCGTCATTGACGTTCTCGCAGACCCCTCTCGCCGTCGCAATGGCTCAACTGCTCCGCGAGCTAGCCAGCCTGCAGCAGAACATGCAACAAAGGACGCCAGTCCCCACCGTCGAGCAGCCCCAGCCCCCAACGAGAGCGGAGCCGTCCACGCCCCCGACTCCACCATGAAGAGCATGCTATCGAACCTGCTTAGCTCCGTCTCCGCGTTGATCAGGGATGACCCGAACGAGGCAGCCCCGCTGAGACTCAGTCTGCCTGCAACAATTCCAACGGGCGTCGGGGCCGCACCCCTCCCAGACGTCGAGGACGCCTCTACGATATCTCTCTTCGGCAACCCGGCCACCAGCCGCCTGTCCTGGTCTAACATTTACTTTGCCGGCGAACTCTGCTCGGAGCGTATCCTCCGCGACATCGCCCAAAACCACGAAGTTCTCGTCATCAAACGCGGCGGCTGCACCTTCTCCCAGAAAATGCGCAACATCGCCGCATTCCGGCCGGGACGGTCCTCCCTCAAACTCGTCATCGTGGTCTCCTACGACGAGGATCCTTCCAGCACAAATTCCCAACCAGACCAGAGCCACGGTGAACACTCAACCTCGGGCTCAGAGTCGACCGCGGATTCAATCCTGGGAGCACCCCTCGCCGCCCTCCGCGCCGAAGGCTCCCTCATTCGTCCACACCTTGACGAAGCACAAATGACGGTCAGCGGTATCCCGCGCAATAACCCCCTCAGCATGGTCATGGTCGGCGGTGGCGAGGAGACGTATGCACTGTTGCAGGTTGCGTTGGGAGTGGGTATCAAGAGACGATTTACCATGCGTTCTCGCGGTGTACCTATCACGAATCTGTATATCATTTAAATGCATTTACATACCCGGTGATCAATCGAGGTGTGGTTCTAATTTGTACGGGTCTTTCGACGGATGTGTTTGTGTATAGCCTATAGCCTATTTTATCCTGGTGGTATCTACTTGCTGCATTTATCATTGTGGTGAGAGGATCTTGTTGAACGATGGTCTAATGATAATCTAGGCAGCTTTGGCCTACGGATTGACTTCTGGGCATGATGGGTGTATAACATTTACAAAGAAGCTACCCTCGGTCTGCATAACCCGATACCATAAGACGTCGGTATTACCGTGACCTTACTCAACGTAGCAAAAGTCAATCGTATGTATCTGATACCGTTAATTCATTCTCATTCCAATTTTTCTCTATAAGCCTCGCTCACGCCGCGAAGCCCGAATCTCATCCGGCCAAGCTCAATTCAAGCCCGATCCATTTCGAGATTCACCCCCTACTCCAGAGCAATGCACTCAATCTCAACAAGCACACCCTTGGGCAACTGGTGCACGGCAACACAGCTGCGGGCCGGCTTGTGCACAAAGAACTTCTCATAGGTAGCGTTCATCTCGGCAAAGTTGGCCATATCGGTCAGGAAGACGTTGACCTTGACAATCTTGGACACCTCGGAGCCGGCGGCGGTCAGGATGGCCTGGATGTTGTTGCAGCAGGCTTGGGTGAGTTCGCCGATGGAGCCGGTGACGAGGGCGCCGGTGGAGTCGGCGGGGATCTGGCCGGAGACGAAGATCTGGCCGTTGGCACGGATGGCTTGGGACTGGAGAAAGGGGGGGAAGTTAGTGCTGGTTTATTGAATTGAGATTGGATTGGATTGGGGAGGGGATGAGGGTGTGGTGGGCTGTGGGTGTGGGTGTGGTGTATGAGAGTGTGACGGGTGTTGGGAGCTTGTGTATGCTTTGTAGCAGGAAAGAAGAACGTACGTAGGGGCCGGCAGCTGTAGAAAGACCTCATATTAGCAAAGTGATCACTTATATCAATCAACTCGTGCTGAGGGACGAGCGTAACACCCATGAGTCAACTCAAGGCAAGCTCGGGACTCGACCGGAGAAAGTCGAGTAGGGCAGTTCAACGTACGAGGGCAAGCCTCCTTAGAAGTGACGTAAGACATGTGGGCAGACATATTGGGCAGGAATTGAGGCCGTGAAAGACTAGTCGTTGAATTCAGAGGATTGAGAGTGCGAGAGAGAGCTGAAAGACGAGAAATAGGTCGTTGCATGGTGGGATTCAAGGAGGGGAATAATAAAGTGGAGGGGGACGGAGTACTGCCGCAGGGCCCCGCTCTTTTGGTCGAAAGTTGGCGGGGGAAACTTACTAGATTTGGGTTTCCCGAGGAGAAGGAGGTTCGGAAAACATCGGATTTGAGAGTGAGGGGTTTATTGGAGATGGGAGATAGGTAATATTAATAATGTATTGGATTTGGGGTAAGAGATATCAATTCGCTGGTAGAAATACAGTTCAATTAGAAAGATACAAGTTGAAGGTATGAATAGCAAAGGCTAGGTCGTCTCGTCATGAAGTGCTCGCTATGCGCCAGAAAGAATGAGGTATTAGAAAAGAACTGGGGATCGAACATCGGGGTCCAGGAGAAAAGAGTGATGCGGCGATTGGATCTCCATAATCATAGGTCCGAACGGGGAGACTAGGATTTGCCCAGGTTCAGCTGCGCCAGCTGTTGCATCAGACTGGCCGTCTCCTCGGCGGAATACCCGAAGAACACTGGCCCGTTGAAGGTGACGTGTGGAGGGAAGGGGTTGTTTTCGGTCTTGGTAGGGCCTTCTTCCTTCTTTGCGGCGTCGTGCTCAACGGTCTCACCCTTGGCCACGTTGCCAAAGTTACCCCAGTTGGACCAGGGAGATTCGAGGTGGGCCGTGGCAGCTGGGGCTGGAACAGGGGCCGGGACGGAGGTAGGAGGACTAGCGGCAGGCTCTGCTTTGGGGGCATCGTGACCGAATGGGCATCGACCGGCTGGTTTAGCCGGCGTCTTGCCAGGTGACGAGTTCAGAGCATCCACGGGAACGGTGTCTGGGGAATTCGGACCCGATGTCGATCCGGGGAATGGCATGGAAGACGTGGGAGGCTGTTCGGTGATAGGGACGGGAATCCCCCAAGGCCGGCTTGGGGACTCGCCAACTCGGACTTCACGAAGCGGACGGTCGAAGCGGCTCTCACGATCCTCGGCTTCTTGCGTGGGTGGTAATGGAGTCACCGGGTCGACCTCCTCGGCCCATTTCTCGACTCGTTCGGGTGACGTGGAGTGGGCTGATCGACCCTCGCCTTCCCCCTCAACATCACCGTCGCCGTTGGTCTCGCGCTCTGGCAGGAACGCCTGGTGTTTCGCACTGAGGCCACTGATCATGTTGATCAGACCGCCGTACTTAGCATCCAGCTGCCGCATGTTCTGCGGGTCTCTCTGGTATCGCTTCACGCAGATGGCATGGCTCCGTGGGATCTCATGTTTATGACGCTCGACGTATTCGGCAATCTCTTCCGGGGAGTGTTTGTCCAGGTATCGAATGGGGCATCGCGATACGGGGCATCGTCCTTGGGAAGATCGACCGACCGAGGGGGTGGTACTGGATCGACGCTCTTCCTGTTCGGCCTTGATGGGATCCAGATGATCGTGTCCGCAGGTATCAATTTGAATCTTAGGTCCTCCGTCATCTTTTCTGGACGCCATGTCGCTGCCCGAACGGGGAGATTTGGGTTTGGAAAAGGGACAATGGAGACTGCCTTGGGTCCCGTTGGTAGTGAAGTCTTGCTCCAGGGTTACCGGGAGGTCAGGTCCGCGTGCGAAGAGACACGAGTCCGCCGAGGATATTTGAGACAAGCCATCGGAGCGGAGCAGAGCCTTGTACCCTTTGACCCCGTTCACGATGGCCCGCATGGTATTTTCGTCTACGTTTTGGTGCGAAACGAGCGTCTTCATTATTTCCATTGAATTCAACGACTGTTCTTCGACGGGTGGCTTGCTGAGGACAAGCCCCTCACACAACTGTTTCTGTTGATCCAGTAACCTTTGCTGCACCTCCATCGCATGAGGCCTATCTTGGGGTGGTAATAATCTTGTCACATTCGTGTACTGGAGAAGAAGTTTTCTCATTAGCATTCAAGTCTTGTCAGGTCAAAATGAGGAACAGATGAAATAAACAAGAAATGAAGGGTAAATGTCTCATCGGATAATACATGTTAATCCGTCACCGCCACAAAAGAGTGACTACTGATCTAGAGCTAATCAAATTTTCTCGTCATTTGAGACAGGCTGGGGCTGGGGGGAGGGCAGGAAACGATGAACGAATGAGAAGGGGGTAAGTACCTGTTTGAAAGCCTCCTGGGTGTATTGCTTGAGGTCATTGTGTCTGTGTGTAAGCCGGTAGAGAGTTAGTAGCAGGGCATCGAATGCTTTGCCCACAGCTTCGAGCTGATCCTGGTGCAGATCCGGCTGCGGCTGCAGCTCCTCGGGAATCGCTGCAGGTGACATAATTGCAGGACAGCACCGAGTAATTACAGAATAACAAGGAGCTTCATCGGAGTGATGAATAAACCAGAACCACGGGGTGGGTGGTGAGAAGCACCCGAGTGAAGACGATGGAGAAGAGGGAATCCGGGAAGGCAGACATTTATAGCTAAATGGGCCGACGCCGGAAAAACGTTAAGCGAGATGGTCCGTGTGGCCATCACGTGGTTGTTGGCCTGGATATGGTTCCTGCATCAAATTGACCGGATGTACAGGTAACCAGCAATTGTACGGTTAGTTTACCGGGAGAGACGCGGTTTTCGAGTACCAGTTACCCTGTGTACGGACTTCATTACTTCCGAGTCTCGCGATCCTATGGGTGTCGATGCCAATAAGTTATTTTACCTTTACCAACCTAGATAGTATCGAACGACCTTGATATATATTTCTGCCGCTCTCCACCCTAGATCTTCCAATAAGGTACCGAACTTGGCCAAAAACATTCCATTGTATTTATTTTTCTGTATTTCCATGAGTAAATACAAGAGTTGGTAATCACCAAGGAATGAAAATGAAAAGGCCTAAGTAGACCTAAAAGAAGCAAAAGCGACTTGTTGGGTTACTCTCATTCAACTTTCACCGCAGATCACCCCTATCGCCTTCGGACTTTTGCATCTTTCTTGATGGGCTGGCTCATGTAGCCATAAAATCAGTCGCTCTTCAACCAGCCCTGCCGGGCTAGCTCAATCGGTAGAGCGTGAGACTCTTAATCTCAAGGTTGCGGGTTCGACCCCCGCGTTCGGCTATTCCTAAAAAAAAAACCTGAGATCCTTTCTTTTTTGTCGACTTGCGTTGATGCAGAATACGGCGAAGTATATGTTTTTCCCCTCCTTATATATGGAAATAGCCATCAATGTAGTAACTCCCACGAGTCTCTCCCGAGCAAAGTAATCATCGCATAAGCAAATCGAGCATCCATGGAAAAGATTCCCCAGGCCTGGAGTAGTATGATCGGCCGAACTCGAATAGGTAGAGCAGTAAATCGGATCAAAAAGAAGTACGGATTTAAGTTCAAAAGCATCCCTAGATAAAGTGGAAGTCTACGGCTTTATTTCGTTTGATAACAGAACCATTGACCCCATCGTCTCGGGTGGGCTCTGGCTCTGTGTACTCACGGCATTCGAGTACATACGGAGTACTCACCACCATTAACCCATCTTCTTGCATAATGCAATAGATGCATATGCATGTTGTACTCGAATATTTGGAACTTCGAATGACTCGGAAAATTACCAGCCCTATCATGCTTTATCACGGTCGGGAAATAAACAGCGCAGTGATAATCAAGTCCAGTGCTGTATGTATGTAGTGCTGCCCCCCATCCCGACGCCACCAGAACCGACTGCCCCTCATTCCTCATACAGTAGGTATGTACTCACATCATTCTGTCTGCAGAACAGAAATAGCCACAGGCCTGCCTGCAGTCAAGGTATTGCAGCGCTAGTAACGGCCGTTGCTGCAGCGAGTTTCAGATTCTCGATCGTAGTGCGTCGCCACTGGCGTAAGATCCGTGACAAACAGAGAACCTATTCAATATGTACTCCGTATGTATTGTCACTGCGGGCTGTAAGACTGAATATACCCACGGTAGACTATGAATGGTCGTGGTCTGATGGAATCAAGCAGCCTCCACTTCTTCCCTGTCCACCATCGGACAGCATCCCACCCACGGGCCAGGCGGGCCGCCCGGTCTGGACTGTCGGAACCAAGACAGGAGAGCTGAGACCGAGGTTCTGGTCCGGGTTCTAGACAAGACATCGGCGGAAGTCGGTATTGTTTTTGTTTATAGTTTCTTTCACAAGTCAGATCTCGGGTGGTTAGCTGCTTACTTCCAAGATTGGATCGGTAGAAGGCCTAGATGCCACGGAGGGCCAGATGTAGATAGAGTATGGTGTACCGCAGGCCAGGTTGTTATTTACTTGCTTGGTACTGTCTTACCTTTCGTCCAAAGAAAGGAATATGCTGTCGTAATCGCTGCTGCTGGGATAGAGACCCCAACGTATAATTCCCTCTTTTGTCCTAATCCCAGCTAGCCGATCGGCCTCCCCGTTATGGTGTGATGGGTAGAACCTGTTCGTAGGGCATCCGCTGATTCGCCCGGGCCGAACCAAATGGCGTCCGTTAGTAGAAGACTAGCCTCAAGCCATAAGTTGAACACCGTACGGAGTAATGAGGATACGAAAAGAAGGGAGTAGAAAATCAAGAAGATACCAGTCCGATTAAACTTCTATATTCCGTATCATCACATATACTACCGTCAAGTATGAACCTGAGGTTAGCTTTACGTCTGCTGTTGAATGATGGACACGGTAGAACCGCCAGCCCTTCGCTCTCTCCTCCCGCTTATGGCAAATGTGGCTGAATCGCGCAGATCAGTACAAAACGAACGAGGCCCGCAGCGGGACGGGCCAGCCAGACACCTCACCACACGCCGGAGAGGTTGGGTGGGAGACTGGGAGCTGCTGCATGTGCGGGATTCTAGAAACCGGCGCGAACGTATCAAGTATGGCGTGACAGGGGTGTTACGATGGAGGGGTCCGCTGGATTATGCAGTAGGTACTACAGTATTCAAGGACTTTACAATGCACGAGACGATTGTTTCGTATTTTCAAGAGTGGTCGCATCATTATGCTTCGTGCTCTCTACTTGATTATACAATGTATATACTACTGGACTCGGTATCATACTATCCTCTTTTGCTAGTCTTTTAGGCACCCGAGGAATGTGTCCAGGGATCGTACCTTAGGAAGGTTCTTTTGTTCCGTCACTTAAGGAGATCTGTCCGAAAGGCCACTCCTTGTTAATTTAGGTACTGCCACTAAAGAGATGATCACTGCACAGACCGCAATCTGACCGCTGGTTGATTGGGAGTTTTTCTACACTTCTCAACCCTGTCTACAAAGATTACATACCGAATCACTCTCTTCGACCACTTTTTACTTATTAAATACAATTGAGAAATACTTCCACCAGTATATATTATAGTATCCATGAACACTGAATAAACAAAACGGCGAAGAAATGCTGTACAACAATATCCTACCACCAAATCTAGACTTTTTTCTAAATGCCCCGCCGAGGGGCAACCACCTGTGCTTATCAACCCGGACCCGTAAAACTTTCAACCTACCGAACTTTTTTTTTTTGTTACCACTCTAATTTTTTTTTTTTTTTTTTTTTTTACTCTTACTATCTTTATACGAACTCGACCTTTTGCACCACCTCCCCTCTTTTTTCCCATTTCCACCCTAATCCCAATCTCATCCCACCAATCCCCCCTTCTTTCTTCCACTCCTCTTCTTTTTCTCCCCCTCTTCCTTTCCCCCCCTCTCTTCTTCCCTTTCTCACCATGTCCTCTCAACCCTCCACCCTCCCCGATGCCTCCGCCCAAGTCCCCGGACACTCCGCCGCCGATTCCTCCAGCGCCGCCGAACTCGCCAGTCTTAAAGTAGGCTTGCGCGCCGCCCTGCGCCAGTTCCCGGACTTCCCCTCCCCCGGCATTCTCTTCGAGGATATCCTGCCTATCTTTGCCGACCCCAAGCTGCACGAGGCTCTCATCCGCTCGCTCGAGCTGCATGTCCTCGAGGCCTATGGTGGCCAGAAGCCCGATGTTATCGTTGGCCTGGAGGCTCGTGGCTTCTTGATGGGCCCGAGTCTGGCCCTGCGTCTTGGCGCGAGCTTCGTGCCCGTTCGCAAGCAGGGAAAGTTGCCCGGCGCTTGTGTGACTCAGGTTTATGAGAAGGAGTATGGTCAGGATTTCTTCCAGATGCAGGAGGGTGCTATTAAGCCCGGCCAGAAGGTTATTGTCGTGGATGACATTATTGCTACTGGTGAGTTTTTTTTCGGGTCTTGCGTTATGGGTGTGGTATACTTTCTCTTCTCTATACTTTGGGACTATACCTTTATACTTGGTATAATGGTACAGTAATATGGGTATAGAAGAGGTAGTATACAACAACCACACGACTCCCTTAATTATCACTCTTTTCAATCCATACTAACATCAATATCAGGTGGCTCCGCTTGGGCTGGTGGCGAAATGATCCGCAAAATGGGCGGTGACCTGTTGGGCTTCATCTTCATCCTCGAGCTCGAGTTCCTCAAGGGCCGCGACAAGCTCCCCGCTCCCGTCTACACTCTGCTCTCCGGCCAGGCCTAAGCAGTTGTCTGTCTGTCTGTCTTCTCACCAAGAACCACGTCTTCCACCTTCTCGACCTCTCTCCTCTGGCATGTTTCCTGCCTTCCGTGGTTGAAACGTTGACAACTGGCTTGATTCGATGCGACTTCCCCCCCCCACCACCTACTCAAATAAAAGTGCCCTTGTGTCTTATCTCCATGACCAATTTTTCCTCCCCTCCCTGACGCACTCTCCCGTGGTCGCCATCCGAACTTTCAAGCCTGATCGAAGCTTTGGGTTGGGCATCTGGCGGGCGTATGAACCCCACCGAGGCATATTCGGTAACCGCCACACCCGGAACCAACTACTTGGAGTCCCCGGGCTATCCGAAGATTATTCTATTTTTGGAAGGGGATTGTGTGTTTGGGTATCCAGGATTGGATTGTTCATGGGCATGTTTCGTTCCATATGGAGGGTACAATACTCCTGGCATATATCTTTCTATTTTTATTTTATTCTTTTTTTTTTTTAACCCTTCAGGGCGGGAGTAGAGCGGGCTCAGATCCCGCCTCTTTTAGAGAAATTAATACGTTTTTCTTTTCCCCTCTAATCATGCTCGATTCGCTTCTCCTCTCTATTCCGATACAGACTCTTCTAAGGTCTAATCTCATGCACATGGGCAATGGGAAGGTGGGTATGTAGCTTAGCCCACTGCAAGTTCCTTCGCTACGCAGTCCACCCCGTAGCAAGAAGACCCTGATACGTCGACCGTTCATCGTAATATCTAATATCTAGCATCCCTTCTATCGATCCTTCCTTTCCATACCAACTCTCACTCCTCGGGAATAAACCTCCTCAACACCTCCCCCAACCACCTCCCACTGACACCCAACCCCTCCGCCTCCCGCATCGCCCGATTCATCCGCGGGATATACTCCGCCTTCGGCTTCGAAACCACCACCCGCTCCTCATCCACATAAACCAAAGCCCTGACCGTCCCCGAAGCTTCTTCTCCTTTCCACTTCCCCCGTTCATACTGCAACTGACTCGCCCCGTCCAGCCACTTCACCACCACGGCATCAACATACCACTTATTATAATCCCCCTCCCCCTGCTCCCGCGGCCGAATGTCAACATCTATCTCCTCTCCCTTTCCAGATCCGGGTTGCACAACCTCTGCCTCCCGATCGATCCCCTCGTACCCATCCAGAATCCTCTCGTCCCCGGGATCCATTTCGTACAGGACCCCGTAGACGGTATCCTCGCTTCCCGAGACGGGGATTTTGTCTGCGGCGTGACTGAGTTGAGAGGATATGCGGAGACCAACTGGCGGGAGGACGTTGGCGTAGCCTGCCTCGTTGATGTGCCAGCGCCAGTGGGAGAGAGAGGCGATTGCGAGGGGTTTGGCGGAGTGGGAGGGGTTGATGGTGCAGCGCATGGCCATTTGGGTTGGGGAGAGGTTGGAGCCGTAGGCGAAGTAGAGGTGGGGTTTGGGGGATAGTGGTTGTGGTGGGTGGATGGTTGTTGTTGTTGTTGTTGTTGTTGTTGTTGTTGTTGTTGTTGTTGTTGTTGTTGTTGTTGTTGTTGTACTGTGTAGCGGGAAGAGGGCTTCTGTGGGTTGGTTTCTGATGTGCATGTTGATTTGCATCTTGAGTGGAATGCGTTGGTTGGTATAGAGAGATGGGGTGGTGATTTGTTGTGGGTTGGTGCGGGGAAGTTGGAGATTGTGGTGGGCTTGGACCTGGAATTAGGGCTGAGTGTGAGTAGAACGATCGGAGAGAGAGAGAGAGAGAGAGAGAGAGAGAGAGAGAGAGAGAGAGAGAGAGAGAGAGAGAGAGAGAGAGAGAGAGAGAGAGTCGTATATTCATACGCTGGCTTGTGGCTGTTTCAGGCTGGTCTGCTGGAGTTTAACTGTAGTTGTACCGGGGTTGGGTGTAGAGATGAGCTCGGAAGATACCCTACTGCGGGGTGAATAACGTGCTTGAGTGAGTCAGCGTAACTATTGACCAAGTCACTGGACGAGAGGGAAGTTGATATGATTCCGAGTCTTTTAAAAAGGGACTCTTCAGAATCTGCGATAGCCTTTTTACTAAGGGACTGAGAACTTAAATACCCCCAGGTACCGTGGTACCTTATTCTCTCGGAGTTCCAACGGAAGTAATTTAGGTTGACTCATGAGCGACAGGATAACCATTGCCTCGATACTGCCTACTAGTATAAGGAGTACCAAGTGTTGAGATTTCGATATATCTACATAAATGCAAAATCAACGAGTATCATGACATTCATTGCTACATCACTCATATACCAAAACGGAATGTGACGATGATATTACCAGAAACCGGTCGTTCAAAACGCTAGAAACATAACACAGGGAATAGAGCACGAAGAAAAATCGGGGAAACAAAGAGATACAAAGACTGTCAAGTCCCCTGAAATCATACACGATAAACCCCCTTCCTTCCCTACACTGCACCCGTCTCTCCTCTCAACGCCGTGGAATCGTCCCACTCATTCGACTCCCCACACCGGCCATCAAACTCTGCTTGACGATGGCATCTGCAGCTGCTGCGGCCGCAAGTCTTTCCTTCTGACGACTACGATCCCGCAGATATCCTGCAGCCTCGGGTCTCATACGTAGAATTCGCAGGATCATATCATCATTAGGATCGGCCTGTGCCTCGCGTCGCTTCTCCTCCTTCACCTTCCTCATCGTGCCCAAGTTCCGCGACAGCATAATACTCTTTGCGCGTCGGGCAGCCGGCACACCCAGTCCACCATAGCTAGTACCCGTCGCACCTAGATGTGCAGGTGCCGAAACTCGATTACGGTTGGCTTGCTGACGATTTACGTTGGCAGAAGCCATACGCTCGGAAGTACGGATCAAATTCTCCGTTGGCTCAAAGTAGAAGAAATTCAGACTTTGGATCTCGTGGTACTTGGGGGATTTGAGAATGTCGATGGGGACGCCGCCGGCCTCGCCGGTTTCCTCGTCCACGGCGTGGAAGAAGTTGAGGAGCAGCACGAGCCAGCGTGAGACAATGTCGACTTCCTGCATCGTGAGTGGCTTTTGGTGTGAGGGTTTGTCGGAGAGAGGTGGGACCAGGAGACTCTCGATGGTGGCGAGGACTTCTTTCCAAAGACGGGCCATTACCATCCGCATGGCTTCTTCGGTGAGGGTTTTGTTCATAATGGCGAAGTTGTCGTTGAAGTAGTTGAAGAGTGGGTCGAGGGCATTCTCAACGTCGGCGGGAGTGGGACCGGTAGGGACTGTTTGTCCGCGATTGCGGTTCAGGAAGTTGGATACGGTCGACATGCTGAGACCGCGGGAGAGTAGGGATTTCAATGTCCGGCGAGACAGACAGTGGCTGATATAGGCAGAGAGCTGGGAAGATGAGATGTTAACCTTTGATTGGTCTAGTGTGAAACATGGAAAGCAACAAACGTTACCTTTTCGGTGATCCTCCGAGTCATGTCTCTCTCCGTGCGCTTGAGGGTACGGAAAGCCTTGCCAAAGTAGAACTGAATGTCATCACGCTCTCCTTCCATGCTTACACGAAGTAACAGTCGTCCCTGAGTATCCAGATCGAGCCAATACTCCCGTGGGAGGAAATCACTGAAATGGACGGGATCCAACTTGATCGATGTTCGCCCAACGTAATCGTGATCACCCACCGCATCCCAATCCCAGATAGTCGCGATGATATTCAAAGGACCCTGCGTGGTGATATCGACCGCATCCTCCCACCGGGGGTTGAGGTTATTGTAGATGATGCGCGTCTTTGCAATCCGCTTTTGGTACTCATCAGCCAAGACCACGTATGGATCACTGCCACCATTCATGTCGCACGCCTTGAGGTCTTCTGCCTCTACGACCTTGATCGTAAAGACATATGTAGTGGACTTGCGGACTTTCTTGAGCTGTGGTGGGGTGTTCTTGGCGATAACATCGGCACATCCGTCAACGTTAATCTCGCGCTCGAGTCTGTCTAGCTGTGTGAGGGCATACTCGATATTGTTCAACTTCACTAGGGACTATAGCGAAGGTAGTTAGACAACAGGAATATCTAGTGCAGTCTTTGACCAACAGGGTATACACACCTCAGACGAGAATTGGAATGGTTCGATCTTGTCCTTGTTCGTCCATGTGTCCTTGGCGAATTGCATGAGCTTCTCTTGAGTGGTTTGGTTCAAGGCCGCTTCTTGCTCCGGAGTGAGACGGTCCATCTCACGAGCAAACATCTGCTCCAAAGATTCACAATATTTGGCAACACCTTTGCCCATGGAGTTTGCAAGAGCGGTCATGAACTTAGCGTACTGAAGATCGTCGTCCCACTCCAGCCCGATCAGATTCTCCACCACCTGATTGTAGGACCGGAAGATATCAATCACAGATACACTGTGCCGTTTCTCCTCTGGAACGACCTCGTCGAGCTCCCCTCCACCGACGGTGAATTTATCTTGCCGAATGGCTTGGTTGACCCATTCCATGACACTCTGATCTGTCAGACGGAGCCAACGCCAGACAAACTCTTCCAGGAGACCCTCCACATGGAACGGGAATGGAGTCCTATGAGCTGATTAGTACGAATTTGTCTTGGGAGAAGCCTGGTTGCCCTTACTCGGGGATGGTGTTTGTGAAAAGACGTCTGATCGCAGCAAGTTGCCTGTACAGGTCAAATCCGTCTTCGATATCGATTTCCTCACCCTCGGCTTTGGCGTGCTCAATAATTCGAATGACCATTTCATGCGCGTCTTCCGCAAACATGGGGAGCATGTTGACACACAGAGTGAGATGTGGGTTGACGCTAGTCACGGTTAGAGCTGGCTCTCAATGAGGTAGAAAAATGAATGGCTTACCCCATGATCTCAGGGTTATTCCGGTAACGCTTCTGAATCTTCTGTGCCAACTTTGAAATCGCATCGCCTAGCTCGATTACATTATAAAATCGCCAAGATTCCTGGTCGACAGGAATCAACTGGCCGATGAGGCTCTGGTATTTTTCCGTAGCCTTCTGCGCAAGACCATCCTGCACATACGAGGAGAATCGGTCAATGTCCTCCGGGTCCTCCGAATAGTTCGGATCCATCTGGATGTGATGCTCAAGAATGTACATTACAGGACCAATCGGGCGAGGTTTCGCCTCGAAACAGTCCATCATCACGTCGTAAAGTTCACGAAGTAGGGCCTCGTGGAGTTTGGACAGCAGCTGCTGCATGGTCTGCAAATCATGCACGCTCCATTTCTGCCTATCAAAGACGGACGAAGCCACGTAACTGCTGCGCTTGGCCCGCGGCTCGCTACCGGGCGATTCTTTCACAAATGTGAATGCCGAGTCCAGCGTGTTGAGATCAATTTCAGAGTCCACGTATTTGGACTGAATGACGTCGAGGAATAGCACAATACGCGAAAAATGGGGAATCCGCCAGCGGAGACAAATTTCGTTGAGCATTTCCGTGGATTGCTTGGAGAGTAATTTCATCGATGGCGTATCCGACGTAGCCTGACTCGCTTCAATTTCCCGATCACGAAGGTCGTGGGTCAACGTCTGATTCAGAATAAATCTGTATACGCTTCGCGGGTCCGGTGGGATAAATGTATACGTGTCTGACTCTTCAGAGTCGCTATCGGTCCCGCCTAGCGAGAGCGAGCTCAAGTCAATTGATTGATCAATCGCGTAGGATGTTCGGTCTCGAGGCGAGGATAACTCGTCACCGGCAGAGGCGTTGAATTTTGGTAAAGCTCCAGGAGTGCTCTTTGCAAGTTCTGGATTGGACTGCACGATTGCAAGCATCATTTGCGACAAATCAGGACCTTCGCTCTTCTTCCAAGTTTCAAAGGCCTCGTCAGTCTCAAAGTCTTCTCTGCACAGCGTCTTCCGGGTATGGAGGCTCAAGTGTGTTTGGTAGGTCTTGAGGTCTTGCAGAGCTGCCTTCTCAGTCCAAACCGATCTGTGACTATCGATCTCGGACTGGGCTTGGGCGTTCGTCATCCCAAAGACCTTGGCCACGTGTTGTACCAAAGGCATGTCCTTCACGTCGTAGCTCAGCGGGGCAAGGACCTCCGTCGTTGATGCCGTGCCATTTGAATCCATCAAGTCCTGATCCTGCAGAAGAAGCTTGTTTTCTAGCACCGACAATCGGTTCGCGAGCTCTGGACGGTCCTTGGCCCACTCGTTGCTCTTCAGTATCAGTGCTAAGAGGCGGACAAAGAGCGCAACGTGGCGATCCACCATGAGCTTCCAGCTATCATCGTCCTGTTCCTTGCCCTTGCTCAACTCCTTTACGGCGTTCGAGTAAAAGATAAGGAGCAGATCCTCGGCGCGGCGGTCTTTCTCCATGCGCTTGCGGAAGGAGTCCTCCTTGAGTACATTGAGGAAGACGGCGAACGTGCGCACCACCAAGTGATCCTGATATTCCTTCTTTTTCTCCTTCCCCATCAACACCCCCGTCAAACGCTTCTCCAGCTCTGACACAAAACCATGAGGAATCCTTGTGCTCTTGGAGTCCCTGACGAGCGAAAAGTCACTCATCAAATCATGGATCGAGGTTGAGGACCGCTTCGGCCGCGCCGGCGCGGCTGGTGCAGTTTGGATGCGACGGGATCGAGGGTGGAGTAGGTAGGTGAGGTAGGCTACGCGCAGAGCATGGCTGCTTGCGACAGCTGCCGTGAGCGGTCGCCGGCGCGAGAGGGACGTATTGCGTGAATGGCGACCTTCATTTTGGAGGCTGTTGATCCGTCGGTTGACTCCTCGGGACTGACTAGATGCCGTCGACATGAGGCGCTTCTCTGGATTTGTCTAACGTTCGGGGGAGAGAGAGCGAGTGGAATGCGGGACCATGGATGGAGATGGGACGCAGACCACCAGCCGGCGCGCGATGGAGGAACGACTGGGGTTGAACTTTTTGTGTCAGAGAGAGCAGCTGATTTTTTTTAATTTCGAAAAGTGGAAACGTCTTGGCCGAGCTGAAGGGGATGCGGTGCTTCAAAATGTTTCGAATGTTTACAGAAGGAGAAGAAAGGAGGGGGGGAAGATGAAACAACCAAAAGCTGCGGAACCAACTGACGTAGGCGCCCGGACCAAAAACAATGGCCCTGAATGCTGAACACTGAATGGAAGAAAGCTACGGTACCCAAACAACAAGCTCGCTAAATACGTTCTGCGTAAATGGCATTTACCGGCCGACTGGGTTTGTTGGCATTTCATGCAGCTCTGTGGCCTTGCAGGGCCCCCCTTGGAGCCCGATCTACGCAAGGGTGTCGGGTACTACCTATACTCTTGAGCTAATACTGTAGGTAGGGCTATATTCTGTATCTAGCACATTGATAATGAATACCCCGTTGATTGCCAGGCTCCCTGAGCTTACAAACCTTGAAATGTGCCATTTATAAACATTGCGACAACGGTCTCAGTCGCAGTCGACGGTCGTAAGATCTTGGGGAGCCACTGTGGCTTTAGCCTCGGTGCGGCCCCACCGAGACTGACCAGTTGTTGATAGGACATTGCAGAAATGATGAATCGGGGCTTATGAGTACTCGGTAAATATTGAACGAAAATGATCGGACTTCTTTATTTCTTTTGGACTGATTCAGCCTGTGTCAAACCGCCAGAAATACTTTCTCGGCCATAGACCATCAGACCCGCAAGTGACGCCGAATATAAGAAACAAAATCGGATTGGTATTTACACACACACACACACACACACACACACACAACGCAAAACGGAAAGCAGAGGGCGAGAGGATTGATTTACCACTTGTCCTCACCGGCCTTGCGAGCCTGTAATTAAGAAAGCAAGTTAGCTTGTTATCCACATCAACCCCTCGCTGGGTAGTCATAGTGTATCGTTTTGTATGCGTACCGGCAGGGCATTGGGACCACCGAGCTCCTTCTCCAGACCATCAACGTAGGCCTTGGGAACGCTGGGCTTGTCGGGATAGTAAAGGCTGACAACACCGCAAAGGCCGAGGAAGGTCACAACGAACGCTCCCAGGTGGAGGAAGCCCTTGCCGGAGCTGACGTGGGTGTACTGCTCGGGACTGAAGACACCAAGAATTTCGTTCTCCTCGTGGACAGGCTCGCCGAAGTTGCGCTTATCTTGCTTGTCCCACCAGCCGCCATACGGATCTCTGAACTGACGCTTCACGCGGGGAGGGTTCTGGTAACCGCCATTCTGGATACGTCCGTTAACATCCGCCAATTGATTCGCCCGGCGAGACACCCGAGTCGTCATCATATAGGCATTGTCATACCTGGAGGGGATCCTCGACCTCGGCAGCACGGAGGGCCGGGATCTGAGAGAAGGATGCGCGGGGGGCAATGGCACTGCGGGCAGCAACCTGGGGCAGGCGCCGGGCCAGGATCCGTTGGGAAAGCATCTGTGGGAAGAATTGAGAATCAGTAAAGGCGTATAGCAGGCCTAAAGACAATTCAAATTCATGCAAGATACTCACAGCTCCGCCAAAAGACCGTTGGAAGGGGAAAGGTAGGAAGGTAGGGGACTTGGGGGGAGGATTGCAGGTCGATGATGGAACGGATGGAGGTTTGCGGAACCGCTGGCCTGAGGCAGAAACAGGCATCCACGCGCGGCGCGCTTACAAGTGTACTCTCCCCCCGACGAAAAAACCACCCTCTCACGCATTCCCGCCATCGTGCTCGTTTTTCCGTCCCCATCCACGCTACCGAGCCGATAAGCATGCCAAACTTCTGGTGGCACCTGAACTCGATCAGCTCTACTCGTTGATGCCCAAGTCGCCTACTCCGACCACGTCATTGTTGGGATAACTGGGGTCAACTCTCCAGAAGGCCCCTGTCGTCCGCGGCTTCAAGTCATGCAAAACGGCAGCCCGAACGGCCCATCAACCGAAGATGAACGTTTGACACCTGTCCCGGACTCTCCGCGCCTCGAAGAAGCCTTTTTGGAAATTCGGGATGATTCGGCGCTTTCCGAGGAGGTCCCATCGGCACCTAAAGACGATGATGAATCTACCCATCAACTAGAAGGCCCGCCATCCAAGAAGCGACGACTCACAGAGACCACTCCATCGCGTCTCTCCACTTCCAGGCCACCTTCGCCACCATGGAAGAAGATCGGGGTCGATGGGCCAACCTCGTTCACCGTGGAGGGCCGACGCAGGTCTTCGCGGACAAACGCGATCCCGCTAGAGATGCAGCCTCATTCCGACAAACGGCAGACGCGCGCAGCACAACACCAATACATCCAGAAGAATGCTCGTGATGGCTCGAAACCTGCCACATCGTCTCCATTGGCTGCGACGCAGTCGCGTACTGTGGTTAATGGGAAGGTTGGTGGCAAGGTCACGACTAACGGATCCCCCCGAACGGGGTCTACAAGAAATCTTGCGGCAGGCAATAAACAGGCAGTCTCACAATCTCCAGTTCCGAAGTCCTCCAATCATTCTCGCACGCGATCCCGAAGCTCCGTTCATCCCCAACGCCCTCCCCGTCCTACTACCAACGGCGCCAGTCCTCGTCAGCTTCGCGACCGCCCTTCCCTTTCCGCGACGTCCCCCGGAGCTGGCAATGGACCGGATCATACCCTTAGACATAACGAGGATGGAGAAGAAGGGTCGATCAAGGTCCCGCGACTGCGAATAAAGGTGAAGAAGCCGGTTCTTCCGATCCGACACCCCGGCCACGTATCCAACAAGAAATACCAGTCATTCCGAGAATGGGTGGAACACGAGGACACTCCTAGCCTGCTGTCCCCCGAGGAGGCTCTCGAAGAGGCTCGGAGGCGACGTGAAGTGGTCGATGCGGCAGAGCCTGGAGGGCCATTAAGCTCGGAGGTCTGCTCAGCCTATATCACAGACCAGCAGGAGGAGCCGCCACCACAATACTCGCACCAGGACCATCTCGTGGCACATGCACTCTATTTCCAGAAACTCTTGGATAAGGAACACAAGCGACACCGACAGATGGCCAAGCTCGTCGCTCAGTGGTGCGCCGACGCTTATCGGAAGCGCCATAAGAACCCGGAAGACATCCTTCGAGAGCAACAGGAAGAAATGCGCGGGAAGCGGAAGCAGGTGGCCAAGGACCTTCAGAAGATGTTCGATCTAGCGCGCGCCGAGATCGACCGAGTACGCCTTGCTCGCTGGGAGGAGGAGCGAAAGGTGCTAGACCAGCAGGCCCTTGACCGTGCAATTAAGAAGTCAACTATGCTCTTTGAGAAGCGTCGATCCGAAATTCTCGGCGAAGTGAACAGCGATGCTCATGCTACCAGCGATGATGACGAAGATGGCGTCTCAGACTCCGATTTGGAGTCTTCCGAGTACGATCGTGAGAGCAACATGTCAACCTCGGAGTCTGAAACCGACAACGAAACCAATGTGGACGACGATGCTGCTCTGACTGCCGAGGAGCTCCGACAAAAATACGCCAACTTGCCAGCCGAAGACACCCCAGACGAAGTTTCCGTGACCTCTGGCGTGCCTGCGTCAGCCATTGACAGTGAAGCTTTACCAGATGAAGTCGATTCTGAGGCTACTCCTGCTCACTTGGATGATGTTGATTCTGTTTTAATAGACGATAGCGACGAGTCAACTGATATGGATGATGATATGGGCGACAGCGATGAGGAGTCAGTTGATGAGGAATCTGAAGAGGATAGTGATGATGATAATGGTGGCCCTGGACTTCTTGGTTTCTTCACGTCCAAAGACCTTCCCGTGTCCAAAGAGGACGAGGAAGGCGATGGGGAAGCTGTGGATGATGAGGATGTGAATTTCGAGGATCCTGACGAGGTTTCTCTTCTTCCTAATGGCCATGACTCCTCGCGCGAGGGAACACCGATGGAAGTTGTTGAGGCTTCTGCCGAACCCACCCCTATTGATACCGAAGATGCCTCAATGGTTGATACTCCCATGGAGGACCAAGTCCGATTGATAGAATCACCGGCACCATTCGAACCCACCAGCGCTTCCGAAACTCCAGCCCCAGCTGAAGAAGCACCGGAGACACAATCTCAGTCAATGGACCTCGAGCCTATCAATAAGGATACACGACACAGTGGAGAACTCTCAAGCGAGGCTTCCCCCAGTACCTTCGTAACCAAACCATCCGAGCCAGAGTCCGTGTCTTCTTATGAGCCTCCCTTAGAGAAGGCACTGCAAACAAACAACTCACCTCCTCCCGGCTTGAAGACACCAATCCCGCATCTCCTGCGCGGGACGCTGCGTGAGTACCAGCATTACGGTTTGGACTGGCTTGCGGGTCTTTACAACAATCATATCAACGGTATCTTGGCAGATGAAATGGGTCTTGGTAAAACCATCCAAACGATTGCTCTGCTCGCCCATCTTGCCGTGGATCATGGCGTCTGGGGCCCCCATCTCGTGGTTGTCCCGACTAGTGTCATGCTCAACTGGGAAATGGAATTCAAGAAATGGTGCCCTGGCTTCAAGATCATGACCTACTACGGTAATCAAGAGGAGCGCAAGGCGAAACGTCGTGGATGGACGGACGATAATGCTTGGAATGTCTTGATCACCTCGTATCAACTAGTCTTGCAGGACCAGCAATCTCTTAAGAGGAGAAACTGGCATTACATGATCCTTGATGAGGCGCATAACATCAAGAACTTCCGGTCGCAGAGATGGCAGGCCCTTCTTACGTTCCGGACTCGGGCTCGACTGCTTTTGACCGGTACACCGCTTCAGAACAATTTGACGGAACTCTGGTCTCTTCTTTTCTTCTTGATGCCTTCAGACGGCGATGGCAATGGTATTGAGGGCTTTGCAGACCTCAGAGACTTCTCGGAGTGGTTCAGGCGACCGGTGGAACAGATTCTGGAGCATGGTAGGGAGACTATGGACGACGAGGCCAAGCGAGTGGTAACCAAGCTTCATACCGTTCTGCGCCCTTATATTCTACGTCGTCTCAAGGCCGATGTCGAGAAGCAGATGCCTGGAAAGTACGAACATGTGATCTACTGCCGGCTGTCGAAACGCCAGCGATTCCTTTATGATGGCTTCATGTCCATGGCCCAAACGAAGGAGACTCTTGCATCAGGCAATTTCCTCTCCATCATCCATTGTCTTATGCAGCTTCGTAAGGTTTGCAACCATCCTGATCTCTTTGAGACAAGACCAATTTCTACGTCCTTTGCCATGCCGCGATCTGTCGCTACGGACTACACTGTCAAAGAGTCTTTGGTCCGACGCCGTCTGCTCTTTGACCACCCACTTACCAAAGTTGATCTGGACTTCCTCAATCTTGCTCCAGTGTCAAGAGAAGACATATCACGCAGACTTGCCGATGATAGCATCCGTTTAATGGCCATTGGTCCGTTCAAAACCCTTCGTGAACGTCAGTACAATCGAACCAACTGGCAGATGAGCTTTGACGGCACCACCATGGAGACGACCCTACAGTCTCTGGAGAATGCCAGTCGAAAGCGGAGAATGGCTGAACTCGAGCGGTGCTTGTACTTTGAATCGAAGCGCCATGGTCGACGACCTGTCTATGGCAGCAGTTTGATCGAGTTCCTACGAGCCGGCACTAACAAGGAACACGCCTTGTCCAATGCCCCTCTGCGAAAGAGCAACATGGCCGAGTGGCTGTCTAGCCGGTCGTCCGTTCTTGCGTCGATGATCTTGACCCTTGAGGAGCGCTCTCTCGAGATGGATGGCTACGTTCAGAGGTTCGCTTGCGTCACTCCTGCAGCCGTCGCTGCAGGGACCACCGAAGCTGCCTTGACGCCCGTTGAGACTCGTCTCCTGACAAACACCTCCAAGGACCAACCTTATGATCCCTTCCACGAAGCACGCATGCGCCTTTCCATCGCTTTCCCAGACAAGAGATTGCTACAGTACGACTGTGGTAAGCTTCAGCGACTTGACAAGCTGCTGAGGGACCTCAAGGCCGGTGGCCATCGTGCATTGATCTTCACTCAAATGACTAAGATGCTCGATATCCTGGAACAGTTCCTCAACATTCACGGTCACCGATATCTCCGACTTGATGGAACCACCAAAGTTGAGTCGCGGCAGATGCTCACCGAACGATTCAACAGCGATCCTCGAATCCTGGCCTTCATCCTGTCTAGTCGATCGGGTGGTCTCGGTATCAATCTCACGGGTGCCGACACCGTCATCTTCTACGACCTGGATTGGAACCCGGCGATGGACAAGCAATGTCAAGATCGTTGTCACCGTATCGGGCAAACTCGGGATGTGCATATCTACCGGTTCGTCTCCGAGTACACCATCGAGTCCAATATTTTGCGCAAGGCCAACCAAAAGCGCATGCTCGATGATGTGATCATCCAGGAGGGCGAGTTCACCACGGACTACTTCACCAAGCTTCGGGACGTGGAAGGTATGCCCGAGGGCGAAGACACCCGTGATGGCCACGACGAAGCCAGCGCTGCCATGGACCGGGTTCTCGGCAACCGAGTGGCTACCGGTACGAAAGCCTTCGAGCAAGCCGAGGACAAGGAAGATATCGACGCAGCGAAAAACGCACAAAAGGAGCTCGAGCATGCGGATGATGGCGACTTTGAGGATCGCGCTTCCTCCCTTGGTACTCCTGCCCAGGCTGGGACGCCACTTGCGGT